AATTCATTAAAAAAACAAAACATGGAGGAGAAAATATTGCAATGCATCGCAATAATTCAAGTATCGTGATGCATCGTGATAGAATCGCATCGTGGCCTGTGAATCGTGATTCGAATCGAATCGTGACTTCTTTGGCAATGCCCACCCCTAGTATCAATGTGCTGCATAAGCTTAAGGCCTTATTATCAGTGTTGAGACTGACGCGCTATTAAGTAACGCGTTACAGTTACATTAACTTTTGCGGTAACTAGCATTGAACTAATTAGTTTGTAAAAGTGAGTAACGTGTTATGCTACGTTCACACTGAACGGATTTGAGCAACTTCATTTTCATTGGACAAGGATGTCCGCGTTAATGTGTGAAGATGCTCCAGTAAAGTTTGTAGAGATGCATCTGATGCTTCTGTGTTCATTGGCAGAGTGGCTTTGATATACTTGCTGTGGGTAAAAATTTTGATCGGTAGAAACCACCTTAAAACATTTTCTGTGCAGCCAGTTCACTAAGATTACAAGATTAGAATTTGATTTTGCTGTCAGAGACACATAGACCCAGACATACTGACGGAGCGCTGTCACTGGGCATCCAGCAGCAGCTCCCTCAGGCCAGCCAGCCTCTTGGGAGGTTTTTTGCTACTGTTCTTGCCGACTGAAAGTAGAATTTAGCGTTTTTTAGTTATGTGTTACAAGCTGCAGGCACCAGAATAATAAAACAAACATATTTCCCCTGCAGGTTCGACATTTTAAATTAATTTAGGCATTAATACACTGTTTTGGTGGAGTGATCAGTGAGCCAGACTTTAAGAGTTATGAACCTTTCAAACAGGCCTCCAACATTTCTAAATCCAGTGCATTTCCACAACAGAGAAGGTTCCAGAGTTGAGGATAAAATATTTATTTGATTTCTCCTTCAGCATTTGTCTCCACTTTACTTTAAATATGGCCTTTTTCACCTCTAACTTAAAAATACATTTCAACCTCTCAGTGATTAAATACGATTGCAGAGTTTTGATTTTCTGTCAGCCACACTGAATATTAGGCCTCATAAGTATGTGGAGGAAAAAGGGCTGATTGGTATAAAATATGTCATTTAGCCTTTATGATGTATACAATGGGTCAACATATGAGACCCAAAATTATAATCTAGTGAATTAAAGCATAACAGTGTTTTTCTTTCCCCTCAGGTGATTTCCATCTTCTCTGTGGTGGAGGTGCAGCTCAAGGCGGACGAAGCTCCTCTTAAATACAGCGCAATTCTCAAGAGGCCTGAGAACAGCGCATCCTAGAGCACTGACCGCAATTTGCACAAAGTTTGGACTTGCACATTATGTGTTGTTTCCAAATAGGACGGACTGTGAAGTTGATGTTGTACTGCATGCTAGCATCCATCCAACAAAGTCGAATCCTGGCAGATCTGTGCAGGGACAGGCGCTCATTACAAGTTTACTTTTTGTTGTTTTTAACCGACCTCACACAGCAGCCGTCTTTTCCCCAAGGACCTTTGGAGGGTGATTGTGCTTCCACTGCATATCTCACACATTGAGATGTTTCCCATCTCTTTCTTTTTTGAATGTGTAAACAACATTAACACTTGCTTAGAATATTTTATTTCTCTGACTAGTTTTTAAATATTTAAAAATTTTAAGTTAATCGTTTAGCAAATCGGTTAGCTTTCTTAAAAATGTAAACAGGTGATGATATTTTCAGTAATTATTTTATTTCTTTTGATCAACTGAGGTTAGTCTGGTTGTAGTGGAAACGCATTTTTAGATCTATAGATTCTATTTTTTTTTTTTCTAGCAAAGTAAAAGCCTCTCATTTTAGGTAAATAAGCTCATAATACACCAACTTATACTGTGATGGATTTACCTTGACTTTAACATATAGTGAGTGCATACTTTCAGTAGTGAAATTAGAGTAAACCTTCATTAAGATAGTCTTATCAGCTTCACTTTGACTCACAGTTCTGGTCAGAAGTTTATCCATTTATCACCAGCATTGATGTTGAATCAATCCTGGGCTTTTTCTCTTCTTCTTGAAACAACAAACTCTGAAATGTCATAGAACTTAAAGGACTTCTAAACATAGTAGCCTATTTAGGATTTATGTTGGTTTTTTTTCTCTAACAAATCAAAAATTACATAAAACACTCGGTGTCAACTATATTCATACTCTCCCTCCCCCAATTTGCTGAAATGCATCTTAGCAAGTTTAGGTAAGTTTTTATTCTGGCACAGACAGCCTTTGAGCTTAGTTGCTGAGAGAAACATAAATATGACAACAACTGGGGCAGGTGGCTCTTCCAGAATTCTAATGTTAGCATGTTTTCAAAACCAGCTATCCGATTATTTGCCAGTTAAATCAGTCAAATTTGTCCAGGTTTTCATAGTGATATTACTGGTCTGTGGTGAGGTTGGTGAATTTGGAAGTGATTCTGTTTTGCTAAATATTTCATCCACAGACCTTCATGATGCTGCCACCACCATGCCTGACTGTTGTTGCAGTCATATGTTTCAAACAGTAGGCTCACCTGTGTCCTCCAAATATTACTATAATTTTCCCACTTTAGATACATTTTCGAAATATTTTCCAGAAGGTGCGTAGTTCGTCTGTGTGGCCAACTGGAAATCGCAGTCCAAATTGAAGTTTTCCGTTCAGGAAAAAGAGTTTCTTTCTTGGCCAGTGTTCTCTCTGTGCTGATTTTTAAACATTCTGGATGGAAAGAAACTCGTGTTTTAATAACTAAAATGTTTGATTGAGGCTGTTCCATGAGGACAAACATCAGGTCATGTCTTAACTAGCTTTGGAAAGGATAAAGTTAGACTTTCTGAACGTCCCTAACTGCATCTTCTTACTGTTTTTTTGGGCTAGTTTGTAACTTGCTCAAAAAACCTGCTGTTTCTCCACAGTGTACTTAAGAGGGATTCTCCTTATCTTAGCCAGAGTAAATATGAGGCAAATCTCTAATTAAAATGTTTGGTGGGAGGGAAAAAAAATCTGCTTTAATTTCTTACTCATTCAGACCAATTGTTCCGAAGCGCATTAACTAATAAAAGCCCCAAATTGATTTTACACCAATGACTGTAAGTAAACCTCTGATAAGAACTCATGTTTTAGGGAGATTCACAGTAGAGATTATATAGAATGGCGACTATTAAAAAAGAAAAAGTTGTCATTGTGTTAAATATTGTGATACGACACAGTTTGGGCCTTTAAAGCCAATCTCTGTTTACATTTCAGTGGGAACCGGTGTTATTGTTGGGTAAAAAATAGAGGTTTTTCCTCTTCTAGTGTCCGTTTGTGAAACTTATTTTATTTCAGTGAGCTTCATGCTCTCTTTCTTTCTTTCAGCGTGCCAGTAAGTCCAAAGCTTTAACCTCTGTCAGCTCCTCATGTTTTTAATCTAATATTGGGATTGACTTGAATGTGAAAGCTGCTAAAACCCTGTGGCCTTAGAGGTCTCAATGAATTATTTCTTTGCAAATGTGGTACAATGTGTGATTAGTGTCTTTTTTTTCTCTCTTTTAGCTATGTTATCAGATTTGATGGAGCAGAAACACTTTTGCTCTTAATCAGATGTTTATTTAAGGTCTTAAATGTAAAAAATATGATGGTAGTTTGGTAATATTAGTGTCCTGCTAAGTGTTTATAAAGATGGGACATATAAGTGCCACAGGATTCTGTGTTTTGTTTCTTTTTTAAAGTTATGACATTTGGAAAAAAAAAAAAAACTTTTTTCTTTTTAAACTGAGTTAAAGAAGTCAAATGTGGGGTTAAAAAAATCCAACCCATGTCTTCTTGCAAAGGTTATATCATCAAGCATCAAGTGTAACGTAGATAAACGGCATTTACTGTGTGCGCAGTCTGATGTGTTATCCTTCACCCAAACGTATTGTATTGTCTTTTGCTTCAGGAAAATATACTGATTAATCCAAACTGTGTTGGGGGTTTTTCTGAGCTTCGCTCGCCTTTGTTGAAGTCACTAAAGAAAGGGAGGGGAATACAAAGTCTAATCCAGGATGAACGGATCATGGTCATAACTTCTGTTATTTGCTCACACACCAAGCACACTCACATCCCTATACTGTTTATTTATAGCCGGTAAACATAAGGATGGTTAGTGTTGTCAAGGAGTGTCTTCCATCAATTAGTTATAGATAGCCTGGTGCAGTACCAGGCACATAATGAAAAATGATCATCATAATATGAGTGATTACTGTCAGTCAGCCACCAGAATCCTCCAAGTAAAACGGTTTATTTAATGACATACATGCTCATGTTTTTGATTACATCATAGAAAAGTGTTTTTGTGTGTTATATATATTCCACTCTGTCTGCACGTCTTACAGGGAGTTCCTTATCAGGTTCTGATTACAAGGATGGCAGTGAATAATCAGCAAAAGCTGACACCCTGCTCAGCCCTGCTGTCAGAAGGCTGTAAATCGACACAGAGTGGGTAAACGCTGCAGTGGTAGCAGCCAGCTCCTCACAGAGTGTGTCCCTGTGAGCAGAAAACGTGACAAGCCCAGGTAGAAACCCTGAGCGGAGCTGTATGACAGGAAAGGAGGAGACTTCTAGATCCCAGGTTTTTATCTTTATTGCCGTGGCAGTGAGATGCTCCGCTACGTCCCTTCAGATTTACACAAGCAGAGTCCAAAGGCTGCACATAAATACATTACGACACTCCGTGACCCTGCCGGGTTAACGTCAAGGCTGATAATGTAAACTATTGGATAACATAAGCATCGAGACTGAGTGGTGGCAGCTTTCCAAGCTGGTTCTTCTCTTCAGGTTTCATCTAGATATTTGGCTCCTTGGTTCCTCATCAGTATGTCTATTTTACACACAGCATAGGCTCAAATATTTGAGTTCATTTAAAGTTCAGGAAAAACCATAAAGAACTACCCTGGAAAGAGGGTGGATTGAGATGGAGCTCATTAAAGGCAAGACAGCTGTTCACCTCTTTGAGTTTCATTTCATTTCCGTCAGAGCCAGTCCAAAGTCAAAGCACCATAAACACCACATCTATCATAGAAGAGCTGTGTTTCCTCCTTCCTTATTCTGAGTCAGATACTTCATCAGATCAAGTCAAGTCGGGAGGCTTAATTAAATCACAAGCCAAAGGATTGAGGGGTATACTTTATAATTTTTTCGTAAATGTTTGACCTTTTAGGATTCCCCCAGAAAACCTCAAGTGGATTTTGTTTGATGTATTGATTTTGAGTGACAGCCTGAAGTTGAACATTTGGAAACCTTTGGATTTCACTTTTGGATTTACTCCGTTTTTAAGGAACGGGTCAAATCTAATTGAAGATGCTGAGAAAGGTAAGATCGGATGGATGGATCTATGAAATATAGCCTACTGAGACTAGCTGCCTTTATATGTTTACTACAAGGACCTATATATAAAACCTGATCAAATAACCACATATGGATAACCATAGACTATTAAACGTTGTGATGTTAGTCAGTTTTCCACTATTTGCTGTCTTGTTTTCAGGGGGAATGGGTCTGGGTGGACTCAGACATCGGGGTCCCCATTGGAGCTCGGGTCAAAGAAACATCAACTGGTCTGAGATTATTGGTGGATGATGAGGGAAATGTAGGTAACATCTGACGATTAAATGAGGATTAAAATAAAAGTGTCTCATTCTGCCACTATTTGCGTTTTCTATTGATGATCCCTTAGGAGCGGCGTTTGTCCAAGGAGGAGGAAGCCTCTCTCAGGATCATGCACGCGACATCTGTTGAGGGGGTGGATGACATGATCAAGCTTGGGGACATGACGGAGGCTGCCCTGCTCAGGAACCTGTCGCTCAGACACAAGCGAGGACACATCTATGTAAGCCATAAAACTCACTGGGAAAAACGCTGTTGGCCTTTTTGCATATATTTTAATAAATCAGTCTTTTTTTATTGTAAATTCACCTCTGGAAGTTTTATTTATTTATATGTGTATATAAAGATAAGTAGATCATGATATGAGGGTGTTCACCCTGTTAAGATATTTGCATAGAGGCAGAAGTCCAAAATGTCTACCTTTAGATATTTGGTATCTTAATAAAAACAGTGGAGTTCATTAACGCAAACAACGCCTAATAAGGGTTTTAAAAAGTAAAAGATAAGATGACAACAAATTATTTGAATACTTTTCAGTCAAATTGTAAATGTATCTTCCTTTGGGTTCTTTTGTATGTAGCTTTTTTTGTTGTTATTTTATTATCTCTTACTTTATGCTCTTCAATCTAAAATGAGACTCATTCCCTGAACAGCCAAAAGGAAAATTAAATCAGTTGAGGTCAAATTTAGAAACACCTGCTATAACCTGGTTATAAAAGCGTAAACCCTTGAGCGAATAGTTTATTCAAACCTATTTTAATTCATTTACAGCTTTTTAAAATAGTAGTATATCTTTGATATATGTCTCCTCTTTAACTTGTTGAGCTTAAATCAGTTTGTTGGGCTGTCGAACATATATATTTATATATATTTTGGGTCAAAATTTGCACCTGTCTCTTATTTTTTCAACTTAGTTTAAAAAAAAACACATCTATTGGATGTAAAGTGACCCCATAGTTGTGATAATCCTCGACTTGTCACAGCTGAAACAGTTTTGGGAGATTTCAGTCAGGTCTGTTTTAGGTCTTAGACTTACCTGTACTGAACTGAAGCTCCTCTGGCGTTATTGAGTAACTGACTTGTTTTAATCTTGTGATTTTACCAGTTTTGGAAGATAATACAAAACCTGTGACGTAAAAGCTTTTGGAACCCGTTAATGTTAATCCTGCTACATAATGAAACGGCTTTGATTCAGTTTATTCCTGCAGGAGATAAAACAAACTGGTCAAATATAGATCTATCCATATAGAATCTAAGCTGATCCAAGTTTAATTAGATTAAATCCAATACATTTGAAAACAAATGAATCAGATGCATTAACTTGAAGTAATGTATTTAGTCAGATTTACAAATTGGATTTTAAATTGATGTCATATTGTCTGCAATTATTATTAGCCATCTTTACTAAACTGTCCATAAATTAGAGCTTCTGGTAAAGATTTGCAGCTTAGGAGGTTTCTGGGAAATCCTTGTAGGTTGTAAATATTTATACATGTTAATTAGTTTGACTGCAGCTAAAGAAATCACTAAAATAGAAACGAAAGATGCTTTGATCTAATGTTAGTTTAAAGATTATTAAAGCATATGTTCTATATTTCAACCTTAACTTGCAGATATTGAGGTTGGAAAAACAAATAGAAAAACTTGAAATCTCTTTTTCTTCAAGTCTTTTTAAGGGTTTATCTCAAAGGTTTCCAAACATACCAGAGCCAGACAATATATGGTTAGTAGGGAGGATTTTCCTTATTTTTATTTTATACAACAAAAATCTCAAGCTTAACTCTTTTAAACCTTCCCAACGCTTTAAAACTTGTTTGGCTTTTTTTGGCCCCAGTTCAAAAAGCTGTTTTTATTTATTTCTCCCAGACCTACATAGGTTCAGTTTTGGTGGCGGTGAATCCGTACCAGGATTTTCCCATATACTCAGACGAACAGGTGAGTCTCTGCTGATGTGTGAGGCTCTGTCAGCATCCTCCATAACCTGCAGCTATCATGCTCCTCATGTGTGCCATCCTGCTGTTCCACAGGTGAGATTGTACCACAGTCGGAAGCTCGGAGAACTCCCCCCGCACATTTTCGCCATCGCTGAGTCCTGCTACTTCAACATGACTCGCCATCTCAAGAACCAATGCTGCATCATCAGGTCAGAGACCATCACATGCTGTCTTGGGTTAAATTGGTCTGTTTGCAACTTTCCTGCTCATCACCTGAGTTTCATGTTTCCTGCTTTTCTCTCAGTGGGGAGTCTGGAGCTGGGAAGACAGAGAGCACCAAACTGATCCTCCAGTATTTGGCTGCTGTGAGCGGGAAACTCTCTCAGCAGCAGATCGAAAAGCAGATCCTGGAGTCCAACCCCATTCTGGAAGGTACCCCAGCAGCAATTGGGGAGTGGCGGCCTAGTGGATAGGGCATAGAGCTTGGAATCCTGAGGTTCTGAGTTTGATCCCGACTCCCACAGACTGACACTCTGGTCCCCTGGTCAAAAGACCCTTAACCGTTAAAAAAGCTTGATTTGGTTTCTGTTTTACCAGGAGAGTTTATCAGCAGTCACAATTTTGTTAATTTAATCATTGTACTTGGTAAAAGGTTTATTTTTAAAGCCAAAAATAGATTCTCACTTAGTATTTATTTCTTTAAAACAATTATTCAGCATTTTTTTACTTTAAAAAAAGTTATATGGTTCAAATCGATAATGAAGCCAGAACATATAAAGAAAGATGGGAAGTTATTAAATGTTAACTCTAAAAATGTAATTTGTGCAAGAGTGTAACTTTGTGATGAAAGTTGGTGGGGACACTCTTAAGGTGGGGGCTGATGGACCTTCAGTTACTAGACGCAAACGCTTTCAAAAGGCTTTGTATTTTCCAAAAATGAGCTCAAACATATATTTATTGAATGCTTTTCTGTTGTTGAGAACACAAAATAACCAATATATGCTTATATTTATAGGTAGTTAGACATTAATGTATATAAAAAAAAGGATGAATAACAGCCAATTCCGATACCAACAGCAATATATCCTGCCTAGTATGCACACAATTTCATGAATGTTTTCCCTTTCAGATACATTAGTGAATATCCTCCTTCAAACGCAGCTTAATCAAATTTAGAAATTTGTCTCACATATTTCCAAAGTATGTATTGAAATTAATGGTGGGGACATGTCCCCACCAGTCCTTCAGAAAGTTACTGTGAATTTGTGGATGAATTAATTCATTCAATGTGGGTGAATGCATGTGAATGAGTTTGGGGTGGTGAGGGGAGGGAGGTTTTCAGGTTGGTAATTTTATACTGTGCTGTGATTTATGTTGATTTAATTTAAAAAAAAAAAAAAAAAAAAAAAAAAAAAGCAAAAAGACCCTTAACCCCTCTGGGCGTCGCACAATGGCAGCCCACTGCTCCCCAAGGGGATGGGTTCAATGCAGAGAGTTCCTTTCGTTGCTCCGTACTTGTGACGGAGTAATGACCAGTGGTGTCAAATGTCCACACATTTGTTACTTAAGTAGAAGTATAGATACTACAGTTTAAAAACACTTTGATAAAAGTTGAAATATCAACTTGACCTCTTTACTCAAGTAAAAGTGAAAAAGTATGTGCTCCAAAATCTACTTAAAGTATAAAAGTATAAAGTAACCTTCAAAAAAACAGCCAGATGCCGCTATATGGATTGAAAACTAAATTTTTCGACTATTTTTAAAAAAATTCTTTGAGATAGAGCAAAGATGAGGGAGGTCTTGTTGGTCTCCATCTCAGATATGCTCTATCCTGTGTCCGACCTTTCAGACATTTCAGCATCTTTTTCTGAATCCAACATTGTAGCATGGCATAGACAATTTTTGCAGTTTGAAGAACACCTGCTTGCTTCTGATGATTTCCTTTAGCTAACCAATGAGTGTTTGCGTTATATGAATGATTGCGCCAATGATCTGCATTGGATGGCGCACATGACATGAAATAAATATTCATAAACATTAAATCAAAGCCAAGAGTATCTAGTAACATTTGTTTTAAAAATGTAAGGAATAGAAAGTAAAGATACTTGTGTTAAAATGTAATGAGAAGAAGTCAGAAGTAGGAACAAAAATAAGTAATGGAGTAAAAGTATAGATATCTAAAAATTGTACTTAAGTACAGTAACAAAGTGTTTGTACTTCGTTACCTGACACCTCTGGTAATGACAATAAAAGCTGGGGGGTAAAAAAGCACAGTTAGACCTGAGCTGCCCTCATGCTTCTTTGAGCAGAAACACAAAATCATTTTAATTTTTTTTTTTTTTTACATTGTTTGCTGTTTGTCGTAGCTTTTGGGAATGCAAAAACAATCCGCAACGACAACTCCAGCCGCTTTGGAAAATACCTGGAGATCTTCTTCAACAAAGACGGGGTGATTGAAGGAGCCCGGGTGGAGCAGTACCTTCTGGAAAAGTCTCGTTTGTGCCATCAGGTGAGGTAGCTCCCTCCTAATAGATTGTGCTTGTTATCTCTAGGGCACACAGGTATGTACTGTAAAATCATAAAATCAATGAAGAGTATCTCTGCTGTTTGTTTAAGTTAGTGCTGGTTTTATAATCTGCTTGGTGAAATTATTGCGTAACTGCTCATGAATGAATTATATTGTTCAATGCAATCCAGTGAAACAGAAGCTTTAAGAATGTCTGGTTTAGTCTTATGTCACCATAAGCTAATTTCTCTCCATCTCAGACCCCAGAGGAGCGAAACTACCATATATTTTACTGCCTGCTAGCAGGAACCAACTCTGAGGAGAGGAAAACTTTGGGTCTCAAGCGTTCCAAGACGTATAACTACCTTAGCAAGGTAATCAAAGTATCCATACAAATTCCAGTCTGCCAAAGAAACGTGCAAAACAATATCAAAGTGTCTTGTGTCATTAAGGGTGAGAGCACACTGTGTGAAGGCAGAGATGATGCTAAAGATTTCAAGCGCATCCGCTCAGCCATGAAAGTCCTGACCTTCTCGGAACAGCAGTTCCAGGATATCCTCAAGCTGCTGGCAGCTATATTACACCTGGGGAACGTCAGTTTCGAGGGTGAGCTCCTTTAGATCAAGAGCAGGGAAAATGTTTGCTTTGCGCATTTTGTAATTCATTTCAGTATAAAATTGTTCAAGCGTAGCTCCACGGAACAAAAGCCGATTAAATCAGCTGTTTTACGGAAGAGGAAAGCAAATTTACCAATAATTACATCATGATAACGAGCTTTGTTTTTCCCTGCACATATTTGGATGTGAAAATGAGGTAACTCTCTACTATTAGTTCCCTATTATTCCCTAATATTAGACAAGTCTTTTCATAAATCTACCAGCCTTTCTTCTCTAGAGTCTGGACAGTTTGCATGGAGACTCTTGCTTGCATGATTGTTCCCGCTCACTCAGATTAGAAAGAAAGTGTGTGTGAAAGGCATTCATTTCAGATTTATACTTAGATTTAGGTCTAGACTTTCACTAAGCTGCTCTCAATACAGGACTATGTTAACTGTTAAACCGTTTCACTGTATTTGCCTGCATGTTTTTGGTCCTTATTTCAAAGCATTGGGTCATTTAATTAGGATTAGCTTCTCTCTTCCTGCTCATGACAGACATTCCCTCAGCATTATTCTCCCACTGTTGTGTCTCCTCCTGTAGATTTGGTTAGTTTTCCATCTAATTTGGAATTTTGGCAAAAAACTGTTTTTGCTTTTTTTGACTTTGCATCCCTTACCACACTTTTGCCGCACTGCGAACTGACTTTCCTCTGCTTTCTTTCATCTTTGCCTTTCATTGTCACTTTTCTGTTGGGCACAAATACTTCCTCCACTGTGAATCTCTGCAGCTCCTCCAGAGTTACATTTGGCATTTTTTAATGCTTTCTTTGATTAATGATAACTAAGCTATTCATAGTTTAGGTGGATGGATTGAACAGCTGTTTTTATCATATTTTCCCGTTTGAGCATCAGCTTCATCCCTGACCTGTCAGTGTTCCCTGGTTTTTATAATAATAGTTGTTCACTAATGTTCCCTAATGGATCTAATAAAAACCTTAAAAACACAGCTGCATTTATAAACGTAGGTGAAAACTTAACTCAGTGGACTCTGTTTGCCAATCATGTTTTCATAAGGGGGTTAAAAGGGGATTGAAAACAAATGCTCACCACACTTTTCTGATTTTGAATAGCTAAAAACATGTAATTAAGACGTGTTGTTATATTCCACATCACTGAGCAGCAATCTTTAATAATCTATCATATCAAATCTAATTAAAGTTTTTGGTTTTACTGATATGATAAAATGAAGGAGGAGAAGTTAATCAGAGATTAATAAAGTATCCAATTTTTTAAACTACTTTGCCTACAGAGAATGTAAATAAATAAGTATACCCACACACTCAAAATTCAGAGCAAATTTAAGTTCTTGAAGTTATTCTTTAAAGTCGCTGTCTTTTGTCCGGTTTCATGCAACCAGCCTCCACTAACGCAAACCTGGAAACCAGCAACGTGGGAAAATCGGAGCACTTCAACATCGCCTCATCACTGTTACAGGTAGCGGACCATAGACCAGTTCACAGATCTTTCAACTAGAAGTATTGCTGAGCTTTATTTAGATTTTAATGTGTGTTTGCTTTGCAGGTGCAAAGGTCTGTCCTTGAAAACAGTTTGACGCATCGCTCCTTTATGACCAACAGAGAGAGAGTAACGAAGCCCCTCAGCGCTGAACAGGCCACCGACTGCAGAGACGCCTTTGTAAAGGTACAGCAGCCCTGCCACCTGCTGTAAATCACTGTTGAGCATTTCCTTATTAGGCCCTAATTCATAAAAATCCCCTGGCTGTGGATTGCGGAATGGCAAAGGGGTAGGATAGTTGGCAAGGTCTGCGAGCCAATCGACCCTCAAGCCACCCGGATTAGATAGACCATCTCATTCTCTCCAAATGTCCAGTTTTACCCCGGTGGCAAAGTAAGATGATTTTGGTTCTCTATGGAAATCAGATTAAGATCAAACCTCACTAAGATTATATAGCAACACATAGATAAGAACCACACAAACAAATTTATCTAATTGCTCGTTAGTAAGTACAAATCAAGAATGAAAACTCATTCAAATTAGTTATCTTTGACTGGACACTTATGTAGGAGATCTCTCCAGTGTCATAAGTAATTGGCCTCAAGTATGAATTAAATTGATTATGTACGAATTGGTCAGCATAACACATGGGGAACTTCATTTTATTACTTTAATTTTGTCTCATTGAATTTTTTGAAAATTACTTTTTCAGGAAAATTTTCTTCACAAATGTTTCAATTAATATCTTGGGGGCCATTTTTCTTTGCTCATGCTGGGTCCCTCTTATATTAGGACAACTGATTTAAGCAGCCCAGTTTAACCATCTGAGAGCATAAAGTCCTTTCTAAGTTTTAAATTTATCAAGTTAATTTGTTGTAGAATTGGGAACTAAGAAAAAAAAATATCTTTGAGTTTTTTTATGGTTTTGTTAACAGGCAATCTACAATAAGCTGTTCATATGGATCAGTGGAAAAATTAATGAGGTCATCTATCAGAAACTTGAAAAAAGACCCAAATCTTCATTGCTCTCCATCGGCTTGCTGGATATATTCGGCTTTGAGAACTTCACAACAAACAGGTCAGGAAGGGGACTTTCTCCTTATATTATTCATTTGTATCAGAGTTTGACAGTACTTACATTGTATTTGTGCTTCTCTTTGAACAGTTTTGAGCAGCTGTGCATTAATTTTGCTAACGAGAAGCTGCAGCAGTTCTTTGTGGCCCACATCTTCAAGCTAGAGCAAGAGGAGTACCTGAAAGAAGGGGTCGTATGGAAAAACATCAAGTTCAGCGACAACGAGAAAATCCTGCACCTGCTGGCTGAGAAACCGTGCAACGTGCTGGCTCTGATAGATGAGGAGAGCCACTTTCCAAAGGTACGCTGACCAACCTCAGTTTTAGACTTTTCAGTCAAAACATTTTCTGTTGTTTTTTTACATGTAGCTTCCGTTATGTTTTCTATAAAGGGTTCAGACCTTACTCTGCTGACCAAGCTGAACCAAGAGAACAAAGGAGATGAAGCCTACATCCATTCCAAAAGTGAACACGACATATACTTTGGAATTATTCACTTTGCCGGCGAAGTCTACTACGACATCAATGGTATGCAACTTATATACTGTTTTGCAAAACTTAGGTGATGCAGACTGTCTGTTAAATTAAAGATGTTTGTTTCCTGTGAAGGATTCCTGGAAAAGAACAGAGATGAAGTTAGTTATGACATCATTAAAACAATCGAAGTGTCCACCAATAAGTTCCTGCATCAGATCTTTGAGAAGGACCTATCAACCAACGGAGTGAAGCCAACCAAAAACGCCAAGTTCATCATGAAGCCCAAAAGCTTCCCACAGGTATAAAACTATTTCTTCCTTTCTGATCCAGCTTTTCTTATCCTGAGGGCCATGGTAAATCAGGTAGTGGTTCTACTTTATATACTAGAAGTTACTTGTAGTTCCCCTCCATTCAACTTAAATCGCTACGTCACAATGTTAAGAAATCCTTTTTAAAAGGAAAATCATGTTAAGGATATAAAAACAAGGTGGAGTCAAAAATTCCAGAACAACCTACCCTTAGATTTTTCCGTAGTTTTGCTAAGCAATCAACACACAAACAAACCAAAGCTACTGAAAAACATTAACTCCTAGGTGGGGCTGTGGCGCCACCCGGTGTGAGAGAATAATTTGCGTGAATGTAGGAATAAACTTAACTGATTGGTTGGTTACTTTGTCTGTTCACTTAAAGTCAGCGCTTAGGGGTGGAGCTTCTGTGTTCTGTGGGTAATACATTGGCATCTGGTATCCCAAGCTAAGAGCTAAAGTTATCTAGGAGTAACTCAAGATTGATCAAGCCAACCTTGAAGGAGTGATTTGATAAGTAGTTATTGGTGGTGATTAACTTACTCATTCTCCATAGATCAGTGAGTGAATCCTTCAGGGTTGTGATGTCATTGATTCACCTACAGCACCTATCAGGCTGTGATTTGTTTGCTCTGTGACTTTGCCAAGATTGAATCACTCTGCTGTCTGGTTTATGAATCAGACCGTGATTCTTTCTGAAATCAAGTGGGTCTAGTGGCGCAGTTTTACGATAACACATGTGTTGAATAAATAATACAATGATTTATGTAAAAGATCTTTTCCAGCCCAGTCTAGAGGTAGAATTTTTTCATAAGTACTAGATGTTTAGATTTAAAAACTTCTCAGTTCCAGAACTTAAAAATAAATTGTAAAGCATGTTTCTTTAACTATTGTTATTTTATTTTATTCTTTACTGCATCTTTTTTAAGTTTATTTATGTCTGTTGTCTCCTCTGTGTGTGTTCTTCGCAGCCGCAGAATGATAACCGTAAACAAGTGCCAACGCTGACTGGTCAGTTCCGAGTGTCTCTGGATTCCCTCATGAAGGCTCTGTCTGCCTGCCAGCCCTTCTTCATCCGCTGCTTCAAACCCAACAACGAAAAACAGTCTAAGGTGAACGAGCAACGACCAGGGCGGCGCAGTCACAGAGACGCATAGCTGATCTATTGTATGAAAAACAAAACCCTCTGGTATCAGTCCTGTTACATAAAGTTTATCATCCTAATAAATGGGCTATAAAACAAATGGGAAGTAACCTGGATCACAATCGATCCTGCTAATACAAAGTGTAAAGTACAACACTGACGTTGTATAAATGTAATCTTATATTTTCTCTATAGATTCAAATTAAACCTGTTTTAGGGCTTAACCAGAGAAAAGAAAACCAAACTAATATAATCATTGAAACCTAGCTGAAGTATTTTCCCCTCCTGTTATCCTCTTTAAGTCTAGATATTAAAGCTGAGCCATGTCGACAAACTTTGTTCACCTTTGTGCTCTGATTTCATTTAAATACCTCGCCCATACTAATAATAGCTTATATTTGTTCTCCTTTAGTAGGAAACAATATAAGATCTGGGGTTTCATTTATAAACCATTGCATATGATCCATACAAAAAGTCTACATACACAAAAAATCTAAGAGATAGCAAATGGCAAAAAAAAAAAAAAAACTCTGATCTGTAAAGCCATGCTTGATCGCAGAACTAAGTAACTTTCCTTCGTAAGTCACAACTGTTCTTTCAAAGTATGCGTCCACTGCTCCACCTCATGTTAGGCCATCTACACCCACATTCAACCATAAATGGTCAGAGCAAAGCTCTTCTTAAATGTCTGAATATTCAAACAGGCCAGCTGATGAATGTCATTTAATTGGTTCAAATATTAAACTGGAAGTGTTGGATGAATGATGACCAAATAGTAATGGCGTGACAATTATAAGCAATGAATGATAACAGAGACTGATATGGACTGATTATATTAACAAACCATCCAGGATGGTAGGCGATATCACAGATTTATAAATAGTTCAATGAATCTATATTGTTACCAAAAATGGCTAAAGGCAAAGAGTTCATTGTTGATTATGTTTAACACCTGTTAGGGAATTGGCTCATTTAAAGCTTTTAAAGTGGTTTTTGGCCCTAAATCAGTAACATGGTTTTAATACAAGCGACAACAAAAAAATCTAATCTCTTTATAGATGCATGGATTATTTATGATGTTTATTAACTGGGACATGTAACCATGTCCATTTTCACCCATATTAATTATTTAATTCATATATACTTATTATTTATAAATATATATTATAAATCTTATATATAGCATAGCTGGTTATTTAATTGGGTTCTTTAGAAATGCACACCCAGCTACTTTTTTCTGCATTAGAGTTTTAACCATAGAGTTTCCTTTGTTTATTACTGATAAACAGGGATGTTGTGGGTCTGGATGGTCAGTCTCCCTAATACCGGACTCCATAGATCCAGCAGCAATGTTATATCCAGTTAAAGTGACACATAAACTGGTTATAATTATGGGCCAGGAAATCTTGGTAATCGCTGCAAATGTGTGGCATCCTTTTTCTCCTGTCTTTAACATCCTCCAGCAGAGCCAGTGCATCTCAGACATTTATGTGTCATGCTGACTTTGATTTAGAATTTAAGATGCAGTAAAGTTGATCTACAATTAAAGTTTGATATAAAGGGAAATTGAATGTCTGAGAGGAATTATGAGACAATCTGGCTTCAGTTCCCCACCTCACCTGTGTTGCCAGTTTCCCCTTTCCTGTGAATTATGCATATACATGGTTAAACGTTGTTGTGAGGGACAGCAGGTTGTCATGCCAACGTTTTCTTTTTTTTTTATAAATCACATTTTAGTGGAATACAAGTTCCACTAAAACCCTGATCTCTTAAGTTTCCAGGTTGTCAATCAAGCTGAAATCTGTCTGATTCGTGTCTGCAGCTATTTTCTATTTGCATTATGATAGTTTAAGTCTTCCCTCTTTCCATTCACTCCTAGACCTTCAACAGGGAACTCTGCATGCGTCAGCTGAGGTACTCCGGCATGATGGACACCATCCGCATCAGGAAACTGGGATATCCTGTGAGGCACACATTTCAGGACTTCCTGAAGCGCTACAGAGTTCTCCTAAAGACGACCATCTGTGACCCCAGAACCGTTAAGTCATGATTTCTTCCTGAAATTTAACTAAATTTAAACTAAATTTGACTTTGAGAACTGTAGGGCATTCTTGCCTTCTCTTGAATACTTGAAACAATTCTGCTTCTCTCTCCCCACAGAGTGAAGCTTCAGCCTGTTGTGAAGCAATCTGCAGAGCTGTGATTAAAGGAAGGGATGAGTGGAAAATAGGAAGGAGCCAGATTTTCCTCAAGGTACAAAAGAAAAAAGATTGAAATTGTATTTTATTCTAGTTTCTAATTATATTAAGATCAACTGGAATACTAAGAGGGAAGCAGCCATGATGCTTTCTCCAATTACTGCTCTAATCCAGTCGATTTTCTTTCATCAAAGTTCCAGATTTTCAAACGTTATCTAAATCCCAAAATATTTTAATCAGAATCAGTTGAATTAAGCTTTTTATATTTGATTTATATTCCTAGGATGCACATGATGCTGTGTTGGAACATTTACGGGAAGAAGAACTGAGCAGGGTAGCCCTGGTGATCCAGAGGGTCATGCTGGGCATAAAGGACAGGTGAAAGGCTTAGTTAAATGACTAACATCTATAAAGAGTAGTGTTTCATTGTCACACTTTCTGCCTTGGCTTTTTTCAGAAAGCTTTTCCTAAAGAAGCGGGAAGCAGCTGTGGTGCTACAGAAGAACTGGAGAGCTTACAGACAAAACATAGTGGAGAGAAAGGTTTGAGGCTTCCTAACTTCTCTAGACTTTAGAGAGTGAAGCTATTTGTTTGTGGAGAAGATTTTGATTTTAACCTTATATTTCTTTTCCCTTTTACATTTCTTTTTTAGCTTCAGCTGGGTTTTGTTCACCTGGTGTCAGTGATCCGAAGTCGGAAACTTCGTTCTCAGTACCAGAGACAGCGAGCAGCTGCAATCGTCATCCAGAAACAGGCATGTGCTCCGCATACCGGCGCCCTAAGAACTGCTTACAGCCATGAGAAAGAGAAAGTACAGCCTTGGTCTAATGTAGGGTTATACATGTTAGTATAGAAATAAAAAAAATTGTCATAATACTACTACAATTTTGTCAAATGTCCTTAAACACTGCAAAGAATTAAAAAAATCCACTGGACTTTGTTTCCAAGTTTGAAAATGTTTTGGTTCACATCCAGGGAGCTTTTTCAAATCAAAATGTCAGAATTAACGTTGAGTTCAAAGCTTTATATAGTGGCCCAAAACAATGCCTTGCGTTGTCTAAATAAACAAGAAAATTGAACTGGAACAACGGGTCCCCCCCCATAGGGATCGGGAGTCATTTGTGTTCTTTGTTGGCCTGCAATACCCGATACTGGTCTGTGCTTCTAAAATGGGGGTCGTTGAGGGGAATTGTTGGTCTGGCTGATCAGGCGAGATGTTTCGGTCCCTTGTATGGGTGTGGGGGGTGCGATGATAGCAGGAAGGAATCAACTAAAATGCATATTGAGCGTTTAAAACTCAATTTGTATTCTAGAATCCCCCAGACGCCCACATACACACACCTAAACCACCACCACTTTACTTTGAGGTGTTTGTGCTGAGATGCAGTGTTTGGTTCTCATAAGACATCTAGATCATGGCCAACCGTCTCTCCTTTACTCTTATCAGTCAGGCGCACATTGCTTCCAGAGGTCACACAGATGAAACCCATGAAGCCATTTTATTCTAAAACGAAGGACCACTGGAAAAACGATCTAGAAATAAGTAAAAAAAAAATTAAATTAAGTGTATTTACCCTTAATTTGAGTAGGTAAATGAGATAGTTTGCCATTGGAATGGGTATTTTTACTCTTAAAATAAGATGATTAGATAATATGCACTTGAAATAAGACAATGCAATTGTGTTTTTCTTATTTTAAGTGTAAACTTTCTTGTTCCATTGGTAAAAGGTCTCTTTTACCTCCTCAATCCAAGAACAAATGTACTTGTTTTAAGAAAAAATGACTTATCTAGATTTCAATTTTTTTTCCAGTGCAGTTTCTTGCTTTTCCTTAAGCAAGCCATACATGTTCAGGTTTTTTATTTAATTTTACTCTCATGATCTCTACCTTCTTAACAGTCTGAGACGCAGCTTAATAGGGATTTTTCTGCAGCCTCTTACAGCTTTGCATTGTTTAACCTTTAGGTGAAATGCAGAAAGTCATGATTTAATAAAAGTAGAGTGATTAGAGTTTGATTACCACCTTCCGACTTTTCCTTCCACTTTAAATCCTAAGAGGCTAACATGGGTGGAGTTTTTTTTTTGTTTCCTTTACCTTGCTTTAATAAATAAAGCTAATGTGGAATCTGTTTGTTGTTTTTCTATATTAGACTATATTGAAATACAATTTAAACCCCTCAAGATAATTTATTTCCAGATTATAAAACAGCAACAACATTCAAAGAGTTTTTTTTCTTTTTTTTTTAATTTGTAAGTTTTTTTATCGAGCCATATTATATATACCGGTATGTATGCATATGTTTTTATTCTGTCTACATATTTCTTTATCTTTATTACCTAAAAAATATGTTCCAAATTACAGAACTTTACAAATAATTTGACAAATCCAGTTCTATTTTTTTCCCTTTTAATTTCTTCTGCTTAACTTGAATCTAGGTACGAGGCTACCGGGCGAGGAAAGACTACCGGAAGGAACTAGCAGGTCTGGCTTTGCTCACACAAATGAAGAAGGAGGAAGAAGAAGACATCGCCATCGAACTCCAGCAACGGCTGCTAGAGGTTGCTGCAGAGCAAGAAGTAATTTCAGAGCTAGCCGACGTGGAATCCAACATTTCCAGTGAACCTGAATCAGTGGGAAGAATGTATGACAAGCTTAAACTTTCTGATGAGGACACGGATGACACTAAATCAGAGACTGAGGTTTGATGATAACTGTTTTGAAGTGAGTAACAAGTTAACCTTCACCAATATGCTGAAACAGTTCCTTTCTCTTTTGTTTTTGTCTGCTAGGACATTGTGGAGATGGAAGAGGAAACCCCTCAGCGCTCCAACGAGATGACGTTTATCATCACGCCGGCTTCTAACTCAATCACCCCTACGCCATCGATCAATGACGAGTTAGATGAAGACTTTGATGACAGGTTCGACGACGAGAGCGACTTAATGTCCTTTTACAACTTCAGCAAACTTCACTTCCAGAACAGGGAGAACCACAAGCACACCCCCCAGAGACTGAAAAAGCCCCTCCTGCACCACGAGGATGAAGGAGACGCACTGGTAAGACGAGACAAGAAGACTTGCCCTTCCTGCTGTCCGGGTTAAACATTTCTGCCTTACATTCATCGGTTCCCTCCTTCAGGCGTCTCTGACTCTGTCATGGATCATTATGCGGTTTATGGGGGACATATCGGAGCAGAGATCTGCAGATGCAATCTCTCAGTTTTCTCACCAGTCCAGCAACATCTCCCAAAGCTCCATCTCCCGTCTGCTTCCAAACAGACAAGGCCGGAGGCTGAGCAACCTGGTGGGACTTGATCAGGTAGGCTTCTTAAGCATTCGCTTTAAAAAAATATATACATTTTTATTGCCGATCACTTTTTCAAAACATTTTCATTCTGAACAGAAAATCCTGAGAAGGAACAAGAAGAAGCTTGACGGTGGAACCAGAAAATCCTCAGCTATACTGGAGGAGGTTGACACAACATTTTGTCACTCAGTTGTTATTTCTGTTCTTTTTATGAATGATTTCTATTTTAAAGCTTTAATGTTCTTTTGCAGCCGGAGGATCTAACTGAAGACGAGGACATATTGGTTGGAGAGGGCCCAACACTGCATCGACAGCTGACACAGCTGGAAAAGCTGCACATTATTGTTGGATATGGTTTGTCACGAGAAGGCGTGAGGTAAAAACCGGAACACGGATATCTTAAATAAGTGAAACTATGTGTTTTGGATTTTTATATTCTTGCTCCTACTTTTAACTTATAGAGATGAGATCTACTGTCAGATCTGCAAGCAGCTGGTGAACAACAAGAACAGGAAGAGCTGCATGCAAGGCTGGGCTCTCCTCGCCCTCTGTCTGGGGATCTTCCCTCCAACAAGCCTCTTCATGGGGGTCAGTAATCTCTCTTCTTACTGATTTATTTATCTTTTTTTATTAAAGCATTAACTGCTGAAAGCTTTAACTGAATTTGTGCTACAGTAAAGGGATATCAGAGGCTTTTCTATTTAGAATGATGAGAACAGGGATGCAGCTTAAGACCGGAGGAATTGTAGAAGGAAATGTCCACCTTTCAAGCAGAAGAAAGACCCTAAACTTGTAGCTGGAGAAGCTAGAGCATTTAGAGCAGGACTGGCCAAGGTTCAGCCTTCCAGGGCCGGTCTCCGGCAGGTTTTAGAAATTTTCCCTGATTTAAACCTGAGACAGATTACTGCAATTCACCAAAGCTTGAATCAGGGAAATATTTCAAGGAAAATGGATCATTATCTATACCTAAAACTAATACATTCAAGGTGATTTAATGAATTTAGTGTTAATCAGTAAAAAAATAAAAATAATCATTTTCGTCGTAATCACGGAGTCCGGGAATGGACATTTTTGACAAAATATAGTAACGCCTCTCTCCTAACATCTTCCAGCAGTGACGTCACGGTGCGGTAAGCCTAGCGCCATTCTCCCCGCTTTACAAGCAAAATCAATTGGAACTACTAGACACATCTGCAATCAGCAACAATTATTTAAGATTTCGAGAGGACTTCACCACTGAAATTTACCAGAGCTATAGTTAAACTGACATTGCTCACGTACATGGCAGTTGGATACTTTTGAACTTCTAGCCAGAGAAAAAACATCATGTGTAGCAAACATTTCGAAGAAGAATGTTTTCCAGATGACTTGGATAATAGCGCATTGTGACAAAAACCAGATACAGCACTGGGACTTGATCAACAGCCGATACCGCACCGTGATGTCACAAACCGGTAGGTGGCAGTGGTGTTCTTTGACAAACATGGATGCACATTCAAATGAAAATGACTATTAATCAAAAACGCTTATCATTTATTGAACAATATGTAATAATTTCATCTTTAAAGTAATTTCAAAAGTTTGAATTCTGAATATGACCGAACTTTTCCTTTAAGATTTTATTTCAAGTCCAGTCCAGAATCCATCAAGAATCTGCATATGGACCTTTAAATCTACATCTAGATGCACTGTCCATCCAGTATGATTGAGCCGGTGACTATCAGACGTATGGTAAAGCAAGATGTGCTCTAGATGTGCAAAGCTTGTAGACGCGCGTAACCCCAGAGAAAATCAATTTCATTACAACTATGTAAACCATGTATTCTTTGGCTTGTCCTTTACAATTCTGCACTATGATCAGCAAGTTTGTAACATACACTTTAAGTAAAAAAGTAGAATTTTCTGGTTTTAATATGAGCAAGAAAATTGCAGCAAGACATTGGCATTTAGTTCATGAAGATTTTATGACTTGATGGACCTTTATAATGCTATGTTTACACTGAACACCATTTGAGCTGCAGAAGCAGCTAGTTTACATGCAAAGTCAATGGTTGACACATGTCAAGGTGCATTAAATTGTCCTGCAGCGCTTCCCGAGCAGCAGGAGTGGTGCATTTTCACTTATCGAGGCAGCTGAAGCAGCGTCTCATGAGCTTCTGAGCATCTGAGGCGCAGACGTGCTTCACAAGCACTTGAGCGTGCTTGTGGAAGCTGCTACTGGGGAATCCCAGTGACAGCGCACTGCTAGTATGTGGGGCGAAATAATATTTTAAGCCAGGATCATAATCTTGACGAGCTGACCGCACAGATGATGTTTTAGGTGGACTTAAAAATATATTAAAACTACTTTTTACCCACTGATCACAACAAATATAGCAAAGCGGCTCTGCCATTGAACACATGAGCAGCAGAAGCATCAGACGCATCTGTACAAACTTTACTGGACGTGCCTCAGGAGCACCAAAAATATTCCTGAAGTGCATCTGACCTTAATGTAGACAAGAAAAAGAAGTAGCAAAAGCTCTTTTGCTGCTCAAATTGCATTCGATGTGAACTTAGCAGAAGACCACCTATGTTGTTTTCTTAAAAGCAGGCATCCCCATCTAGAGCCACCTTTTTTTTTAATGTCCTACTGTTCTCTGTTCCACAGTATCTGGAGCATTTCCTTTGCAGAGGTCCAAATGGTTACAGAGAATACTGTACAGAGAGGCTGCATCGTATAGTAGCCAATGGAGAAAGAAAAGAGCTCCCCTGTTGGATAGAGCTGCAGGTAAAATCCAGCTGAACTGTTGGACTTTTAGTCAGCAAGATGTCTGATAGTTCAAGGTAAAAGTGGAAATGTGATCTTGTTTTGTTCATAATCATCTGTAATAACAGGCTGCCAACAAAAAGGAGCCCATTAATTGGTCGGTGACACTAATGAATGGAGAAAAAATCGCCGTACAGCTGGATTCAGCCACCACCACATCTGAAGTCTGCCAGGCTGTGGCTAAAAAGATTGGGCTCAAAGACACCTTTGGCTTTGCCGTCTACATCAGCTTCTATGAAAAGGTCTTTAAAAGCATCTGATTCAAGTCATGTGGACATATATAGTATCTATTACATAGTTATAGCCGGCTGGTGTTTTTGGCTCCAGATGTGGTCTTTAGGCTGCTGTGAGAAGAAGCATGTATTGGATGCCGTATCTCAGTGCGAGCAGGAAATGAGGAGGCAGGGCAGGGAGGAGAAGGACACGCCCTGGAGCCTCTCCATCCGTAAGCAGCTGTTTGCACCGTGGCACGACTCCTCCCAGGACCCGGTGAGCACAGATCTGATCTACAAGCAGGTCATCAAAGGAGTCAAGTCTGGAGAATACATCTGTGAGAAGGTGAGACTCTGGAGACGCATGAGAAGAGTGAATATTTCTCGAGGTTTTTCACATTCTTCTGTACTTAAGTAGAATAGGTGCTTAATTTTAGTTTTTTTGTTTTTGGGGAAATTTGAAACAAACAAAAAAATTAACTTAGCCTGTTCTTTGGGGGAGTTTGTTCTTGTTTTGTTGTCATTTTGATACAGAAAACTCGAAAGGCAGCTTTTAGAAATAAAGCTTGACTTTGGTTAACCCAACATAAAACAAGGGGCCACATCTTTCAGGTTATCTGTGCTAAGCACAGTGCTTTGCAAAAACGTTTGCACTTTGAACATTTCCACACAACCACATATTTTTATGTGGTTCATCTGAAGATCTTATAAATAGTATGACTAAAAAATAAAAGATGATTTTACTGACAGTTGTCCTAGTGGAAATAGACCCTTCATCTAGGTTACAAGCCTTTAACGTGCTTCTTACTAAGGTTGGATCTTTCAATAAAGAATTAAGAGCAAGCGTCCTTAGCAGAGACTTAAAAAAAGGCATTTTAGTGTAATGTCTGTAGGGGGACGATAAAAGAAACCCATTATCTCCACAGCATGATGCTGCCCGTACTATGTTTCAACATCCTAATGTTTCCTCTATTTAGAAAGGATGAGCTACTCTGTTCTCTGGGCTTCCTTTGTAGACAGTTTTAAAACTCTGTATCCTTCTTTTTCACAATATTCACCTGAAATTTTTTTGTCTCTTTTTCCATTGCAAATAAAATTACACAACGATAAAAAAGTATCAATTTTTAAAAAAAGAAAAATTTATCAATAAAAGGAGGGAAGGCAAATGTATATGCTTCATGTGGCCTTAAGGATGCTGAATGCACTAATGAAATATATAACTTTTTTGCCACTTATGGTCCTGATTTGACCTGCAAGCTCGAGTTTGACGTATGATCTAGAGTTCTTTAAGACACTGGACCTGTCTTATATTTGCTTTAAAATTGCTGTTTCATTCCAATCCAAAATAAAAACTCTTCTGTATTTCACAGGAGGATGAATTTGTCCAGCTGGCTGCAAAGCACTACTTTGTCTGCTTCGGCTCTGAGGAGCCCACTAGGGACAATGTCCGAGAGGTGGTCCAGGAGTGCATCCCGACCACACAGATTGAGCAAAGATCCATGACAAGATGGATTCAGCTCATTACTGCAGAGCTCTCAATGGTAAAGGAGAACAGTCTGGATGTGTTTGATTAGAGATGGTCTGATATTTTTTCTGTAAAAGTTCCCCTAAAATTGTGAGTTGAGCTTAATAAAGCTTTGATTCCTGTAGGAGACGTATAACAACAGGAGACTAAAGGCAGAAAAGGTCAAAGGAGAGGTGGTGGACATCACCCAAAAAACCTGGCCGCTCGACTTCTCGAAGCTTTTTGACGTCACAATGATGTCAGGTCAGTAGAAATGCGGCCTTCATTTTCTTTAAAGGAACTATCCCTGATCCTGCAAAGGATCCCAACCAAACTGCTTTCTCCCCCCATGAGAAATCTTCCTTCCCTCCCTCCTGGTCTCCTCCCAGGATATTAAACAGGCATCTTAAGCTCATGCAAAGTCCTTTGTTTCACGCATCCAATATCCAGATAAAATGCCATAAAAGCAGAAAGTAATAAACAACCAAGAACTAATAATAAAGAAGTCAGAACATTCAGCAGAACTACAGCCAGATTTTAATTCAAGCCTAGTTTGAGGCAAAAACAATAATCTCCACTTGTAGAAAAATGTGACCATATTTATGATTTCTTTCTTGATTGGTCACTGTTCCTCTTCTGGTCCCTCTTTTCTTTATCTGTTCTTCTCCTTTAAGGCAGATAGGTGTGTATGCAGTCACATGCTTGGAAGTATCGCTACCTTTCCTGGTGCTTTGGCAGCTATTTTGTGCTGTTTATATATCTAGTGGTCCCAGAAAAGTCCCCATTATGCTGCATTTACTACTTTAAAAATAAATTCAGAAATACTTTATTAATCCCAAAAATTATTTAAATGTTCCAGTAACTTATAGGGTTATTTATTTTTGGTTTTTTTTAGGTGTTAATAGCTATAGGCAGGAATTATCTCCTGTATCCGTCTGTCTTGCCTTGACCTGTGAAATCATGGCAGCAGTAAATCAGTTATGCTCCAATTAAATCTTTTAATACATTGTTTAAAAAACATTCTTAACCAGACAAAAACAAAACAAACAGATATAGCTTCTCTAAAACCTAGCTGAAGGTCAGCAGGTCATACAAATACAACAAAAATATGAAAACTGTCATAACGGGAAAAGACAAGACCAAACTGTTGGGAAAAGATACATATAAAATTGAATGTAAAACTTTTTTTTATAAAACAAGCAAAAGGAACATTCACACATTGAGTTTTTACTTGCTGCACAACTTAGTCATCCATGACTTCGGTTATAAATGGCTTTTAGGTATTTCTACCAGTTTTCCTATCAGGCCACCAACATTTTCCTCTCTGGAAAGCTCATATTACACTGAGGTCTGCCAGTTTTCAAGTCTTCTCTCAGCTTCTCAATTTGTTTAAAGCGTTGACTTTAACTTAACGGTCTAACACATCAGTAATCTTTGATATAAATTTTGCATCTCTGCAGCTCCTCCATAGTTACCTCACCCATTTTAGATTGTATATGTTTTACATTCTGCACTTCCTTCTTCTGGCTATAGGGTTTATTTAAAGCCATTTACATGAGCTAAAAAAAATATTTTGCCATTTGTCAACAGGACCCCCATTGCCTAGAAGCAGATTTTTTGTGGCAGTAAACTGGAAAAACATCATCTTCATGGAGAAAAGGGAGAAGATTCTCATGGAGATTTCCTATGTAGAGGTGAAAAAAGTCGAGATGTTGAGGTAATCCTTTTTCCCTCTCGCAAAACCTTTTTGCTTGTTCCGTAAAAGTTAAAAGAATATCCACTGGACTTGGTTTCCAAGATTTGAAGACGTTTCGCCACCTCTCCAGGAAGCTTTCTCAATTCAAATGTCTGGATCCGCAGTGAGTTTGAGTCTTATATAGACAAAGCCTTGTATCGCTTGGAAACAGGCAAATGGTAACCGATGAATGGGTCGTTTGGTTCCATCGTTAGCCTGTAATATCTGAAACCTGTCTATGATTCTGAAGGTCGGTCATTAAAGGGGGGGGATTGCCGTCAATAGCGATACAAGGCTTTGTCTATAAAAGACTCAAACTCACTGCGGATCCAGACGTTTGAACTGAGAAAGTTTTCTGGAGAGGTGGCGAAACGTCTTAAAATCTTGGAAACCAAGTCCAGTGGATATTTTGTGAACTTTTACGGAATGACTATGACCTGGATGACTGAGAATCTTCATCAGCTTTTTGCTTGTGTGCTTTTAAAATCACTACAAACACTGTTTGTGGTTTGTGTAGAGACAGACACCTGTCTGTGAGTTTGTCAACAATCAAAGGAGACTACATCCTGAGGTCTCAAGAGGCGGAGGACATGGCCAAGGTGATGGAATTCAATGTCGATGGCCTTAGAAAGCGTTCTATGTATGCCATGGTTCAGCAGGACATTCCTAAACAAGGTAGGAGTCCATAAGGTCAAACGGGACCTTTTAGGTAAACAGATTCATCCTTCAAGCCTCAGACGTTCCTTTGTTTCTCACCCCAGATGATCCCATCTTCCTGGTCTGTAAACGAGGTGACTTGCTGAGAGTTGAAAAAGACTATGATGATGATTATTCACAAGATTGGACTTCAAATCAGATCAAAGCGTTCAACCAGCGAACCAAACGGGATGGATATGTCAATAGGGAAAAAGTGGAGTTTCTGCCAACTCTTACTGAACCTAGCGCAGAATTGCTGGTAAAGTTACCTCTTTGTTTTATTTATCTTCACTAGATAGTTGTTCAAAAAAAAAAATATATAGAAATCAGCATGTCTCATCAAGATGCAAAGTGGTCTTCTTGGGTTAAAATTAGCAATTTTACCAAATCTGATGATGTTATGTTAACAGAAAAACCCATGGAAATTTGGCGCCACCATGTACCACTATACACAAATGTCTTTCTTCTTCCTATCATTTCATTTTCACTAATCTCTGCTGCTTCAGATTATTCTCTGTGTTGTGTAACTGATCCACCGACTCTCACCCCACAGCAAAATCTCAGCCCGAAACAGAGGAGAGGCTCAGCCCCGGTCATTGTCCCTTTGGTCGAAGAGACAGTGGCTCCTGTTTCTTTGAAAGAGTTTGCTCTCGAGAATTTCAGGTAATAATCCAGCTGATTTAGTCACTTCACAGAAGAACGGCGCATGTCACAAGAATTGGGTGTATGAACTGGATTTACAAATAACCTGCTGGTGATGCCTCTCTCTCTTAGACAAGGCACCAAAGAAGGTGGTCGGAACAAGGGGGGACACAGGGAGAAGCTGTGGGTTTTCTCCAAGGAGCCTATTAAACAGCCACTCCTGAAGACGTTGGTTGGCAATTCAGAACTCAACCCTCTGGCCTGCAACTCCTTTACTGATATCCTTTGATAAAATATGCTGCTTATTTTCCCAGGTTTGAACAGTCAGTGCTTTCTGATGCACACAGGAAATCTGGTTCTCTGGAAGTAAAACAATGTCTGCACTGTTTTAAAAAAAGAACTGTTACAGAGTTAAGATGATTTAAGTTAGTTTCATATTTGTTTTGTTGCCTAACAACAACTTATTTTGTGAGTTAGCTGTGATGTTTAGGGGAGTTTGGAAAGCCATGAAGCGGTGCTCAGGGTCACATGACTCATTCAGCGACAGATGCACCCACTCATGTCAAGTTTTTAAGAGGAGCAGCCAGTACAAACCATTGATAAACTAAGCTAATGCTTGGGTTAAAAAAGTATGCAGTATTGCTTTCAAATATTTTTTTGTTAAAAATATGTTGATACACAAAATGCTCAGAAAAATAAAGAGAACGCTCAGATAACACATCCTGGATCTGAATGAATGAAATATTCTCATCAAATACTTTGTTCAGTACATAGTTGAATGTGCTGACACCAAAATAACACAAAAATCATGAATGGAAATCAACTTTATTAACAAATGGAGGCCTTGATTTGGAGTCACACACAAAATTAAATTAGGAAGAACAAATTACCAGCTGATCCAACTTTGATGTCCTTAGAAACAGGTCAAAATGAGGCCCAGTATTGTATGTGGCCTCCTTGGGATCTGCTCCCAGACCTGTAGTCTACAACATTGTTTCATTATTCAATGAATCTCACAGAAATACACTGTCTGTGGTATTTATGTGACATGTGAATTAGTTCAACGTTTAGAAATAGTTCATCTGTGTGTGTGTCCTTGACCATATCTGCTACCTATCTTGAAGTATATGGGCGACTACCCCATCAAACAATCTCGAAGTCCTATAGAGCTGACCGACCAGATCTTTGGTCCAGCCACCAAGCACGAGGAACTTCGAGACGAAATCTACTGCCAGTTAATGAGGCAGATGACCACCAATAGCAGCAGGTGCTCCACCGTCGACACAAACGGATTCTAAAGGGTCGACTAAAGTAAAAAAATGAACACATTTAATACTTGACCCTTCTTTTCCTTTGTTCCGTATCTGGCACCTCTCAGGATGAGTTTGGAGCGTGGCTGGCAGCTGATGTGGTTGTGCTCGGGTTTATTCCCACCCTCTCCGAAATTAAAAAGACACGCGCAGCGCTTCCTGGAATCCCGGCCCCGGGACCCTCTGGCTGCCATCTGTTTACAGAGGCTGCAGGACTTTTCAAGGTTAGAATCAAGATGATGTCTGATGAAAGATTTTTTTTCAAAATCACTTATTTTCACTTTATTTTTTTCTAGACTTAACTTTACAATGTAATGTATCTAAACCAACAGAGACCAGAGTGTGTTAATTGGCTTTAAAGTTAAACAATATGACATCACAATCTCGCAAAGTGATTTCCTGCTAAGATAATTAGCAGGAAATTACATCATGTTACATTTCTAGTCAAGAGATCAGCAAGTTCTGCCAAAATCTTCCAAAAAAAGAGTGAACCTATAGTTTCAATACAGAGCAAATTCAAAGAAATATTTATTTCACTGTCCTGCATTTCATCTTTATATTTCTTTAAAATATATACTTTGAATATTCTTTAAAGCTGGTCGACATCCTCACTTCACTTACATTTATCAGCAAAAAATGTTTTGCGTTGTGTTCTGTCACAAATTAATCTGCTATTTTCCCCTTCAGTAAAGAACCCAGGAAGCTTCCTCCCCATCAGGCGGAGGTGGAGGCCATCCAGCAGAACAGCACCCAGATGTTCTATAAAATCCACTTCCCAAATGACACAGATGCTGTAAGTTCCAACATTATTTTCTATTCAGAATCACAGCTCTTTACTATAGAATCATTTTAAAGGGACTTTTCTTTATTTTTATAGTAATATTAAAGCTAAAAGTATGTTTTTATTTAACATTGTATTTTTAGTATGTATGTTAATGTTGGTGTATTTTTTATTGATGCCTGTCGATACAAGGCTTGTTAGTTGAAAGAGTGAATTAATAGAAACTTTTAGCAAAAGGAAGTGCACCCTTTCTGGCTTATGTTATATATAATGAACTGATAAAAAGATCTGATCTTTGCCAGCTTGCCAAATCATCGAAATCAAGTAGTAGCATACTGGCTGATAAATGATATATGCACAATTTTACAGAAACAAAAAAGTAGGTTGAGAAATCAGCAAAGAAATAAGTTTATAAACACTAAGTTAAGGGTGCTCAAATAAATTAATCATAATCAGACTGGGCAATAACCTGGAGAAATGACAAAACACCCAGACTTTTATCCCAGCCTCTACATTTAATTTAATTTAATGTATTTATTTATTTGACAGGGACAGTGTACATTAAAAAGCATTCCTGCAAATGCACCAGAATTAGCCAAAAGGCTATTTTTCATCTGTTGTCCCTGGACAGATCTTAAAATTGTCTACCTAAAAAAAAAATGCCTCGTTGTAAAGTTGGAACCGGATAACCCACAAGCCCTTTGGGAAAAATGGTTAAAAAAATAAAATACAATAAAAAATACAGATGTTTGCTCATAATTTACAGCACCATGTTTGTAGGAAACCAAACAGGACAAAAACTCTATAACTATCAAGCATGGGGGTGGAAGGCTGGTGATTTAAGCTCATTAGCAGCTGCATGATGCTGTTAGCTTGGTGTTACTGGGTCCACCATGAGCTCCTGTGTATAGCGAGGCATTCTAGAGATAAATATGAGGCCATCTCTCCTGCAGCTAAAGGTTCAAAGAAACAAAATGGCTGAAAATGCAGAACTATTTTGCAATGCCCTATTCGAAACCACTACTCTAATGCATTAATACTAAAGGTGGAAAGTTTTTTTATTTAAAAAGTTTTTTTAAGCATAGCCTTTTTAAAATTTCTAAATATTTTTTTTGTTTAATAAATGATATGATTTAGGAATTTATTTAGTACACATCATGGTTTAAATAGAAATATTTCATAATTGGTCGAGGATCAGATACATTCTCTTCAGACGTAAAAACCCAAGACTTATAGGTCCTACATTTGTTGTCACTTTTATAAGTCATGTTTGTGCAGAAAATGAAAAGATGTCCCACAGTACATTAGCTTCACTCAACCTGAAAACAGGAAACATGTGGTTTGAAAGTCTTCACGCTGCACTCACCTACATACAGTATTCACCACAAAAACAGGAGAGTCTTTTTCTCTCTGCTCGGCTAGAAAGCTTATTCGGGAAGTTGAAAAAGTGTTTCTTAAATCCGAGTTGTGACATTTTGTGTGACTTCTCACAGCTAGTGGAGGTGTCTGCAACGATCACCAACAGAGAGCTACGCCACAGGATCGCCGACCAGCTCTCACTGAGCTCACCAGAGGGATACGGCTTGTATACCAAAGTGTCACAGAAGGTGTGTCTGGGTGACATTTGTGTTCAACTTCTTCCTCTCGTGTAACTCGCACAAAGGATCGCAAGGATATTTAGAAACATTTTCTTTATTGTTTTGTTATTTTAAAGTTAATGCACAAATATTAAATGACAGAAAGTTACCAAGTGGTGAGAAAAATATATATATGTCCCCTTTTAAAAACAGCTAAAGAAAACGTCCCAATCAGTATAAAAATATCTAAGCTTATCTCAGTATAAACCCAGCTTTTGTGTTTCTGCCTTTAGAGAACATTAGAAACACAGGAAGCAGATTGTGGATATAATTATAGATACATTCATATACATAAGTTTAAAGCATCTTAATAGCTATAAACTATTTTTTAGCCTCTATGTTAGAACCTCTTTGCAGTTTGCCACAAGCCATGTAGAGAACAAAACCAAAATGGAGGTGATGCTCTGGTGAGATGAGACCGATATCTTCGTGCGGTGGTGAACTTTCACTGCCTATCACTCTGAACACCACTGTCAAATCTAGTGGTTGCAGCTTCATCCTGTGGAAAGCTGCCCAGTGTTAATTGGAAGGTGGATAGAGCTGAACCTGAGGCCAACATGTCAGAAAACTGAAGACTTAATGGTGGATAATAGAGATTTACCCTCCAGCAGGAAACCAGCCCTCAGGCAGAGCCTCAAAGAGCATAGCACAGTCATGTTAGAATGGCCTAGTTAAAGTCTAGGCCAAAACCCAAATCAGTCTGTGGAAAGATTGGAGATGTAGTTTTAATGGATGATTTCCATTTAATCTTCCTGTGCTAATTTGTAAAGAAGTTTGGCACCTTGTCCATCTTCAGATTAGAGACTTATAAGGCTGAGTCTGCAGAGCAATGAATTATGTGCTTTTAGTGTAATCGCATGCCACCCTTGTCTGTTTTTTATGATAAAAAGTAAAAATAGTGCAATACTCTCTGGGTTTGTGAAATAAAATCCCAATAATATACGTCAAGGTTAATAGTTGGAAGTGTAAAGAAACATTTTCTGATATTCAAAATGTTCTTCTCTCCTGTTTGCTGTGTTGTAGCTGGTGTGCCTGGATGAGGACAAATATTTCTTTGACAATCTAAGGCAGCCTCCAGATGTTCCAAAGAAAGGGAAAAAAGTGAAAGAAGGTTAATAATTCAAAAATAAAGATGTTTTTTCAATGTTAGCGCACCCAATGCTTACCATTCAAACTGTGGCTCCACAGCCCAACAAGCCTATGTGCCGCTCATGGTGACCTTTAGAAGGAAGCTCTGGTTCAACGTCATCCCAGGAAAAGACCTTATCGCAGATCTTACCTTCCATTTCCCACAGGTATAGTTTAAGATATAAAAACTTTGATTCTGGTGGCTTTTACTCTTGTTTGAGATACAGTGTGATCATGAAATGGTTTGATTTTCCTTGCAGGAGGTGCCTAGGTATCTTCGGGGATTCCACCAATGCAGCAAAGAGGACATGATAAACCTGGGAGGGCTTCTCTTCAGAGTGGCAGTGGACTCCGACAGGTCACAGTTTGTCATGATCCCTAGAATGCTGGGCGAGCTGGTTCCTTCTGACCAACAAAAAATAATGTCTCCGGACGAATGGAAGAAGGTATGAAAGATTTCTTTTGTTTATTTTTTTACAGATATTTGAGAGTAAGCATTAATTTCTTATGAGAACAACAAAAAAAGTAAAAAAATGTTATAAGCATGACTTTTTCTGTTGTCTGCTTTCAGCACATCATCACATCATACAACGGGCAGAGCGGTATGACAGTACAAGAGGCCAAAATTGCCTTCCTTAAAGAAATTTCTAGTTGGCCGACCTTTGGCTGTTCCTTCTTTGAAGTTAAAGTGAGTTACAGAGGATGCAGAGACAGCCACATACTGTAAGGAAACAAAAACCCAAGAAAACTATTTTTTCTGCTTTTATTTGCAGCAAACATGTGAGCCATCGTACCCACCTGTTCTTTGGTTTACCATCGGCAAGAAAGGCGTTAGCCTAATTGACCCCAGAACGAAGGTACGGAAAATAATTAATAAAACTGTTAGTATGTGTGCAGATTTACAGAGTCTTAGCAAACTGCTCCTACCCATTTAAATTTTTCACTTTGTTATAGGATAGCACCTTAAAATTTGCTGGAATTTACATAATGGACCATTACAAATTAGCACGCAATTCAGATTTGTTTTGCAAATATTTACATATAAGAATTGGAATTTTGATACATTTTGTTGTCCTTGAAGTACAAATATAAACTTCTTCACTGACCTCGATTGCACAACTAGAAACTGACCAAACATGGGTGTAAACTAAGAGAATGTGAATAAGAGAAGCAATCAAGAGGCTTACTCTGGAAGAGTGGCCTTGGTTCAAGTGAAAACTCTGGCAATTATCTTTTTATTAAAGAGTTACAGAGCAAATCAGCTGTTGAACAAAAACCATAAGAAGATCTGTTTACAAAAAAAACAATTTATGGCAGAAAACTAAAACTGCAAACAACATTGAACAAGATTCTCATAGAGAGTTATGGTAGTGGCAGCATCATGCTATGTGAATGCCTTTCTTTGATAAAAAACAAAAAAAACAAAAACAAAGAACAGATCGAAATATGAATAAAATTAAGTACAGAGAAATGATAGAAATGAAAAAAAATTGAGACTTCAGAGATTAAATCCAGATCTTAGGTTCACCTTAGTTGGACGAGTCTAAACATACAACTAGAGCGACTGAGTGTTCAACCATGTTCATGTGTTAGAAAGGTCCAGTTAAAGTACAGACAGACATCCAATGTAGAGTTTGTTGCAGACTTTTAATGTAGCAGAATTCGCATTTTCTCACTTACAGTTACTCTCCATGCAGCCAGACCAGGCTTGAGCTACTTTGCCAAAAATTGGCAAAACATTTCAGTCTGAACCAGAGACTTTCATCTGTAATTTCAGCAGAAGGGGATTTAACTAAGTATAACTGTTAAAGCACCTTTAATATGATGATTATAAATTGAGAATTAAGCTTTTAATCCCTGAGTTTGTTGATCATAACGATAAAAGTATCATAGAGTCTTAAAGTTGTAGGGAAGTCATATTTAAATATCAAATCATTCTGGCTTAAACATGAATATAAATTTACTCTTTATCAGATCAATATTGTCCCAAAAGTTTGAAGATTTCTATTTTAAAAAAAGATCCTGTCTTAAAACCTGTGGTTTTTTTTCATTATCTTATGCAGGCCAGTTAGGTATACGACGGCCTGAACACCTAAATTCGGCCAATCATCTATCAACGGTCCTCTGTCAATCAAATTTTTTCGGTCATAGCATCTTGATTCATATGTCGCTGCTAATATACACAACGATTTAAATAATCATGTACTTTACCATTGAGTTTTGTCCCAGTGTTCACGGGATGGACGTCTGTGTCTTCGGCAGGCGTAGAGCTAACAGAACTGCAAGCGTTGCGAGGCAAGGGCTCAAACATGTACGGCTCTAAACCTTTTACACCAAACCAAGCTTCTGCCGCCCTGGCGTCCTCTTTCCCAACATCTTCGTCCCCGCTTTCCTCTAAATAAAAAATGTATGACAAAGGAGACTCATCCACAACCCATCCGAAACAAGACTCTCCTCCTCTTGCATGTTCCCGCTGTCCATAGCGTTCCTTGACATTGTCGTTTCTAAGTCACAAATTTAGTGCTACTTGATCCCAATGTAATTTTCCACTGGGAACCTACTGTACTAGAACTAAGTTGCTAACTGGTTAGCAAGATGCTTCCGAGACACGGGCCACAACCAAACTCCTTGCCAACCTTCTGCCACAACAATCTCGCCCCCTTGATAAACGACCAATCACATTCACTTTATTCACCTTTTATGCTAGTTTTGTCACCAATGTGTTTTTTTCCCGACATAACTGAACAATTGTTGACACCTTTTAGGAGCTGCAAGTGATGCATCCATTCAACCGCATCATCGATTACAACAGCAGAGGCAACTACTTCCAGATGACCATCCGCACCATGGTGAGGGGCGTCAGCTTCGTGTGTGAAACCTCACAGGTAAGTGGCTGAGTTCACATGTAGATTAACATCAAGTCAAGAATTATCACTCCCTTGTTCTACACATTTTAACCATTCCTCTTTACCGTAGGCTTCCACAATAGAGGACATTGTTAAATCGTACGTCAGGATGTATGAGGAACAGAGGCAGATCTCTCGACCGAGGAACAACATGTTTGACTGAGACTTTGAACTGATCTGTTCTGATTTCCATGCTGTGTTATTCATTTTCTTGAAGTTAATCCATTTGTAAACAATAAATAATAACACTGTCTATTATACAGACTTCCTCTATTAAAAATGTGATATTCAAAAGTTTCTGTGCAATATTTGTACTTTTTTAGTTTACACACAGTTGTTACTTTTTAGCACAGTATAAATGTAAATAATGGTTTATATCCTCTAAGTCAGGGTTTTTCAAAGTAGGGGTTTGGACTCCATGGGGATTGCAGGACACTAAATACAGTGAAAGGTTTTTAGAACCCCTGCTTTGAGTTAAATTGAGCTCAAATTTAAAAGTTTTTTACTTTTACTACTCAAAGTTTTTTTTTTTCTATGATCCAAAACATTGATTATATATTTGAACTCCATTTAATGACTACCCTAGACATGCTGTCAGTCTAAAAATAACACATTTAGTTGTGTAAATGTCGGAGAAGTTAGACTTTTTACATGTAAAAGGAGGGACTCTCCACTGAAACTGTAATTCCACTGTTTGCTTCAAATCCACTTATCACTAAAATATTTATAAATATAAAATCAATGTATTTAGGACAGTGCCTGTTCTGTTTGGCCATGTTTAATACAGCTTTAGTTGTTTTATAGCGGATCTGATTGGGTGTGATTAGTAACACTGACCGTAATGTGTTATTTGTGATAAATTGTTTAGTTTGCAGTGATTGATAAAAGTATGTGCAGTAAATTCTAAATATGGCTTAATTATTTTTGAAAAAATCCTGCAGCAAATTAATGTATGTTTGTCATTTATTTAGCAAGAAATTACGGCTGTACAACCAAAGAGTTACAACCATTCCTGTTGGTAATTTCTTTTAGAGTCCAGTCCATGTTCTCTCCTCCCTTTATTTCTACCTTCTGCTTCCCTAAGAATAAAGGAATTCTGATTTGGGGTGTGAATCGCCTCCATGTTTTAGATCAGGGTATAAAGCTCAGTCCATGAGGAGTGGTTTTTAGAAACTTTAAGTCATGTCCCTGGTTTTACAAATTTGAATCAAATAAGCAAACTGTTTCATCAGCATTCAGTCAAGTTCTACAGAGTCCTGTTTATGACTGAATTAATCCTCTCAGATGTGTTAATCGCACGTTTAGACAGACAGATTTTTCTTTGTTAAGGATTGTGTCCTTTGAGGGCTGGAATTTGACTTCAGTGAAAGAGCCTGTTTGGTTACATTCTGGGTTTAAGAATAAAATCTGAGTTCCTGATGTCATTAACTTCACCAAGGTTGTAATTTGGTTTGGAAAAGAAACTAGTCCACAGAATCATGTTCCTCCACCATGCCAACAACAGTGACCATAGTTTTCCACATTTTCAATTATGTTTTTTGTTTTTTTTTGTCTTATCAAAACAATATTTCAGTAAAGAAAAGCCTTCCTCTTAAATATTTGGTTGGATAACATCTAAAAACTGTTAATAGAGCCTTGATGACCTTAAGATGCCAGTATTTGCTGCAGTTTTCTAACTGCAAATTCTGTAATGTCTTTAACTTTATATAAGCAATTACTGTAAATTGAACTATTCAGTAGCATGAGAGATTTTCTATGTTTCTATTGATTTAATTAAGAAGAGTTTAGATATATTATTCCAGTCAAAGGCAAATTTTTTGGATACATAAATAGACTTCTTATTTATAACTAGGGGTCTATAAACAACATGTTTGTACCATTCAGATATCTTTGCTGCCTGTGGTTTGTTCTCTTCCAGCTTTTTCTGTCGTAATTTTAGTGGTTTTAAACTTTGAAATTATTGCCCTGCCTTCAGGTATGTCCAACAACCTGTAAGCAGGTTGCTTACACATGTCCTTACAAAATCTTTATTGATCTGATCTGATATTCTAATATTAAATGTTGTGGGGTTTTTTTTTTTGCTCTAGAGGTTTTTACAATTGAGTTGACCTGCAAAAATGTCAAACCGACATCCCAATAACCATATCACTGGTTTATTTTCTCTATTTTTTATGCCAGTACTAAGAACTTTTATCTAATCAGCAGTAATTTCAGGTATATTTTGTTGTCTGCAGATCATTCTACTAGGTCTACCTAAAATAAACCTATTAATGAAAATAAACCGTATATTAAAATGTACTGAAACTAGAATAAGAACATAACTGGATCTAGAGTTACTGTTTTTAAAGAAACATTTTACTGTGAATTCTAAGAGGACTTCACCCAAAGTCTGGAATCATTAGATGCTTTAATCTATTTTTATCTTACTTTTATTATGTACCAGTGGATCCATTCATTTAGATCCTGTCTCATTAGCTCTACAGCTATGAAGTTGCACAACTTCACTGTATAATCTTTATGCTTATTGACAAGAGCCAGTTGTGGTCGACTGCAGCTGTAGTTTTGGTTGGACTTTCAAACTTTCAGCTTAGTTTCTAGTTCTGCATTTGACTCTCCTAGAAATCTCCTGACTGCTTCTGATACTGTATGACTGCCACAAACAAATCACTGCTCTCCTTAAAGAAAGCACTCAGGTTTCATACTGAAGTGCAGGATCACATGCAAAGCGTATGTTTGTTAGATAATAAATGAGTGACATGTGTTGAGTAACTACTTATTCAATCATCTCCCCAGTCTGTCAACCCTTTTGCTGTTTCTATGGAAACCTTGCTTTAAAAAAAAAAAAAATCAGGTTACCATTGGCAGGTGCATATGAGGAGCAATGATTGTTTGCACCCTGGTGTGTTGATGCAATCTGACTGCAAGGAGACACAAAAAAGCCAGTTCAGAGTTTGAATTCATTTAGTTAGTTTTTCTTTTTTTTGTCTGAACCAAACCTAAAGTTTTAACAGTCTTAGATTTCCTTTGAGGGGAAAAAAAAAAGTTTGAGCCTGTGACATAAATGTATTTGATTGCAAAAAAAGATAAAGATATAGGCCAAAATGTCCCCTAAGTAAAGATGATATGCATATGTGTTTGTGTGCAATGCCTGCCCTACAGTAACATGGAAAATGCATTTTGATGCAGTGCACCAAATTTGAAACAAAACACCTTTGAGCCCAGACCACATCACTATCCTCCCACCTGCATACCCCCCTCCCCAAACGACTTATATATCATGAATAAAAAAAAAAGAAAAAAGTTATGATGCGCACACAGAACAGTGCAAAAACTCTTTGATGCCAACTTTAAATATGCATCTTGTTTATGATGTGATAGGGGTAGAGTACAGGTCTTTTCTGTTTATCTAATTGGCTTTATTTATTGTTTAACTGAATGTGTGGTTTCTTCCTTCTTCCTCTGGATGCAGACAACAACTTTCAGCCATTTTTTTCAGGGGTTGTTGTTGAGCCTAACAAGACAACTGTTCCCAGGTCGACGCAGAGCGGTACCTTCCGGTGAACCTAGAGCTAGTTTGGAGGAGGGTAAAATGATCCCAGATCAGTGTCTGTTTAGGTGTCAGGTCTGCTCTCAGAGAGAGCGTCAGCCTCGCGATAGCCTCGCCTAACCCACACTAGAATCAAAGCTCCGCTCGCGAACTGGATGCTGACAGGCGCGCGCGCGGTGCGGTCATCATGCAAAGGTTACATTGGATCCCTGTCAAGAAGCCGCTCCCCCGTAGGACCCTCTCGGGTGACAACATGCAAGACGTCTAGCGGCGACGACGACGGGACTGACAGCCCCCCCTTTCCTCCTCCTCTTTCTCCACTATCCCTCCTCTCCCTCGTCTTTCGCCGGTGTGTTCGTCTGCGGCAGGTGTCCAAAAACGATGGACGCCGTAAGTTTGAGATTTCCGCAAACGGCAGTGCGTGCGCTGGCTCCTCTCGGCGGTAAAGTGGCTTCATGAGTGTCCAAAGTAACAGTGGAAGTGGTGGTGGAAGTTTGGAGGCGACGCCATCTTGGTCACAGCTCTCCTCGTCCCCTACGATTTCTCAACAACACATAACGGCGTCCGCAAAGATCAAGGAAGGTACTTAAAAAAAAAAGAAGGCTCGCCACAGGATTGGGCTGGTTTTAATGAAAATGTTTCCTATTTGCTGTGAGTCGGACACCATTTTGTTATAGCGGTTGGGAAGCTAACGTTTGCTTAGGTGAAAAGGGGAAAAAATGGATGTCAAGTTCACTGATGCAGGGAATTGGAAGCCAAACGTCAGCTGTCAGTTCAGCTTAACGCCAGCTTTAAGTAGCAGCAGGCTAAATCACCATGTTTCCTCCAAGGCTGCTGCTAGCTTGTTGACTTGTTTGTATGGCTGCCAGCTTGAAATTGGTATCAGTGTTTTCCTGCACTTCGTATCGTTTACCTTCTGCCACTTTGTAGATAAACAACATAACTGTGTGTGCATCCATTAATGCACAGCTATGCACGTCCCCGTCACTATTATACACGTCTATAAGCCGTGAAGGTTACTTTTCAAGCAGTTTTTGATTGCATCTATTTAATGTTTTTTTTTTTTCGAAACACTAGGTGAAACAAGTATGTAACTCTTATGATTATGTGCGGATGGATGCATCATGATAAATGGCAACAGCTGGTTTTAATGTTGCAGCTTGATCTATTAGTAACAGGACATGATCTGCATGTTAAAACATTCAGACCCTCGTAGTGTTTTTAATTTATCACTTTATTTAAACTATTCGAGATAAATACAGCACAGCATGTTGCAATATAAAGCTGGGGCTATTTGCATTTTAATCCACCCAAATCACTTTCTATTTTCTCTGACTGTAACCTCTGCTACGTGCTTCATAAGGGTTTCATAATCTCCATTATGCCTTTTAAGGCCTGCCCCAGTGCCAGTAGCTGTGCAAAGATGTCAGCCTGGAAATGTCCAATAAGGAGACAAACACTTGGAGGAGAACACAGAGCAGCTGTGTTACCTCTCCTCTGAGTGGAAACTGGTTGTACCAGATCAAGCCCCTGTCTGACAGTAGCACATATGAGTTTCTTTCTACATGTGATCTGATGCTTGCGATTCAATTTAAAGGTAAACTTTGGCTTTGAATAGCCTTTATTATTTTTAGTAGTTAAAGCACAACTGATGCACAAGTGTAGCATTTTAATTGGTAATGTTGTGAAAGGCCTCGTTGTTGTTTGTTTTTAAATTACCTTTTTAGATGATCTGATTATTGTTTTTTTTTTTTTGTGGTGGTTAAATTCTTATCTTATTTCTAAGTGGTAACTGACTATTCTAGATGGTTCCTGGACTCTGGATCCATTAATGTCAGTGTTTTATGTAGGGTTGTTGTTTTGACTGCTCCGGTGTGATGATACTGTAGGTTAGCTGATGGAAAACATTTTTGTGGACGGACTGGAAAGCTGACTTCACCCTCTCTCGCCTTTTTGCTTCCTGACTTCCAAGTGCTACTGTGACCTTACTGCTCAGTTTGCACCTTCCACAACAGGCTGAAGGTGTATTTGTTTTGAGAAGCCACCCTAGTTTTAGTTAAACCCCTTTGTTTTTTACTTTTTATCATTTGCTACGGTTGACTTTTTCTTATTTCTTTAAGGCCTCTTGTGTTGATACTTTGTATTTCATCATCAGACATTTTGGGCTGCTGATGCTTCTTGAATAACAGGTCATGTATACGTTCATAACAGGAGCAATGGAGGAGCTGCACAGCTTGGACCCCAGGAGGCAGGAGCTGCTGGAGGCCAGGTTTACAGGAGCTGTCAGCGGCAATACGGGAGGCAGCACTGGGAGCGCCAGTGGAGGTGCTAAGGTAATGGCAGAGCTATAGAAAGTAAAAACAAAAGCAAAAAGTTTTTATGAAATCCAACATTCTTTGTAGAGAACCCCACTGATTCTGACCTGATCTGCTGATTCTGATGTTGTGGCATTTCTTTTTGAAGACTAATAGTGTTCAGTGTTATTTTAAGCATAATAGAAATGTTTCAGAAAGAGGAAAAAAAAAAAATCAGAGCCAGTTTTCAAACTATAGTAAAAAAAAAAAACATCGTATCCCAAATTATGAATGTGTTTGATCACTTTTAGCACAATCCTTTTCTATGTTAGTGTGATGACAGCAAAGTTGCCCTGTTCTTACACTTAATGACTATAATCACTCAGATGACAAGCTATACACAGTTAAAAATGTCAACTCAATCAACTTTTTGTCTTCGTTTTGTTGTGTGGCATAATCTCTACTCTTCATTATAAATAATGATGCCTCGCAGTAGGAGGGGTACGAAAGCCTTTCAGCCGTCTTTTTCTCTTAATAAGAAACAAGGATCTCTCGAAATCAGTGTTGGCAAGACAGAGATTTTCAAATACCGGGAATCAATCAGAACCTTCTGTAACAGATAAAAGTTAGACCTTTTCTGCTGGCTCCTGTGTGGAGGTTGAGTTTTCAGGTTCGAGAAAATAGACATGACACATTTTTAAACTTAAAACGAAGGGGGCATTACTGCCAAAGTAGCAATGATTTAAATAAGATTTTGCTTCTGATGCGTTAAATTAATAGTGAAAAACTTGTTTTATCAATTACAGATTGACAATTGCATCACTAGTTTACTGGTTATTTCAATTTTAGGGACTTAAGATATACATTTAATGCATATTTGGTTATTCCAGACATGATATGGTTTTGAGGTCTGCAATAAATGAACTTTAAATCAGCTTGTGTATAGGGCTGGGCGATAAGACGATACATATCGTACGGACGATAGAAAAGTGTCTATCGTGCTAATTCTATTCTATCGTTTCTAACACAATTGTATCTCGTATTCATGCAAATATTTCCCATGGTAGACTACGACAATCGTATTAGTGTAGCCACGTAGCCTACACACAGCTTATAAGTGATAAACAAGATTTTTTTTTTTTTATCCACAAAGAAGCGGCGTCCTGTGGTTTTTGCAACATGACGCTTCTTTACGGGTTTTTGACTCACACGCGGGTTTGCGACATGCTTTACGTTACTTAACTCATGAGAGTTGGAGACGCAGGAGGCTGAAGTATTAAACCTGTGGTCGCAACAAACAGAGACAGCTTGGCAGGCAACCCAAGATAAAGACACTTTACCAAAAAGAGGGGGCACATCTGTGATTTGGTTACATTTTGGATTTAACAAGTCCAACAAGGAGCAGACAACATTTGCAAACTATGCTACAAGACTGTTCCCTTACCCGGTGGCAACACAACAAACCTCTTCTAATACCTAAAGAACCACAGGAATTTAATTTAAATACCCGTAGGATTTGAAAAAATGTGAAGGATACTGTAGCCATACTTCCACCTCGTCTTATGCATATATGTTGTTGCACTACAATTTATTTTTCTAATTTGTGACAGTTCTATAAATGTCACTTCAAAATAAAGTTGGAAAAAGTAAGCAATTATATTATTTTGTCATATTTTTCAGAGATTTGCTGAAAATACTCAATTGGAGCATATTGCGATATATATCATTATCGTGATATAAAATAGTCCATATCATGATATATGATTTTTTCCATATCGCCCAGCACTACTTGTGTATATATATATATATATAAAAAAAAAAAAAAAATCAGAGCTTGCTTACTCTACAGAGAAAATGTAAGCGGACGTACAGAGTGTGATCTGCAGTGGTCACCACTGTGTGTATTTATCAAGTTTACTTTAGAAATTTAAGCCTAAGAAGAAAAATCCCTGCCTTATAAGCCAGCAGGCTGTTATTTGATGTTCCCTTGTATCAATCTACCGGTGCTTACATGTTCCTAACAGGGCTGGGAGCTCCTTTTTAATCCCAGAAATAATTCAAGCCCTTCCTTTCTCATGCTGGAAAAGCAGGTTAAAGGTTCCTGTTTTCCTAAAAAGGACTCTTTAGTTCCTGGAAATGTTCATGTGCTTGGGGAAAAAAAGCCTAGTGACACACCTAATCACTAAGAATCTGCATTCTTGTCAGGCATGTTACACGGCAGGCCTGCCGCCAGCACTGGTTTGTCTGTGCTGCGCATTTCTGTCAAGTCACTGAGCTTGCACAACACACCTGTACAGACTGTTCTCCCATTTGCTGATCCATGGGAATTATTGTCTTTGTAGGGTCTGGCCAATGAATCCTCAAACCACAGCTATGGAAGTCTGGGTTCATCCAGTGACAAGGAGTCAGAGGTAAGCCGCACACAGAGACAATCATGCAGGTCTTTTGTCATTCAAAATCAGAGTGAGTTTATAACATGTATGCACACATCAAGTATGCACATCCCACTCTTGGCTCTTTTTCTCTCTCCACCTTCTTTTCTGTCTCTTCCTAGAACTCTGATTTAAAAAGAGGGAGCTCCCCTGCCTACTCAGTATGTACTCTTTCTTCCTGCTGCTCTTTCCAGCTGAACACCATGCTCTGTTCTATACTTTGTTAGGTAAAACACAAGGGATTTATGCTTTTTTTTTTTTTTTTTTTTTCTCCCTCCTCCTCCTTTCATATTTTATCGATTGTCAGACCCCGGAGAAGAAGCACTCTGAAACTTCCAGGGGCCGGAAGAGGAAAGCCGATACCTATTCTGACAGCAGTCAAGGTATGCTGTGTTTAAATGGTGGGATTCAAGCTAGCGTAATTCCCCAGCAGCTTCCCTTTGAAATGCATTTATTTATTCATTTTTTTGTCTGGTTTTCAGGGAAGACTTCTACACGCGGGCCCAAAATCAGTGACTTTTTTGATGTAAGTTGTTTCACTCTATCATTTTGTCTGGAGACTTGATGGTTTAAAGCTGTATGTAAAAGCTGTTTTGTTCTCCTTGAAGTTTCAGGGTGGGAATGGGTCCAGTCCAGTAAGAGGGCTTCCATCAGCCCGCCGCTCCCCACAGAGTTCACAGTCTGCACCCGGCTTAATCGTACGTATTTTCCTAAGAGTCGTTTCAGCTCAGAGTTTCGTGATAAGTGTATGCTTATATAGCATGGTTATAACTCGATTTTTTTTTTTTGTGTTGTAGATTCGTCAGAACAGTTCCTCTCCCACCAGTCTGTGTTTTGGGGAGCACACTCTCAAAGCCTCTTTAAGCAAATGCATCCAGGTACAAGACGACAAACTGACAAAGAGAGAGCAGCTTGGTTATTCTGACAATTCAGATCCTCTGCTAGTTGGCTATTGTGCTTTAAGCATCTTCTGCTTTACAGACGGAGCTGACGGGCCTGAAACTCGCTGCCCTGGAGAGCAACAAGAGTCTGGACCTGGAGAAAAAAGAGGGACGAATAGATGACCTGCTGAGAGTGAGTCCTGTCTCTACAGTAAAGGCGGAGCAATCATTCACTGTGGTCCAGTTGTACAAATGAACACTGGTCTCCTGCTTCATAAACTGGTCCTCAAAAGATTTCCTCCAAGCATTAAGGGATTTTCTTCTCTTTACCAAAATCTTTCAGGACAGCGCAGAAAGAAGTTCTTATGCCATGGTTTAAAAAACGTTGCCGCCACCTGTTTCTCCTTTTCGGTTAAAATACAGAAATGATGTGTCTTTTCTTTTGAAAAAAGACATATTTTGAGCTTTTCTTAATTATATATATTTCATTTTCAAGAACTAGCCACAAGTCTTTTCTTTTTCCCTTGAGGAAGTTTGCTCAATAATCTAAAACAAACAAGCCAATCCACCTCTGCATGTTGGCTAAAGTTGTTTCTGGTTTTACATAATGGCAGAAAATGCTACCACCATGTTACTGAGGCAGACAGCTTAGTGACTGTGCTGATCACAAGATTTTGGATTGCGTCTTTGATTAGTTCTGAATAAAAGGTGAAAGTCTCGATGACTCTGTAGATGTGCAGTTGGTGTATATTCCTTGATGCTTTAAATTTCTGTTGCTTATTTGAGCGTACGTGACCTTAAGGTTAAGCACTACTTCACCTTATGCCAGTTAAAAAAGATGGCTGTAGTATACCTGGGTTTGCCTCAGCTATAAGGGGGTGGAAATACAGTCATCCTGTTGGATATAAACTTTGTTAAACAGCACAGATCGATTGTGGTTGATGGCAAAAATGTAGAATTTTGAATGTTTATTGCTAAAGGGAAGGGAGATCCTACAGAGGATTTGAGTATTTGCCTTGCACTTGTGAGTTTAAAAAGGCATCCGCCAGGGCCAGACAAATTATAATTTTATTATTAAATAAAATTTTCAGTTTAAAAAAAATTGTTTTTGGAAAATCAAAATGTCAGATTTTTAAGTCATATTGCCGAGCCATAGCTTCCACTGACATTAAAGGTAACTATGAAGAGATTTAGTTTTAAATTCCTGTTTGTTTTTTGTACTTGATTTATGTTTAAGAATAACATTTATTTTATGGCTGAAACAATTAATCGATTATTTAAATAATCGTTAGCTAAGTTAGCAATCGATTAATCGTTAACTGTAGTATAGAGACTTTAAAGCAAGCCTTTAGCTGACAGAGCAACCTACCTTGAGCAGCAATTATACCAAAATTGTGCGAGAAAAAAGTGTAAACATTTTGCATTTAAGATAAGAAAAACTTTTTTTGTTTGTCAATGTGTCCTATCCAAAACTCTAGTGGAAAAGTTTTAGTTTCACCTGGTTTCATTTCGCAAAAAATCTTCTTTAACTGATCTTCAGCTATCCGATGATTAACTGATCCATCGAAAAATGTATCTACAGATTAATCTATTTGCAAAATAATTGTTAGTTGGAGCCCTAATTTATTTATTTTTTTAAAAAGGAGCCATCAGTTTTAGATTGGTATTAATTCCATTTCATGTTCTAGATATTGTTTAAAAAAAGGAATTTGAAAGTAAAGGTATTTAGAGCTGTCTGCCAGCCCATTTCTATCTACATGGATGAAGAATGAAGGTTTTCTAGTAGCTGAGGCTAATTCTTGATTTAAAACTGAAACTCTGGCTTGATCTAAAATAGACTGGTCCTGTTCAACCCTCCATACCCACCATTTATGGTACAGTTCAATTAGGCTTTTTCAAAGTGGACCAGGTTAGCTTTGTTTCTTCTTAATGATAAATTATCAGTCAAAACTAGGTTTATTATTTAATCGGGTTTGTTTGACCAATAACTAGTTTAGATTGAACTGAAACATTTACTGTGACTCGTTCACCTATCCAAAATCATGCTGTAGCTTTTTTTGAGCCATGGATGCCACAACAGGCTGTGATTTTTAAAAACTGGCCTCATTGGTGATGCAGCTGCCATTGAAATCACAGGTACTTTACCAACAGTTTGAGTTTGGGACCAGCCCCCCCCAATCATTTCTAATCCTCTCCATCAGGAGTGTGATCTGATACCTGGGTTCAGATCTGTTTCATGATGTCTCTCATGTGCTCGTTTTGAACAGGCTAATTGTGACCTTCGGAGACAGATTGATGAACAGCAGAAACTCCTGGAAAAATACAAGGAGAGACTCAACAAGTGCATCACCATGAGCAAGAAGCTGCTTATAGAGAAGGTAGTATTCATATTAAAGCTCCACTTTCTCTATAAACCTGGTTATAGGAAAGTATCACAGTTTATAACCTTGTCTCAGTTCCTGCTGATGATGTGTCCTGTATATTAAATGATAATTTAGTAGATTCCTCTCTGCAAAGAGCAAGGTACTTCCTTCTGTTCTTGTAGGGGTCAGATCTTATCCCCCCCTAAGTGTGTAAAGCTGTTTCCTTTGGACTCAATCTTCCGTCAGGTCTTATTGTTTGGAACAGTAAATTTAAATCCGTCTGTTTTTTCCACAGAGCACCCAGGAGAAGCAGTCGAGTCGCGAGAAGAGCATGCGAGATCGCCTGCGGCTAGGCCACTTCACCACAGTCCGACACGGCGCCTCCTACACAGAGCAGTGGACCGACGGATATGCATTCCAGAACCTCATCAAGTAAGGAGTTTTATCAAACAATCAAATTGTTTCCTTTATTGTTATTTAGTCGTATTTTTACTTCAAAATAACCTGGATGGTTTCTGAACAGTTTTAAAACCTGCAGCAACAAGCAGTTTGAGTTTTTTGCCTCACAGATTGAATGTTTTCTGCCTTTCAGGCAACAGGAGAGCATCAACCAGCAGAGAGAGGAAATTGAGCGGCAGAGAAAGCTCCTAGCAAAGAGAAAACCGCCGAACCCTGCATCTCCCTCGCTGTCGCTGGCCTCAACGTCTGAACCGAAACAACGCAAAACTAAAGTGGTGAACGGCAACGACTCTGACCCCTTTCTCAAGCCCTCTCTGCCCCAGCTGTGAGTTAACAGAAATAACTGCATGCTGTAAATGGAAGATGCTGGACTGTAAAGAATGTGGCGGTTGGTTGTCACCTATTTATACTCGTTTGACGGAGTTAAAATGAGGCAGACTTAATTATATCTGTACTTGCTGCTGAAGGGTACCAGAGACTGAATAATAATTTAGCGGGTTTTAAAACTTTTAATCATTCACCCGTGTTAGAAAGGTACATTACTGAGTGTCATTTAACCAATGCAGTTTAACCTTAATGTTTTGACAGACTGACCCTTGCTGAGTATCATGAGCAGGAGGAAATCTTCAAGCTGAGGCTCGGACACCTAAAAAAGGTCAGTGGCTAAAAAAACTCAAACATGTAAATAAGCAACCCCATATGACCCACCTAAACAAGAAATGTTTACGTTTAAAATGTTTTATTCAGTTATTTTCAGTCATCACATTTTGGTAAAACCTCTTAAAGCAACACTGCGCAACTGTAATTGCTTAATGTGAGATATATTCATTAAAATTATTTTTCAGGTTAATATTCAGCACTTGTTGCACGTCGATGATCTTCTCAGGCTGCCCTTCTCAATAACCCCCCTATGGAACTAAAGGGATCTGGATGTTATCCACAGTGCTGCTTTATAGCTGCCTGAGCTCCACCTCAATACAAGAGCTAATTAAGCTGCAATTAGTTAGGCAACAAAACCGATTAGTTAGGGCTAGGTGATATGACCTCAAATTAATGTCGATATATTGGGCAGTTTTACCTCAATAAAGATAAATGCTTCAGCTACTCTATCAGAAATAAAGGCATATGCAGGAAATACAACTGATCTATTTAGAATTTGATTGTTGAATAAATCGCATTACATATTACTTTCAATTAAATATTAAAGTCTTGTATCTATTCAGGTTTAAACATTCAACAATGTCTCATTCAGCAGGAGAAAAATGTTAGTTCTTGTAAAAGTTTTTGCTCAAAAGTAATGGAGCCTTTTGCACGACTTTGAACTCAACAGCGTGGTTGTGCTGTAGGTGGGGGACGAGGTTGGATGTTACTTTGGGTAGTCCAGACAGTTTCAGGCAAACTTTGCATTTTGTGTTCTTTTGCTCAACATCTTAGGTGTAATTTTGATGCCACTGAACTGTGCGTGCAGTGGGAACACCGGAATCGTTTAAACTGGCACACCCTCACTCAAAACCGGTCGCCGCGCGTGCAACTGTGACAATGAGCTCATGACTTCTCTGTGCGCTCAGCTTCATCTCTGCTCTCAAATGGCTCCACAGGATTAACCTGATGTAATTTTGTGTACAGCTGTTAGACACTTTTTCACTGGACTCATCCACCATTTTCCTTTTTACGCTTCTTACTGGTCAGGAAGTTGCGCTATTAGACACCCTGCAGTCTCTTAAAGGGGAAGGAAATACTGCCAACCAGTGCAGACAGGAAAAACTGAATTATTTACCAACTTGTTTACCGAATTTACCTACATGGGAAAATTTGCACCAGTTTATCGCGCAACCCTACGATTAGGGCCCAAAAAATAATCAAATGAATCGATTAATAAATTAATCGTTAACTAATTCAGTAATCGCTTGGAATCGTTATGTCTAGTAATGGTGCACAGACTCTAAAACAGGTTTGCTGAAAGAATAAGCAACTTACAGCAGTAATAAACACAAAACTCCACGAAAACCTAAAATCTTTTATATGTGTCTGCAGGCTGCAGGTCTTGTTTTAACACACTTTTGCTTAAATACAGCTGGCTGAACACCTGTCTTCCTTAGCAACTACCTTTATTGGTCTCCCCTCCTTGTAGAGGAGGTCAGATGCTGTCTGCTGGACCTTTGTCCAGTCGTCAGCCTCCATTATCAGGTCTCCTACTGAGTCAGACATGGACTCTTTAGAGCTCAGCCATCAAACTCCAGTCCTCAAGGGCCAAAGTCCTGCAACTTTCAGATATGTCTCTGCTTCAGCACACTTAAATCAAATAATTAGGTCATTAGCAGGACTATGGAGGACTTGATTCCATCTGAAGACTGAAAATCTGGAAGGACTCCTAAGCCAAAGCAGAAAAGCATCAGCAGTCGCTATGACAAGTGTTGTCTGGAACAAAGGAGCTAGGAAGCCTGAGCAGGATGTTTCTTCTGGATGGTTAATTTAGTATAGGGACCTCCTGACATCCCTGTTTGGAGCTCAAAAGGGAAGTTTGCCATAGACATTAGCAGAGCATTGCAGTAGAAAATGATATTTAGGTTGCTCTACCTGTCTTTGATGATTTAAATAAAACATTAACATTCATAAACGTTACGTATGAGTCAACGGAACATGATTGAAACAAGCTCTAGATGAAAATACATGAACAGAACTATAACTTGGAGTAAAACCTTTCAATCAGTCCGCTTTTTCCTATCGTTGTGTATTTTGTGAAATAATTGCCAAAAGAATCAGTTCTGTCGCAGATCTGCCTGCATTTTGAATTTGCCCTAGCAACAGCACATTTTTGGTCTTCCCCTGGCAGAACTTTCCTGTTCAGCATTTGTGTTAGGACGAACACGGTTTGCCAAAATCCTTTGCATGACGTGTCGGCACAGCCCAGTTCAACATTTTTGTGACGCATCCAAATGTACACCACCACATATTTCTTTTTTTTAAGCAATGAACGTTGTCTCTGTTTATTTAACTCTTTAATACCTGGAGAAAAATCACGAACCAAACCTGTATTTTTTCTCTGAATGTCACGTGACAGGAGGAAGCTGAGATCCAAGCAGAGCTGGAGCGGCTGGAACGAGTGAGGAACCTTCACATCAGGGAGCTGAAGAGGATAAACAACGAGGACAGCTCGGCGTAAGTCGGCCACCTGTCATTTGATGACATTACAAAGGGTTAGACGACGAGTCATGTAATTACATTGCTTATTGTGATATTCAAGCAATTTTCATTTGTTATCACTCTTTTAATGTCTGTGTTATTTAATCCAACATATCACTGACTTAGGATCAGAACAGCATTGCTGATGTAGGTAATTTAGTTTGGGAGATAACATGGCATTTGTTATCATGAAAGATTTAATATGACTGATTTTATTACATTATTCATAGAGCAGTGTGAGCATGTTACCTTTAGCAATGAGCCATCTGTGTCAAATCAGCCTTTCAGGATCTATATTAAAAATCTAATCGCGCAGTTTAGCTAAATTTAAAGGATATAGATGGTCTGCTCTGTTTACACACTTTGGAGTTGATTTGTTTCCTCTCCACATATCTTGATGACAGCAGTTTACATTTTTAGAATAAAATCAGGTGTACCATTTGGATATTTGTTTATGAAAATGTCCTCCTCACAGTTTCAAAGACCATCCCACTCTGAATGAGAGATACCTGCTGCTGCACTTGTTGGGCAGGGGTGGCTTCAGTGAAGTCTACAAGGTACCTTCTGCCATCTGGCACAGTTTCCATCTACTTTGTTTCCTCCTGATTTGTGCGAGGTGCATTTAGAGGCTAAATGTTTTGCGTCCTTGCTTGTCACACGTAGGCGTTTGACCTGTTTGAACAGCGCTACGCAGCCGTCAAAATCCACCAACTCAACAAGAACTGGAGAGAGGAGAAGAAGGAAAACTACCACAAGTAGGCCTTTACACACCCTTTTCTAGGTTTACAGTACTCAGTGCATTGAGTATATAGCCCTCTGCCTTTGCTTTATACCTACACAAAGTAGCACATCATTATGAATCACTGAGAAATTATTTGCAGATAAATATACGAAACGGTAGAAAAAGTGGTTTTCATTCACCCTTTGTTCTGATAAGAAAAAGAAAAAATCAATTTCTTTCATTGGGGACCTGATTAGCAAAGAGTTCACCTGAGTGTGTAGCTAAATCTTATATAATAGGTTCATTGGAGGCCTCTCGGGTTCATTTGGGAACATTAGAGAAGAGAAAAGCATCACTAAGACTGAGGAATATTGTAGACGGGATAAGTAGAAGGTGATGCAGTAGGGATGTATCAAAATGAGCCTTTTTTCACCTATAATATCCTTGAATGCTAATAATGCTATCGTTGAAATATTACAGGCTATTAAATGCCTTATAAAATATAGATAACATACAAGAAGAAGTAGTAGTTAGCTATGTTTTAGGTCTGGGTCACAATGGATGTATCCACTTTTAATAAACCGATCCAATTCTTTTTTTCTTTTTCTTTTTTTTTTACTTCTTTTGAGGGGATACAAATACACTGAGTGAGCAGAACCCAATCTGTTCAATTCAATTCAGTTTATTTATATAGCGCCAATTTGCAACTAATCATCTCAAAGCACTTTACAACTTAACTAGATCATACTGTTAAATTGCTTCAAAATTTTCTATCTAAGGAAAACCAGTTAATTGCATCAACTCATTGACTCGAAGGCAATCCTTCACACTATTATAACAACATTATAACTGCCCCATACATTGAAACACTCTCCCCCATTTGACTGGGACAGATTATGGAAAGTCAGGGGAGGAAACAACTGCTGCAGCCACAAAGCAAAGCCCTACTTGATGATAAAACTGCTGCACAGCATCTCGAATCAGAACAGAGGACTTTAATAGGCCTATAATTAAAATATAATGGGAACTACGATTAAAGAAAAGGAAAATATATCAATAAAGGCTGTAGATAAGGCAGTGAGAGGTGATTCAGAGAGCTTTCTGCAAAGTTTGCCAAAGTTTTTAATTTTTCTTTTTTATAAAGAAGGGAGAGTGATAAACTGCATTTGGACAAGTAGGTAAGAGAAAGCCACGCCTATAAGGAGAATAGAACAAAGTGATCTGGTCAGATGAAAGTATGGAGAACATTACCTGAACTCATACTGTGAAGAAATGTTTTGCTGTGGAGCTACTATTCAGTAGAAACAGTTGGTCAGAGCTAGAAAGGTGGAGGAAGCTAAGTACGGGACAATCCTGAAAGGAAACCTGTTGGGGACCTTTTCCACCAAACTGGTTCCAGTGATTAAAATGGTGCAAGTGCTTCTTAACCAGCAGTTAGTGAGTTTCCATTGAGACGAAATCTGTTTCCAGCTCTGAAAAAAACTTTTAATGTAGGACCAGAGAAAAGAAAAACGGCAGTCGGCAGCAAAAAGTTGGCATCATGGAGTTTATTTTTAGATTTCGGATGGTTGACATTTAGATCTGTCATAAACAGATTTTAGCTACTAATCAAATGTGCTGTTTTTGAAGATTGGATTTGAATCTTTGTTTTTAATTATGTTTTTTCACCAATTTGTCCTTCCTCAGTTCAGGGTGACATCTGTTCATCACTTTTTGTTCTTAGATGTATACACATAACTGATAGACTAGCCTGTTGGGTAAAGCCATTAGTGTGTTCAAAAGCCTGTTTCACTGCTTGGATTTATTTTTACCCAGAGCTCTGTTTAGCTCCCAGGGAGCAGGATATTTTTCTTTTTTTTGTGGGGAAAAAGTGGAGAAAAAATTGATTAATTGGATTTGGTGAACTATCCGATTTTTGTTTAAATGTCAATGACAAAAAAAACACTTCAACTTTAACATTAAATTCCAATAAAATACTCATACAAAGGGTTTTTGTAAAAAAAAAAATAAATAAAATAAAATAAAAGTCAAACAATGGTGTTTAATTTTTTTGCAAGATGCAGTTTGAAGTTACCCAGTTTATTGCTATCCTGAGGTAGGGGATCTGGATTTGCATGCAGGAGAAATGTAGGATTGGTTCAGACACAGATTAGGAACTGTCACATTGTTAAAGATTAATTTATCAAATTAACCCTGGATGCATGCAAACATACAGAAACAACAGAAAGATTTATCTTGTTGCTTAAACTTTGACACTTCTTCCTTTGCAGGCATGCATGCAGAGAGTACCGGATACACAAGCAACTGGACCATCCCAGAATAGTCAAACTGTACGACTATTTCTCCTTAGATACTGACACGTGAGTTTACCACCCCTGTTCTACTTAAACTTCTTCAGGTTTTGTGAGTATTAGACTCAATGCTGTTTCCACAGAATGATATTCAAGTATGGATATTTGATAGAATACATTTTTAGAAAAACTTGTTTTTTTTTCTGCCAGTACAACTGCAATGCACAAACATGACAGGGAGATTAGGTCACACTTATTTAGCAGAAAGCTCTGACCCCGACCTCTGACCCACACATAGTAAAATGTCTTCTCTTATATAGTAACCAGAGGTGTCAGAAGTATTCATATTCTTTACTTGAGTAAAAGTGGAGAAGCAGAGATTCTAGCATGCACTTAAGAGCAAAAATAAATAAAGATAAAATTTGCATTTAATTATACAAAATAGTTTTGAAAAGTTTTTTTTAAACTTGGAAAGATTGCAGAATATTTAACATTAAATTTTCAAATTCAAAATCTTCTAATTTGTTGATTCTGCTTCTTTAGTTAATATATATATATTATAATAAAATAATAATAATGGCTTTTGCTGGGTAAGATTTTGGACTTCTCTCATTCTAAAAACGAAGGCTACCCCAGTGTTTGCTCCTTCCATAAAACTGCTCTTACAAACCGATCATCTTTAAAATAGCTGACTTAAAAGGTTATCATAGAACAGTGCTGTCCAAAATGGCTAAAACGGTATCACGTCATAATATTATTGATCAGTTGTGTCAAGTGTTTGAAAAAAGGCTGAATGTTAAGAAGTCATAACCCTGATCCTACTTAATCTTACCTTGTTTAACTTGACTTTAACCCTTTAAAGCCTGATCCAAGAATTAAACAAAACAGAAAATAACTTTTTTTTTGGTTTGAAGTCCTTATTTGGCCTTTAAACAAAATATGTAAAAAGAAAAAATAGAAATAAATTTTTGATATTAATAATTTATTACTATGCGATAAGTCAAGATTATTTTTTGTGTAGTCTTCTGCCCTCTGTTATCAGGTATATCTAATTGTGTACAATAGGATTTTTAGCAAAGTTTTTACCATTGAATTATGCAAAAGGTGTCAGACGCAAAACATTTCAGAAACCGTATGTATACATTTGGCATTATGGGGTTAAGACATCAGAGTTCAGAAAATTTGTAGAAAATCAATTTGATGTTTTTTTCTGTTGATTGTCTAATGTTGACGCGTTGATTTGAATGTTAATTTTTGTTTACTTTATGATTCATCTTAGAACAATTTATACAGTTAATGATAACAGAGTCATTGTTAAAAAGTATAGCTACTTTACAGGGAAATTATGCAGATTATTACTACTGAACTACTGGGCTGTATCTTCTGAGTAGAAACGATTTCATTAGGGCTGTAACTAACAATTATTTTGCAAATCGATTAATCTTTCTATTTTTTTTTTTTTTGATGAATCAGTTGATGATCTGATAGCAGAAGGTTCCTTAAGAATATTTTTTTATGAAATTAAATCAGGTAAAACTAAAACTTTTCCACTTGAGGTGTTCTGGTTAGAACATATTGACAGACAAAAATATATATATTTTTTATCTTGAATGCAAAATGTTTATATATTTTCATACAATTTTGATATAACTACTGCTCTACGTGGGTCACTTTGTCAGCTAAAGGCATGTTTTATAATCTCTATACTCCAGTTAATGATTAATAGATTACTAAATTAGTTGACAATAATTTCAATAATCAATTGATTACGATTAATCCGCTTAGCTGTTTCAGCCCTAGTTTTCCTAATTTCACCCGTAAACCTTGTTTTGTCGGCCGTTTATACCAGACAGCCCCAAAAGGCTGTCAGGTGTCCCAACAGCCGCATGTTAGCAATGATCTGATGCTCACCTGATTTGGTCTTTTTCAGGTTCTGTACAGTCTTGGAGTTCTGTGAAGGGAACGACTTGGACTTCTACCTAAAGCAAAACAAGTTAATGTCAGAGAAAGAGGCCCGCTCCATCGTCATGCAGATCGTCAGCGCCCTGCGCTACCTGAATGAGATCAAACCACCCATCATCCACTATGACCTCAAACCAGGTGCCTCATATACCCTCTGCTTTCAAACAGAGAGGTCGGTCACCCTGTTCACCTCTAACTGTTATTGCCCTGCACAGGTAACATCTTACTGGTGGACGGTACAGCATGTGGTGAAATCAAAATCACGGACTTTGGTTTGTCAAAAATAATGGATGATGACAACTATGGGGTGGATGGGATGGACCTTACGTCACAGGGAGCGGGGACCTACTGGTGAGACACACGCATCAGGAAACATCCCTGAACGTTGACAGTTCAGTTTTGGAGGATTTAATGTTGAAACATATAATTTTTTCTGTCCTTTTTTTTTTTTTTTTCTTATCTAGACAGCATGATTAGTAAGCTAGTCTTTATGCAATATATTCCCTATATCTGTTTATTTAATTTTTCTATTAATTGTTCACAGATTTTTTTGTTGTTTTTTATCATGTTTTTATTCTGCTGTGCAGGACTTTTCTTGTAAAACACCGTGAATAGATTTTAAATTGACTGAAAAGGTTGTTTACACTTAAGGAGAGAAAGGAAACTGACCCCATCTGAAAACTGTGAAGGGTTCACCTTGATTTCAGCTGATTTAACTGTGACGCACTGAGAGATATAACCAGTAAAATATTACTTTATTAAAGTAAAATTAAACATGTTTATAATTTAATGGGGGCCTTTATAGAATAAAATATATTTTTTTTTATCTAAAACATTTGTCGGAAAATATTGGGGAACAAATATCATTGTTGGGTCCAAGGGACAAAGCAGAAAGATTAGCCAAAGTAGTTGCAGCTGTGGAGCGGCATTTTATGAGGTTAAATTAAAACAATATCCCAGCACTTTGATCATTATCTCTGCTAAGGAGGCCATTTTTTGATTAGTTTGTTTAGTAGGATGATTATGGAAACATTTCTCTGAAATGGTGAGAACCCATTAGCAGGTGGTGATCAGGATGCAGATTAAAGATTTCCTTTAAATGATTCCTTAATATTTTGAGTTAGGAAAATTAGCTGCTTGGCATATGTCTGTTCTCTCCCAATGCTTTCTATATTTTAAATGGGCTACAGTAAGGCCGAGTTTCACCACCTCACACTGTTAAACATGGTGGTGGTAGCACCATGCTGTAGGGCTGCCTTTCTTCTTCTTTCCAGTTCCGAATGATCGATTTAGCCGTAAAAAAAAATACAGTTCTGAAGAACACATTAGCTTCTGCAAAGTAGCTCAAACTGTGGTTAGGGGGTCATAGGTCAGGAGTTTTTTTGTTGTTGTTGTATTTTTCCATCACCTGATCTCTGCTGTCTGTTCTCTACCTGTCATAAATACAGACCATAAAGAAAGTGTTGGACACTGAAGTAGGAGGAGGATTGGGGGAGGTGTAGAGTTCACTGGTTTACCTGGTGACTTAGCGGAGCTTATTAACGTTAGCCAAGCTGCTGCTAAATGAGGCAGAACCAGCTAGCAATGTAGCTAGCTTCTTAACATCGAACCTGCAGATTGAAACCAAAATTGTTTAGTTGACCCTAAATTTCTCAGATGGCTCTACAGGATAATGCATAGGGCATGTTTAGTAATGTATAAAAATAATATATCACACATGCTAATTTAATCTTGCTTTAAAAGTAAACTTTGCATATTTAGTTCAACTTTAGATAGACTTTGTGTTATAGCTATAGCTTTTTTTTTTTCTGGTATGTTTTGTTGGGTTTAGAGCAACGACCGCCATGTCTCTGCACTATACAGGGCGCTGGTGGAGCGCAGACGCTAAAACAAACAATAAATAATGTAAATAGATTACACTACCTGGTGTAGCTATGAGGAGTTTGATGTTGTAGGGTTTATAATCAAACCTTTGAGACAGTGGTTCACATGGAGCAGGAGGAAACAATTGGACAGTTTACATACATTGGCCTGTAAGTGATCAGATGGTTGGCGCCTTGTTTGCTCTTTAAAGTAATTTTATTTTAATTGTTTTTTTTTATTTTTATTTTTCAGTTTTTTTCTTTAGACTGTAGTTGAGGTTTATGTATTGTCAATATTTTACAATAATACTTAAAGAAATACTCTTATTTTAAAATTTTCTGTCTACTTTTAGAATTTTCTGAGCTAAAACATTGTGGGCTACCGTAGCGACACCTACCAGGTTTAGCTAGTTTTTAGGGGGGAAGCCCAGGATGGATATCTACAACTGTGATCTCAGCTTTTCATGTGAAAACAGAAACTATTTATTGTAACAAAGATAATTAAAGTCTGTAATCTTGGATGGGGAAAAATGTCTCCAAATTAGGTTGTCAACGAATTTCTGTGTTCATGTTTAGGTACCTCCCACCAGAGTGTTTTGTTGTGGGCAAAGAACCACCGAAGATCTCCAACAAGGTGGACGTCTGGTCAGTGGGAGTGATCTTCTTCCAATGTCTCTACGGACGCAAGGTAATACGGCATCTACTGCTTTCGGTATATTTGATAAAAGACACAGAACTTAAGGATTTCTATGTTTGCTTCATTCCTTCAGCCGTTTGGTCACAATCAGTCGCAGCAGGACATCCTCCAGGAAAACACCATCCTTAAAGCCACAGAGGTCCAGTTTCCAGCTAAACCGCAGGCCAGCACAGAGGCCAAGGTGACACACTCTCACAGACACTCTGATGGTTTTATGGGTCACAGCTGCTGCTCCTGCTTTAGGATCAACTTCCAGAAGTCCTATAGGTTCCTTTTTAAATGGTGGAGGGATGCGATTATAAAGCATTTTTAATTGATTATTAGCATTTTCATAAAAAAAAAGTCAACTGGATGGGTAAAGATTTTTTTTCTTTTACAATTAGTTGTAGTCAACAGTTTGCACATTAAATAAAACTCAGTGTTTCTATTTAATTAACTATAAACTATAGTGTTTCGATGAGGTAGTAGGTTTACACATTTTTTAAATGATAAATCTGTTTTAAAACTTCTAATTAAAATGTGTCATGAGCTTTATTTCTCTTATGATAATAAATAAATAATTTATCCTGCTTCCTCAGACCAACAGGAAAACCTTACCCCCAAATCACAGCGGCTCTTTTATGGCATTGATCCAATAAAATTGCTGTCTTTATCAGCTGGGGCCTATTCTTGGCGACTGTGCCCAGTCTGACCATGAGGGATCAGAAGTTTATTTTAAGAGGAGCTATGCAGCAGTTTGATGGAAAATGCCATGAGTCAGACAGGAAGTCAGACATGGTGGTAATATAAAAAAATAACCGCTTGGGGGGAAAATCCAGACTGTAAAAGTCAAATTAAGACATAAAGTTTATGTAATTCTAGTAGTAGTAATCTTTTGTCCCTTCTGAGCAGCAAATTTCCCCAGGATGTTCTTGGTCTGAACTCTGGACTGAGAGGCTGGTCAGAATGGAAATGAATCCTCCCCACACCATGATTCTGCCACCACCCTGATTCAGTGTAGGAATACTGTGTTTTCTGAGTATAAACACTGAGGAGGGTCTTAGGAGCAAATTCCACCTGAAATTACATGTGTGAATTAAAGCAAGTACAGCTCCCAAACTATTACCGTATTTTCACGACCATAAGGCGCACCGGACTAAAAGGCGCACTCTCAGTTATGTGTCCCATTTCTGTATTTAACACACACATAAGGCGCACCGGACTATAGGGCGCGTTTTTTATATACAGGTGCATGTCCTCTACTACCTTTAAATACCTCTACTGCGTATTTAAAAATACAGCGGGGGCAAAACTGAGTATGACTGTGCTTTATTCATGTATTTATTACAAAGTATTAATCAAACCTGCGAGCTGGCCATGAGACAGACACATCGCAGATGACACAGCGCTGTGATCACTCCTAAATTAACTTAAAATCCTGAAACCTGCCGACGGAATATGTTCGCTTTTATTACCGGTATCCTGGTGCCTGCAGCTAAAATTATTTAGATGAAAAACACCTGCCAGCAGCCGCGGTGAACGAAAGGATTTCTCCTGTTGGTGCACCGCTGGTATGTGGGGGTCTGAGCGCCTCCGACAGAAATAGATAATCTGGATGAACTGACTGCAATTATTAAGTTTTCAGGTGGCCTTTCTCACTTAAAAACATATTAAAACTACTTTATTCCCACTGATCACAGCAAATATAGCTGCAAGATTTAGATTATTTAGATGAAAAAAACACCTGCCAGCCACCGCGCTGAAGAAGAGGAGGAGACCCGCCCACAGGCTGCTGTTGAATTAAGTTTTCAGGTAGAAAAATAGAGCGGGAGCAAACCTGAGTATGATTGTGCTTTATTCATGTATTTATTACAAAGTATTAATCAAACCCATCAAAGTCATCATCCTCTGTTATCCTCAGCATTCCTCTGAATAAAACAGCTGCGCTAAATCAGACATGCCAGTTTCCCCTTCTGCGCTGTCAGAGTCACTTTCCGTGCAGCGCAGCTCCTCAGAAATGATGCCGGCTTTTGCGAAAGCTTGAACAACAGAGCCAGCAGACACAGTCCATCTACAATCCATCCGCTAACGGTGGCGTAACTTGCCCGGCGCTGCCTTCCATTTATCATGAAACTGTGGTCTCAGTCTGTCATCCATCGCTCCCACGCCGCTCGCAGCCTTACTTTGAACGGCCGCTTCACACCGATGTCGAGCGGTGGAAGTTCCTTTGTCAGACCCCCGGGATAACGGCGAGCACAGCGTTCATTTGATTCATCTTTTTTTCACATCGGCTGTGAGATGGTGATGCGTGGAAAAAACCACCTAGTCTTCTCACATACACCTGTCTCAGCCACGCATCCACCCAGCCTTTTCATTTGCGTTAATATCATATGTCATCAGAGCGCAGTACTGTCTCGCTGTCAGCTCCCAGATCAGCTTCTCTGATTGGTTGATGCGGCGCGTCCAGCAGCAAAACTTCAATTTTTCCATCTGAGCAGCAGCAGCGCGTTGGCGGTGCGTCAGATGCTTAAACGCTCCCGACGTGCTGCACCAAAACGCGCTGCAGGACCTTTTGCTGCACCTATACGCGCGTCAACCATTGACTTTGCATGTAAACTCGCTGCTTCTGCTGCACCTGCTGGGTCCGGTTCACACCGATGTCGAGCGGTTGAACAGCGAGCACAGCGTTAATTTGTTTCCCCATGTTTTTCACATCAGCTGTGAGATGGGCACGCATGGAGTTACATATTAACAGCGATGGTGAGGGGTGGAAAAAAAAACACCTGGTCTCCTTACATTCAGCCACTCTTTCATCATCTCCTCAATGAGGTGGTCTCAAAAGTCGCAGTTACAACACACATAAGGCGCACCGCACCATAGGGCGCACCGCACATTTTGAGGGAAAAAAAAGACGTTTAAGCGCGCCTTATAGTCGTGAAAATACGGTAATTGGAAATACAAGTGATTGGATTTGTTTGACAGAAAAGCATTACAGAATATATTTCAGGTGAAACCAATATTGTTAATGTCACCATGTCTGTTTTAAAGGCGATTATACAAAGAAAAAAGGAAAAATATTTAGCCTTGCCAACATTTTTTTTCAGGAAAAAAAAAAAATCACATAAACCCCATTTGAAACTCTGGATGAACCCTGAGACTCTCTAGATCCACATCTTGACTAGAACTCAAGCACATTTGGACTGAAAAAGTCCACAAAGGTTTTAGTGGGCAGTGTGCTAGGTGGAAATGTGATTTTGTCACAGTGCCAAACTTTCCCACTCATAAAAGGGAATCTAGCCTGACAAATATACTGATTTACATTATTGGAGACCTCCGGCATAAAGCAAAGCCTTTGCTCCTTAGATTTAGCCATTGTTTCATTGAAATGTACCATGAACACATCATAATATCACAAAAATGAACAGAAAATAAGAATAACAGAGCAAGCTTATGTATCGCATGCCTGTTGCATCTGAAATGCTCTCACAATTACCTCCAACCCTTCTTGGAAAGGTCTGAGCCTCTACTTTCCAATGATTCCGGCCATTAGGGGGTGAGGCTAAAAATGAATACCTGCTGTTGCATTACTCCAGCAGAGTCAGACATATCAGGTGGAATTTTAACTCTAATTTTATTTCTTTAAAAAGCTATAAAACAAAAAGTATTTGTGGAAAAAAATATTTTAAAACATGTTTTAGAAATTTTAAAGCCCCATTTAAAAGGTGTGTGGATGAAACACCATGTGAATGTGTTTTAGCTATTTCTATAAATGGATAAATATCAGCTGGGCTCAAGGGGTTAATTAAACTAAGCGTGTATTATGGATTATATTTGGAAGGTGTTATAACTGTTCCTGTTCCAATGTAGTGTCTCTGTTATCATTCAGTTTCTGTAAATCATAGGTCACGGATTAGCGGACCGCTGCCCAGATCCGAACCCACCTGCTGGCTAATCCGGACCCAACCTGATTTCAAACATTTATAAATTACTGCATGTTATGCGACGGCAGTGTCCAATTTCACTTGCGCCGCTTCCCCTGTTTGAACGGTAAAGCCCTCCCAGAACGGGCTGCACCTGATGCCAATTAGCCAGTGAGCTGTCGGTCAGGGCTGCTGCCGCTAGATACTTTTAGACACAGCAGGAAAACCTGCGGCAGGCCGGGCGATGAGAAATAAGGAGAAGATGAGAGAAAGTGTGGACTGCTGGAAGAACTGCAGTGAACTGGTGACAGAAAAGTGAAATGGCGTGCTTAAAGATGACCCTGGATATTTTGAGTGTTTGGCTCAACCTGCTGCTGTGAAGCAGGATTCTCCACCATGAACAGAATCAAAAATAAATATGGATCCAGGCTCAAACTGAGCACCTTGATATGTGCTTCAAAATGGCTTTGTCGCCATTCAAACCATGTTTAAAGCCTTGTAGGGCAGCCTAAAGCCCACTGCTCTCATTAAGCTATAAAAAAAAAGAAATAAATGAGTTATAAATCAGTTCAGGTGTTTTATGAAATATGTGAATCAGGAAAATTGTCGATATTCCGAACTGAATGATTGTTGTTCTCTACTTAAAACACCAGTTTATAAAATGGAAAAATTTTCTTTTTTTTTTAAATATTATTTAAAAAGTCTATAACATGGATGCATAAACACTTTATTTTATTTCAGTGTTAAATTCTGTTTAAAGTAAGGGATTATAGTTACAAATGTCTCAGGACCTTTACTAGCTGTTGATTTTCTGTATTAGGACCCCGCTGATTTTTAATTGGTGACCCCTGTAGGGATGCACGACATAATCGGCCCCCTATCGGTATCGGCCTTAAAATCCGCCACCCCACCGATATTTAACCCGATATTTGAGCAGCTTCTGAGTTTCTAAAGTCTAAAAAAAAAAATATACTACTTCTTCTTCCTCAAAAACTTTTTTTACAGACTTAAAAAGACGAGGAAAAAATATTGATACATTAACATATCACAATATCTTCATATGCTGATATATTGCCATTTAAAAACACCATATCAATCTCTTTTACTTATGAAATATTGCTATATGTCATCGTTATGCCACGAAATCCCCCGAAAATTCACAAAATGTTGCCATATTTTTATATGTTGATATATTGACGCGATATCGATTCTATTTTACTAACAAAATCTCACAAGAATTTGCAAAATATCACGAGAGTTTGTAACAGAACGACGAAATTTCATGAGATTTTGAAAGTAAAATAGATCGATACCGCGTTTTTAAAAATCTATTTGATATCAGCATGTGAAAATATATTTGAGTATATTATTTTTCAAAGTGTCAGAAATGGATAACAAAACTGCTATTTTCAATGACTACTTATTTTTGTCCAGCTTTAACATCGGTATCGATATCGGTTATCAGCTACATGAGTTTTAAAATATCGGCCAAAATCCCAATATCGTGCATCCCTAGACCCCTGCTGTAAATGTTCCTGAATGAAACTTGATTTGTAACATGCACCAATGAATGTTTTTGGATCAAATCTGGTGAATTGAAAAGAAAACTTTTTTTTGTTTGTCCTGCAGGCGTTCATCCGGCGCTGTCTGGCCTATCGTAAGGAGGACCGCTTCGACGTTCACCAGCTGTGCTCAGACTCATACCTCCTCCCTCACATGAGACGCTCTAACTCCTCGGGCTCGCTGCAGTCCTCCGCCTCAACCGTTCCCACCTACTGACTTAACGAAGCGACGGGGCCCTCAGGTCCATCTTAACGGCATTGGAGGATAATAAATGTGCAACTCTTTTTCTTTTCTTTTTTTTTTTTTTGCCAGAGATGTTTCAAGATTAGATAGTTTAGCAAAAAAAAAGTAAAATGGAAAATGAAAGGATATTTTTGCCTTCTGCCAAAATAAACAAAAAAAAAAAGTTGCTCTTGAACTCTATTGTGACACAGAGAGAAGGGGCAGACTACAGAAAAAGGCTGAAAAGAAGGAAAATGGAGATGAGAATTGCAGAACAGAGAGTGCACCAAGTTTTTCTGCTTTAACCCTTAGAAAATATGACCCCGCCCCCCGCGCCATCCTCTAGTTGCACTCTCCCAAATCCACTCTGCATTCATCTCTACATACTCGCATAGTAATATACTTAATCAGAAGACTATAACACAAAGCCTTTGTGAGCAGCAGTAGGTGTGGAAATGCTCCCTTCATTTCACGGACGCACGAGGAATCACCGAATCTCATCAGACTTCCTCTGAACAGCAACCTGGACTCATTTTAAGTGACGCTGTAACTTTGATGGGATTGAATTTGCACTTCCAGCCAAGGTCTCCAAGCGGATTTGCTTATCTGTCTTAAATATTTTATTTTCTTGTTGCTCAGGCAAAAAATCCGAATGTCTGAGAGCAAGGTGTTGCAATACGACGCCACGCCGGCGTTTCTGCAGACGGAGGCTGCCGTCAGGACGCAGAGGTCATTGTACATTTCATGTTCAGGAGGCGTTACTCACTATAGCAGATATATTCTAACAAGGCTTCTCCTCCTCGCTTCCTTAGTGTCCCCAGTCTGTTTATTTCCTCTCTAAAGCTGTTCTCAGTTCGCTGCTATAACTGTTGCTTTTAGTTTGTTTTAACACGTGAATGAATTTCTCCTTGCATCCATGCATACTTGAAAATTAAGAGGAAATTTCCAGAGCCTGTGTTGTTTTGAAGGAGTGCCAGATTATTATTTTTTTCCTTTTCCTCTTCTACGGCCAACATCAAATGTCTCCTCAGATTTCTGTTTGCTTAATGGCTTAGAAGACCTAGTGTGCTGTGGCGTGAGGAATATTCCCACCTGTCAACATCAGAGGATGGGGAGAAAAGTTACTAACTTCAGCGGGAAAAACAAATGGATGTATCCAAAATGTTGTCATGGTGTAAATAAAGAACTCTTACCTGTACGGTGATGTGATTTAATGAATGAAACAGAGGTTTGGTGCTGCCTTAAAGCATGTTTTAGGTGTTTCGCTACTTCACTGAGAAATGTTAAAAAGTCAGGTGAGGTGTAAAAGTAATGACTAACCTACAGATGTTTTACTTTTTCTCTCAAATCAGGGAAACAAAACCAGAGTAACTCCATTTATTATAGAGAGAAGTTATTCCAAACACCAGACTTTGACTAGGCCATTACAAAACCTTCATGTCACGTTTTTAACCTTTTTTTTTTTCTTTGTAACCTTTTTCCAGCATTTCAACACTAACTCTACCAGCCTGTTCAGGGTGTGACCCACCGCATCAATTTCCTGCTCTTTAATCCTTTTACCTCCTAATTAATTACAGGAAGTCAGACTTAAACTGGTTCAACTCATCATTGATTCGTAGTTAATTAAAGCCTCTTTACATTTGTAGTTTTATGTTCCTCGTGTTTGTTTCACTCTGGACTAGTTTTCCTTAAATGTTTCAACTTGTAGGTATCATTTTTCCTAAGTGAGCATTTCGGTTAATTTCGCAGCAAACAGATTGAGCAGTAAAGTGGTGAAACCGGAAGAACCTGAGTTATCTGCTGCAACGTGGGTGTCGGCACCGATGGCCCAATGAAGGTCAGAGCTAAACAGAAATATGAAGTGCAAACCTTTGACTACTACGTGCATGTCTGATTCCATCAGCTGCCATAATGGCTTCAACTTTTCTGGAAAGACTTCCTGAACAATCTTCCAGAAACACCCATATGAGAACAGACGATGCTGGAGTCTTAACGGCGTGCTTTATACCCGTGTCACTACTCTGCATCGTTCCTTTTATCGAAAAGCTTGGATGTAGCTGCTTGGTTGTGGAAACAGCTTTTCCAGAAGCTCTGTGTTCTGGGGCTGCTCTGAAGGCCACAGGAAGTTTGTAAGGACTGTCGCTGTCCACCCCAGCATCTACAGACCGCGCTCTGATTTTATACTTTCGTCTACTTCATGGGTTCAGCCTTTTAAAGTGAACAGCTTGTTTTCTTTGTGACTCAGGGCTTTTTATTTATTTTTTATTCTTGTTTGACCCTAAAATTTAAATTATGGTTGAAAAAAGGTCCTAGGGTCTGACTTCTTCAACAAAGGATGGTAAAAAGCCTGTACTTATATAGCGCCTTTTTTTTTTTCCAAGTCAGAAGACTTGACCAAAGTGCTTTACACTACATTAATTCACCCACACACTGATGGTGGCAAGTTACATTGTAGCCACAGCTGCCCTGGGGCTCACTGACAGAAGCGGAGCTGCCATACACTGGCACCACCGGGCCCTCTGACCACCATCAGTAGACGATGCAGGTGAAGTGTCTTGCCCAAGGACACAACGACACTGAAAGTCAGAGCCGGGGCTTGAACCGTCAATCCTTCGATTTCAGGGCAAACTCCTACATCCGGCGCCACTGTCGCCCTCAAAGGAAAATATACAGAGTAATTAGAAACTTGGGTGTTTCATAGATTGTAAAACAGGGAGAATCAGTTCTGAAGCAAACTAAATCTTGGTAGAGCAAATGATTTTAAGCAGGAAATCTGCCTGATCTTTTGATAGATTTCTCTATCCCAAACTACGACAGGAGCAGATGAACACAACATTTGACTTTAGCATAACTTTACTTTTTTTTTGTATAGAGTTCAAAAAATATGGAGTAATTCTCTTTATGGACTTTTGGGGGCACTGCAGACTTTTTATAAGTTTCAGTTCAATAAAAAATTGGCTTTACAAGGTTAAAGTTAGTAAAAAAAACCTTAATAGATGAAATGAAGTAGAATAAGAACCATCAAACAGGAAGCCAGATACAGAGGCCTTTAATACTTCATACAGCCTTCCCAGGTTGTTTTCTGAGACCTACTTTGCAGATCTTTCCCTCGTCATCCATATAAAACTAAAATAGAGCACTCATTTCCAGGATAATAATCCTTCCTTGGATGTGAAAAAAGTGATTCCTTAGGGGAAATGAACCAAGGGGCACTATAAAAAAAAAGTTTAAGATAAATTTGGTTTCATTCAAGACTTTCTAAAGTCCTATAATTATATTTTAGAGCTTTTAAATCTAGAAATGATGCAGTTTAGAGGATTAAAACCTTTAGATTTTTGCATAAATCTGATCAGAAACTCCTGCAGGGTTCAGTTTCTGAATGTTTATAAATGTACTTTCCCCATTTATCCTTTTTGTTTTTCTTAGCTGATATTTGTAGATGTTAAATACCTTAAGTCTAAAACCGTACACATGATTACGGTTGATTTTTTTCAAAAACGGAAAGCATCACAGAATGGCAGAAACATTGTGGAGAGCACACAGACACAGGGAGACTTGATAAAACTCATTTGGCTTTATTGCTTGCACTGTGCATCCTGCAGATGTGTTTTTATTTTAAACAGAGACCTTTTGTGGCTGTACTGCAGCTATGACCCTACCAAGCAGGACTACCAAACAACTCCTCTCTGGGCTCAGAAGCTCAAGTAGACGAGAACCTGGGCTTCCTCTGGTATAACCTTCACCCTATCACTGACATACTGTGCATCACCGAGCTCTGCATTAACATGGAGATGTATAAAGGGAATAATCATTTCAAAAAAACAAAAAGGTGGTGCAAAATAATGCAGATTCATTCAGGGGAACTTCAAAATTAACTACACATTAATTCAATCTTTCTAATAATGTGGAAGGGGTCCGTTAGTTAATAAAAGGGTTACAGAAAGGAGCTGGACAAAATCTACTTTGTTTAATGCGATGTATATATTTTTAATACAGCAGTGATGGAGTTTATGTTGCCTCACCATTTAAAAATCTGTCCTTATCCAGCTCCAGTAACATACAAAGGTTATATAGGTTTTTAAAAAGAGGGAAACATGACCTGGTGACTGCAGAAGTGTGAAGCAGTGCTGCTCTTACAGTAGATTTGACAAGCTGCAGTGCTACCAGTTCTCCTTACAGCAACACGGACTGATCTAGAACCAACGTCCGTCTCTTTATTTCCACTCTAACCAGGCTCTCAGCTGGAAAAATGTCTGCGTTGGTGCATCTGTTGCCTGCTCTCTCCTGGCCAAATAAATAGAAAACCACTGAAAGACAGATGGGAGGAAAAAAAAGAGTGGGAAACCAGGTGCGTTACAGTTTAATGGCCACATTACGATGGCGTTAGTGTCGTATCCGTAGGGGCTGGAGATTCTGTCGCCTTTGTGGAGTCTGGCTCTGTGGTGGCTGCGGAGTTGGGCGACGAGGCAAGCGTGACGGAAGCTATGGGGGCGGTGGTGCCAGAGGCCGGGATGAGGGGGGCGGAGGTCTGAGACAGCAGAGGAGGCGTGGGAAGCAGCGGGGGGAACTGGCCCAGAGCTGGTAGGGACAGGGGCGGCAGCTGAGCCAGAGAGGGGACTGCAAAGACACATTTATTAGTCCAATTTCATTTTCTTAAGAACACAGATCCTGCTGAACGTTCACACTTATTCACCTGTGGTTCCTGGTGGTATGGAGCCGGGGCCTGACAGAGACACGGCACTGAGGTCTGGGAGGGGCAGGTTCAGGTTGGGAAGGTTGGGGAGTGGCGGTAATCCTCCTGGGAGAGGCATTAGACCTGAAAACGGACGCAAACCAACATTCCTCGTTATTAAAGACACTCAGGAGAGACTTCAATCAAAAAGGTGAAAAGGTCAGTGTCTTTGCTCGCCAGAGGTAAGCTGCCCTAAGAAATAAGGAGATCAGTAAAGCACAGTTTTAAAAGAATGCAGTTTGCTAAACGTATTCTTAAAAAGAAAAAATATGAAAATAATCTGAGAAACGAAAAAGATAAAAAGCATAAAAAATATGAAAATAATTTTTTTTTCATAGGAAGTTTCATTTCTGGATTCCCTTTTTAAAATTTCCATTTACTAAACTTGAGATGCTGCACAGTATTGTTCAGTGGGGCTTTGCTTTATAGAATGCATATCTTATTTAGAATTTTTCATGATCTGTCCAAGTCAAATATGGAAAATTGTTTTCATTTGTTTATAGCACCAAGACAAAAATGAAAATAAATGTGTGGAGATCTGCCCACCCTGCCTAGCCGGAGCCTCTCTATACGCAGTCAGTGTGGCATGGAAGAAAAATCGGATCGGAGAATAAAAAGTCATACGCAGCCGATGTGTTCAGGCCTTTAGTCTGACTTTCATGTAAACAGTTGAACTGCTCTGATAAGAGGATTCAGCCTCCATGTTTCATAGTTGAACACTAAAAACCCGATGACTCTAAAGTGGCAACATTAACACTAACAGATGGTCACATTCACCATACTTAGAAGTAGAAAAACAAAAATCCATAAGTGTTTTATGATCATCTCAGAGTAGCTCAGCAAAGTTTAGCTTTTAATACCAGTGGTCTTACTGTTGATAATGATGTAATGATTGGCTCACCTGGTAGCGTTGTGGCTGGGTTAAAACCAGTGGCAGCAGGATTCAGTGGAGGGAGGGAGGCGAAGGTGGAGCTGGAGGTGGAGGGGAGGAGAGGGACTGTGGGCAGGCCTGGATTAGAGGGAAGGAAACACCGAGCATTAGGAACCATTGAGCTGAGTGGAATTCACATTCCTGAGCAAAAATCCAGCTGTTAGAAAAAGAAAGAAGCAATATATACCCGTCTGCAGCTCGCTGGGCATCGGAGGTGGAGCGGAGGTGATAGACAGGCCAGAGAGTGCGTTTTCAAGGCCGGATGAGACGAGAGGTGTGGAGGTGGGCGGAGTTACAGCAGAGAGCTGGACCTGAGGAGAGAAACCAGAAACACACTGAAGAAAAAGATCCAGCAGGAAGATAGAAAATTTCGCTTAAGAATGCTGGGAAAACAGATTTTATGTTAGATTTTTGTGATCAATGATGAATGCAACACTTTAGATTAAAAGTCGTTTCAGGTGTTCTTCCCTCACAGACCCATACTGAAGCTAAACTCAGGTTACCAGTCAACAAAAAACAAGATTACACCAGCAGTATTCATTAGTGATTCATGGTTTCCCCAATATTTACATGCATCAGCTGATCCATTAGCTAAAAGGTTCCCAAACAGGGGGAGTGCACCTCCTATGGGCTGTACAGTATCATTACAAGAGGCACGCTTAAAATTTATAAAAAAAAAACATTTTTATTTTCTTTTTTTACAGCAACATTGAATTATTTTAGACAGTAGAATGAACAGCTAAACTTTAAAAAATTGCACTTCAATGGTGGCAGCTTTAGTGATTTAAAGGAGGCTATTGTAATATTCAATTTACTGCTGTTGACTTTTCTGTTTTAACCATTGAAAAGGTTGAAGCGAGGGTAGAGATCGAGGGGACGGAAGAAAAAAAAATTAAGCGCATGCCTTACTGCTCCCTCAAATTGCTATTGATCATTAAAGTTACGTTTATTTTGCTACTAAATGTTTGTTTTTATGTTTTCAATTGAGACTTGTGTAATGTTTGTTATTATTGCGTCAATTTTGAAGATTTTGAAACAGAAGAAGCCATTCCTGCTATAAGAATCAGTCTAAAAATGTCAGCATTTATTGGGATGATACCAAATTTTGAATCTTGTTCTTATTACATGTAAATGGTATGAATATTTCCTCGTATCCAAGCAGCTCTATGAGGCTATTTTTAAATGATATCTGTATGAACTGTGAGGGAATGTTCGGGGAATGTTTGCATGCTTGCTCTCACCTCTGTGAAGCCATCTTTCAGTGGACTGACCGGCTCTGCAGAAGAACTGGCAGGAAAGCTGATCTTCTTCCCTTCCTCAAAAGGACGGGTGGGAATCCTGTGGAGGTATCCGTAACCGATCCCACATCCAAGGCTGGAAAGATTTAGGAAAACAGCGTCAAGACAGGTGGAGATATCTGCATGCGGTTCTCTCGGTACACTGAGGTGACTGTATGTTATACCTGCCCTCCCCTCCCCAGGAGCCGTTGGGCGTTATGACCACCTCTCTGCAGTTGTCTGTGTCTGTGTTGTAAACGTAGAGCTTCAGGCCCTTTCCATCGTGGCTCTCTATCAGAGAGAAGAGGTCCTCTGACTAAAGACGGCCGCAGGAGGACAGAGATATTAGACCAAGCATAAAACGCTGCAGCTTTTCCAGGAAACAAAACCAAAGCGGTTAAAAGATGCATTAGCTAACCTCATTCATAACAGTGTCCGCTCCGATGATGTAGTCAGTGTGCGGCCGGAGGCCAGCGAGGGCTGCAGGGGAGTTGGGCTCCACTTCCTGTAGCAGACAGTAAAATAAACTTTTGTTATATCCGATTAAAGTGGATGGTGAGACGCACACAGGGCCACCTACGGCTGCCTACCAGCACATGCCAGACATTCTCGTTGGCTCCCTCGAAGCTGCAGAAGCGGATGGATACGCCCAGCAGGCCCTGGCCTCCCCACAGGTTGCTGGGGGTCACCGTGGTTTCCCGGAGTTCCAGGGTCTTTGAGGAGTACACCAGCATCTTTACCGGTTTTTCCACATTGGCTTTGAGCAAGTCCTTCAAGGTGTCGTTATCTTTGTTCTGAAGCAAAACGACACATAAGCAAATAACAACAAACTATAAAGGAGAATTTTTATCTAATAAGAAGAATTACAACAACAGCTGATTAATAGACATTAAAGAAACAAAATTGCTATGTTCGATGGTGTGCATCTAGGCTTAATAACATCACTACAGCTCCGAGATTCAATCCATTTGATGCAGTTTTGCTGCAAACATTTTATCTAGTATTTGATTGTGATGACCTTCAACCAATTATTGACGCTGATGGCAAGGTTAAAACTAAATATGATAATCCTTACTGGATTCCTCTATGCAACTGGCTTACTTTTTCCAAGATGAAAGATGGACTTTCTGTCCCCTTCACAAACTGATTGGTGACTGCTAAATTACACAAAAAGTCAATCAGTCTTTGCAAAGTTGTCGCTACAGCAGCAGAATACAAGTGAACACATTTAGAGGAAGGTAACTGAAATAGTTCAGAGAGAGAAAAAAGAAAACATTCAAATAATGCATAAAAGGAACCTGATCTGCCGTTTTCCGCCTCATCATCCAAATCCTGCAGCTTTTTTTTTCCATCTGTTATTATTTAAATTATATATATCTGTACTTCTTTATTTATGGGATCAACTCTAGTATGTTTTAGTGCATCTCTATCACTGTTCACATTAACATAATTGTGTCTTCATTAAAGTCATCATGTACCCAAATAGGCTTGTTTTGGAATGGTGGATCTCAAGCACAACCAGCTTGGAAAACTGACCAGAATAATTTGCTATACCTTATTTATTAATGTAAATAAACACGTGCTTCTTTAATCTAGGATTCCTAATGGATGACAGTAGCAGTCATGTATGATTCTTACCAATCTGGTGTTATTGATGGACACAATAAAGTCAAAGAAAGGCTCCAGTCCTGCCCGATGCCCTGGCGAGTTCTCCTGAACCTGTGACAAAAAAGAGAAACAAAATAAAAATCAATAACCAAGATTTCTGGAATAAACAAATGGTTTGTAATTGTTTTAGATAAAATTCTCGAGCATCAAACATTTATCACACCTCTGATCAAACGCTTGAATTGTTTTGGTCAAAATCAACTGCAAAGTTAAAACATCTACTGCTTTTCAAAGTTATCAAAATGCTTCAAATGTCGGTAAAAGAAGCAGCGTCCGATAATGGATGCAGCTGTCATTCAGCTTCAGCTGCCTCCAGTCCTGCTGCTGATGCCCAGTTTCCGGCTGGACTACCTGCCAAGTTTAACTGCAGACATTCATGGGACCGACCTGAACGAAATGTGGCCCCAACACGACTCTAAAACACACAACTATTCAATAACAAGGGGCTCTGTTTTCCAGGCGGAGGCCGCAAAAGTGGACCCCGGCCTCTCATCAGCACTCCGAGCCCGGAACCATCGGCTTCTACCCGGATGCTAAGCTAACGGCTAACAGCAGGCTATAGGTGATCTAAACTCACCCGGAGGACGTGGTAACCTTCTGAGCCTCCTCCTGGGACCTCCACGCTCTGAGATCCTCCCATGGTTTCTGTCTTTAAGGGGCTTTATGGGGGGAATCTTGTAACGGTGATGAGAAACCTAAACACTTTCTCACACCGGGTACACGTCGCCAAATCACTAGCCTGAGAGTGCGCACGCGCCGTTACGTGGCAGGAAATAACGCCCTTTTCTGAAAAACGTAATCCCTGCTCGGCTTTCCATAACACAGAAAAAAAAGATAAATAATAATAGTAGATATTATTCGTTGTCATAGTTAAAATGAAAACTTAATACTTAATGTGGCTTAATATCAAAATGTTTATTTTTTTTTTTAATCACAGCTGTTTACCCTATCAAGGCTGCACTTTAAAAAATAAAATTGTATAGAGAGCTGTTCTAAACGAAATTTCATTTTTTTTTCTTACACTTGTGTATACAAAATGACAAAATAAATCTGTTTAAGTCTAACAAACAATTTAATTAAATAATAAATGTGTTAATGTGTTTAATTGTCTAATTTTATACACATGATATCATCATTTATTTTGAATTTATTATTTAAAGTTTGAAATCATTTAATATTATAGCTGAGGAAAATAAGTAAATACGTTCTCCCACTTAGAAATCATGGAGGGGTCTGATATTCATCGTAGGTCCGTGTCTACTGTGAGAGACAGAATCTAAAAAAAAAAAAAAAAAATCAAGAAAACACAATATATGTTTTTTTTTTAACAATTTATTTGTAATATACAACCGGAAAGAAGTATTTCAACACCTGTCTACCAGCTAGAGTTTGGACCCTTAAAGATCTGTTAGTCTACCTTCAAAATGTCAACCTTCACTCCATTAATTATCCTATATTAGATGCATCTGTTTGAGCTTGTTAGCTGCATAGAGACACCTGTCCATTCCATACAAACAGTAAGAATACAACTACTAACATGGCCAGGACCAAAGACAGTCGAGACAAAATTGTACACCTCCACAAGGCTGCAAAGGGCTACGTGGAAATTGTCAAGCAGCTTGGTGAAAAAAGGTCGACTGTTGGAGCAATCATTAGAACATGGTAGAGGCTAAGCATCACTGTGAATCTCCCTCAGACTGGGAATCCATGCTACATCTCACCTCGTGGGGTCTCAATGATGCTAAAAAAGGTGAAAAATCAGCCCAGAACTACATTGGTTTTAATTTTGCCAATGACCATTCGGATGATCCACAGGAGTCGTGGTAGAAAGTCATGTGGTCAGATGAGACCAAAATATAACTTTTTGGTCATAATTCCACAAACTGTGTTTGGAGGAAGAAGATGAATGAGTACCATCCTTAGAACACATCATATCATTAATGTTTTTACCAATTTGATACCATCCAGACGAATTCACTGATTAATCAGACTCTTGTCCAAAGACAATAACTTCTGCTTTGTATGAATTCAGGAGCAGAACATTAGTGTTTGAGGTTTGTATATCCTTAAAACATGCCTGTAGCCTATGTGTGTTGGGTTAGTTTCATCATGATTTATGGAAAATACAGATGAGTGTCATCAGCATAAAAGCAAACATTAATCCCATTCTCTCTGTTATGTCTGTGTTTATGGTTCGGTAAATAAGTAATTGTACACTAATAACGGGTTTGATTATTGTAACGGTTAAACAGCAATCATATTTTGCCCCAAAAAAGACTGGGCTTGCTTAAAAAAACCATAGGCTATGTGATTAGACAATAACACAGCACTTGCTCAGTGTTGTTTGTTGTCATACTGCCTACCAATAACAAACGATAACTGCTTTTAGCGTTTGGGTGGATGCCAATTTCATGCCCTGTGTGCCATGCTATATGCTATATATATATATATATATATATAAAAACATATGTATGTATGTGTATATATATATATATATATATATATATATATATATATATACACAAAATTGAAACCATTTTTTTTAGAACTGCCTTTGACTGTTAAACTTAAACTGTTAACTGAGGCATCATTAGTTTGTGGTTAAACTGTTTTATTAGCTTTGCTACCTGATTTTATTATTTCAGTTTGATCTTTTCTTGCTTTTATTTCCCTTCTATTTTACTGTTTAATTTATGTATAACATTTTGTATTGTATTTTTAACTGAATTGTGCTGTATAAATTTGCCTTGCCCTATGGTGGATTGCAGTGTATTTCTTTTTTTGACTCCAACATTTTATTGTCCTTGCATGTCACAAGTACAGAGCAATGAAATCAACTCTCTGCATTTAACCCATCCCATTGGGGAGCAGTGGGCTGCCATTGTGAAGTGCCTGGGGAGCAGTGTGGGGGTTAAAGGTCTTGCTCAGGGACCCAGAGTTGCAGTCTGTGGGAGTGGGGCTTGAAGCGAAATGCCCTAACCACTGACTGCCACTCCCCAAAAGGAGGACATAGTGTAACTGTATGCTCATTGAAGTTGTTTTATCTAGATTTATTCCTATCTAATTTTTTTGTCTTTGTAATTCATTCTGTACTCTATTTTTAAATAAATACATACTTATGTATAGCTGTTTGTACAAAAAAGCAGACTCTTCATTTTGTGTCTGATCCATGTGGTCACAACATGCACATGAGGTTAAATAATGAACAACCTTACCTCCAGTATCTAACCCTAACCCTTTAACTTTTATTGTGGATAGATTCAAAAGCCTTCTAATAACTTCAAAGCCCTCTAAAAATTATTTTCTTGTATTACTAGTTTTGCCACAGTTATAGATGCGCCAACTCTCCACCAGATGGTGCTAGTAGTATATTGTAGTAAAGAATTTCAGTAAGGCCCATGATCATAAACCCATTCATAGATTTATTTATGTATTTAATTATTTGATTTGTATGCTGAATCCTTTGATGGATAACTGCAAGTCTCTTGGTTTCTTTTAGCCAAATCCCAATATACTCAAAGGTTATGATCGAAAAACAAAAAAGCCCAACAGAAATAAAAAGTGAAATTAAATAAGCCAAAAGCAGTGAGGATAAAGATAGCATACATTTAACAACAAATTATTGTTGTTGTTTTTTTAGAATCCTCCATGATCATGAAGATCTAAATCTTGCACCACTATGGACTTAAGTGGTGTTAAAGTATTGCTCTACATCAATTTTGAAAAGACTTGAGCTTTTGTGGCTTCTTGGGTCCTTCTCAGTGTTTGAACACCATCCATCCATTATCCGACACACTTTATCCTGAGTGGGGTCACAAAGGGTGCTGGTGCCTATCTTCAGCCGGCGAGAGGCAGGGTTCACCCTGGACAGGTCTATCGCAGGGCAAAATAGAGACAAACAACCATTCACACACACCTAGGGAGAATTTAGAGAAGACAATTAACCTAACATTCATGTTTTTGGACTGTGGGAGGAAGCCAGAGTACTTGGAGAGAACCTGCACATGCTGCACATGCAAACTCTATGCAGAAAGACCCTGAACCGGGAATCAAACCCAGAACCTTCTTGCTGCAGGGCAGCAGTGCTACCCACTGCTCCACTGAGCAACCCGGCTTCAACATAATTTTCCCTTATTTTAAGAGAGAGAGTTTGAATAAAATAGTTAAAACCTGAGCACATCTGATTGTTTCTAGTTTTATGACTAGTTAAAAGTATATTTTGCTATAGAATTTTTTTATTGCATTCTTTACATGTTTACAGTTAAAACAAGATCAGCTTGAGGGAGGATCGCTTTCTCCTTATATATTATGGAAAGTATTTTATTTTCCTCCCATTTAGAGTATCTACATCTTTTAAGAAGTCTGTAAAATGTGAGGTCTTTTTTTGTTCTAGTGTGTGACACAGCTATTAATCCAAACTTTGAGACAGAAAATAAAAAGTCATTTATTCCCTTTTAATAGACTTTATTTAGTATATTTTTCATAACAGTGTTATTTTTTACTAAAGTGCCTTCTGAAAACCTCAAAGGAAACCTTCCCTTATTGTTGGCTTCATTAAAATTCAGACTGGTCACAAACAAGTCATTGGTAACATCCAGTACACAGATAATCCTAAATATTATATATATATATGCAGATGTGCTGTTCACATATGGTCCTTAATTACCATAAATATGCTGTTGACATATATCTTATATAACACACATCCATTTACAATGGAAGAAAAAAAGTAAGATTGTGCAAAGACACAAACAGCAACCCTTATACAAGATAATTCACTTGGCCCCTGTAACACTGAGAATAACAGTAATATGTATTACAGTTAAAACACTATACAACAGTAAATGCATTTGGGTTAGGACAGATGCATAACTTTCTTCCCAGTCTCCAGAGGAGAGTACATTCTCACATTCTTGTGCTTCTTGCTAAAAATAAGTCCAGTATATATATATATATATATATATATATATATATATATATATATATATATATATATATATATATATATATATATATATATATATATATATATATATATATATATAAATTCTTTATCTCATCAGAAGGTCAAGACTTTCTCTCAGAACATTCAGGCAAAAAGACTCCAAATGCACAAGAAATAGAAATTACATAGCGCCTTGAGGTCAACATTTACAAACATCTAAAATCTAAAAGAAGTCTCACATAAAAGAAATAGATTGCTCTGGTCCTGGTTCTCTTTCTTTGGCAAACAACGTCACTATAAATAAACTTTATTTTAATCTGGTGATTACTTTTACAAATGCATCAATATTGAATACGATTAAAGACACATCTACATTAAAATACCTGAATCTGCAAACAGTGTAAATAATATAAATGTGTTCCTATATAAGCAAATATTCTTTTACTATAAATCTTTATGCTCATTCATGAGTATTGCGTAAGTGCATGGAACAAACAAGCTAGCGTTAAACGAAGGTTTCCACAAGATTGGGATATCTTAGAACTTTAAAAGGCTTCATGTAGGACTAATGAGGGACTATATTGTAGAATGTAGCTCCATATACACAGGATACAAAATCCTTTTAGCAGAGCTCAGTTTAGTATTTTAGCCTTTATATATATGTATATATTTATATGGCACAAAAAGACATCTGCACAGGAGTTCAAGGCAATGATTTAGGACAAAATTTCTGATGCACCAAAGCGAAATAGAAACTGTACATATACAACATAAAGCATCTGAGTTAGTTATGAGCAGCAAATGTGCGATTAAGTAAAACTCTTTCATGATACTTCAGTGTTTTGTTTTGTGCTTTTTTTTGTCCCATTTCTATTATTTACGACCTTCACAAACACTCACTCATTCAGTAACACACACAGCTTGAAAAGACAAATATCTCTTATCACACTTTTACATAGAAATATCAAAGACCCCACATCACGCACACAAATCATATATATTTAGGTGCATTTTCTGCACTTAGTTGATTTATTTTGTCTACTAAGGGAACCTTTGATTCATTACTATAGTTTTTCTTCTGTCGCCAAAGCATTAAGAATGCCTCAAGCAAACGACTACTGGATAAAAAGAACCAAAACCAGATTCTATTATTTCTCTTTCTGCAGCACTGTGAATGTTTCCCCTGACTGGTTATTTTACCCTTTAGACTCTGGGCATTAAAAACCAAGTTTGCTGTCTGATTATCAGAAGGACCTACAGGTCCTGACCGAGCCTCTCAATCTCGTCGATGAGGAAGTCGATGTCAGACTGGGTGGCAGCAGCGTTGGACACGACCATGCGGAAAAAGTTGATTTTATTGCCCTGGGGTTGGTAACCCACCATGGTGGTCCCCGACTCCATCATCATGGCTTTGATCTTAGGAGCCACCTGGTGGAGTAAAACAACATGTTAGAAGCCAACCTGAAAACAACAGCTTTTTACAGTGTCATGCAAAAACATTTGGGCAATTTGGGCTAATATTTTCATGACCTTTTATTTTAGATGCTCTTGTAAAATATAAGTGGACAGAGTCTCAAGTCGGCACAGGATTTTCTAAACTTTTCAGCCCTTGACTCAAAGGCGAAGGACCCCCAAACTGATGGCGAGATGGAGCAGGGACCCCCTGATTATATATATTTTATGAAATTCGTTTATATCAAACTGGTCCTGTAGTCACTCTATTACAGATGGTGTAATGTAACCAAAGTAATTTCACCCTGGAATTATTAAAGTATTTCTGATTATGATTCCTTGTTGATGGGACAGGTGTTGTGAATGAAATGGTGTTGCTGAATGTGCATTGATGACTGAAAGACATCTTCTGCTTTCATTTATCTGTTTACTACAGTGTGTTGAATTCATGTTAATGTGGATTTAAAGACATTTCAGTTAGTGGAAGAAATTGCAGGGGGGAATAAAAAAAAAAAGTGTAATTAACCAAAACTTTCATGACCTCCATGCAGTACCTCCGTGTACCCCCTAAGGGTCACGGACCCCCTGTTGAAGACCGCCGCCCTAGAGTACATTTTACCCTATATTAATATGCTAATATAGAGAAGGGTAATTATATTCATTTTTAAATAATCCAGTCTTTAAGATGGCTTTTATTTAAGGAGACTTATACTGAAAAATTATATTTAATGAAATATTTAAATCCATATAAATAAAATGTAACATCTAAAATGCAATATCTAAGTATATATGGCACATTCACGTATATTTATTTCATGATACACTTCACACCTCGTGACCCCAGAAGGGATATAACGTGTCAGAAGATGGATGGATGGATGGATGGATGGATGGATTTTATTGGCCTTCTATATCAGAATTTCCGCGGGTTATTAAAATTAATTAAAAGTCATCTTTCATTTTTTTAAATAAAGGCCTTAATTGGCATTAAAATTCATTAAATGTGATTATCATGGCATTTAAAATGCTTTATTTAAAAAAAATCTTTAGAAAAACAATTTCGTCAGATATATTATATTGCGATATATTTGCGTGGAACTGCTTCCAGTTGATCATAAAGCCGTACGTTCAGTAAAGAAGTCGAGGCAGACAAAATGCCAGAGAATGGGACAATGCAAATTTCAACAAAAGTGGCTCGAAAATGTGGAATTCTGGAAATGGCTGCAGCCTGTTGACAGTAAAGATGAAGAAGGATTTTGCAGTGTTATATATATATGAGACTCATGGGTACTTGTTAATGGGATTAAAATCATTTCTAAGAGCATTAAAAAGCATTAAATTAGAGTTACTCATTCCTGTATAAACCCTGTATATACATCTGGTATCACATCCCAGTAATTATGAAAAGCACCTTGTGACCCCCCCACTTAGTGTTACACAACCCTACAGAGGGTCCCCACCTTTTCACCAAACACATCAGCCAAAATGCTAAAGATTAGGGTGTGTAAGGGAAGATCGTAACTGAGGTGCGCAGTTTTTTTTTTTCTTTCTTGGATTTAATAATAATAATCAGGGGGTTGAGTTTCTCTTTTGAGCCCTTTCATTCAAACTCCTGTAGATAAAACCGGGGCAACCAATTTAGAAGTCGCCTTAATAATCTATAAGCCTGAATATTCACTGAGCTAACTGTTTAGGGTTACTCCTCTGCTTGAAGGTGAAGCTCTGTACCAGTTTCAAGTCTCTCTAACATCTCGCTGTTCTTAGCTTCATCCTTCTTCCCATCGTTCTGCTGTTACCACTGTCGATCGATGGGTTCAGAATGATATTAACTTATAATTTTCAAACACATGAAATGTTGTAGTCTGACTGGTTGCTGTGCCCCTGCCTGTGGCATTCAGCATACTTTGAAAAGTCTTCCTATTAGTTTGTCATGATGATTTTTCCACCTTGGCTGTAGATTTCGGTCACGCCTCCACAGTAGCCATTAGTTCTGGCTGCTTCACTCCCTGCCCAGCCGTTCTGTTTGGTGGATCGCCATATTCTGGTAGGCTGGAGTTCCACTTTCTAATTTCTAAATTATGGATTTAAAAGCTGCACGTTAGATTTCCAAAGCTTGGAATAACCCTGTTTTATAAGCTGATCTTGCTTTATACCTATCCAAACCTCCATCTCTGACCTCTCTGCTGTGTTTGTTGGTGATATAGTTTGTCCCCAAAAATTCTCCAACAAAACTGCAAGGGCCTCACAGAACAGCTGGATTTATAATTAGAACATATCACATAAAGGAGGGCTGTATATAAAGCCAGCTGGCTGTTGGTATAAAAGAACTCTTTGAATTTTACGCAGTAAACAATAATAAAACACCATCATGCACAACTTTGAGCTTCTCTATCATATATCACCCAATAAAACATGTTGGAGTTTGATTTATGATGAGACATTCATTGAGGTTTAAATAACTCAGCACGGGTCAGTAAATAAAAGTGACATAAAAAATTACCCTGTGGAGCTTTTCTCGCCGCTCATCACCGTCAGGCATTCCTCTCAGGCTGGGTGGAATGTACCAGAAGCAAACGTTTGTGTGCTGAGGCTGCAAACACCAACCATCATGGTTAATCCACATTAGAATCCAATTTATTTCATATTTCTTAATGAAATTTAATCACTGGTTAAATGAAAATCGTTACTTAAAAAAACATTGTCTTTTAATTCAACTTTGCTTAAAGGTATAGTGGAGGATTTTTGTCAATTTTTTGAAAAAAATGCATATGCAAAACCGTGTACCCACTACCGGGAAGGAACGCCTATTAAACGTGTGAGAGCATGCACAAGCCCATTTCTCCTCGTGCACGCTCAGTTTAAAAGTTGCAGTTTGCATTGCTCATACAGCTTAATTTCCAAAAGAAGATTTCCAATTTTTCCACAAAGTCAGACTCACCACCGTAAGTTAAAACGGGGATGATCACGTAGAACAGCCTTACGTAAACATATCACCAGAATGATTTTCAATTAGGAGGAACACTTATTTTGATGGTCCACCTGGAAAAAGTATAGTAATATCCTCCACTGTACCTTTAATGATCCAAAGAGAATATTGGGGAAGCTCACCACTCCATCAAACACCATCTGAAATCCTTCCCTGTTCTTGATCTTGTTGTACAGGTACTGAGACAGGTCCAAACACTTGTCAATGTGCTGCTCGAAGCCAATAGTGCCCTGAGAGGAAAAAAATAAAAATCATCCAACCAAGATTTTAAGGTTAAAGAAATGAGCACTATCCAACACTACATGTGTTATTGAGTCCCAGCCAGCTCACCTTGGCTTTCCACATGAGCCAGAACTTAAAGATGTCGACGTGCCGCCCGCACTGGATAGCCTTGTCTCCTGTGTCGTAGGTGACGTCGTACTGCTTGTCCGGCTGGAACAGGTAACCGGCGCACATGGAATTACAGCCGGCTAGGATTCCCTGTGGAGGTAAAATGTACACAGAGCTTAGCTTTTTTTCCACTCCATTCCTCAACCTCAGGTGGTTCACAACCTGCAGGAGATTTAGGGTGCTATTTGTAAAAGTACCTTGTCAATTATTTGCAGCAATATTTTTGGTTATTTAGGATCAAATGAGAGTAAAAAAAAACGTGTGCTTAAATTTCAAGTCATATGGTCACAATAATATTCATAGATTTATGAATATTACATTTCCAAAGTAAATATTGTTAATGAGCAAGTTTAATCTCTGATTCAAAAACAAATTTAATTTGCAAGTTAAATATTTAGAACTAAAATAAACATTTAGATAGTACGCTAAATATTTAAGTGGTGTGGAAACTAAATATTTAGTTTTAAACTAAACATTTGGTTCCAATCTAAATGTTTTTGTCCATGCTGCAGTTTATTCTACAAACAAAATATTTTGAATGTGACATTTATTAAAAATATTTCGTTTGTTAACTAAATTTGTAGTAAATATGTAGTTTGGACCTAGATATTTGCTTGTGGACAAGTGGAAGTGTTGAAGGTGGAGTACCAAAACAAAAGCTGAGTCTTTAAATAATTTATATAAACCCCTGCTGTGAGGATAAAAAGTGCCAAAATTAAATAAATAAATACAGCATTAAATAAATAATTAAATGTGTCAATAATTAATTAAATGTGGAATTAAATAAATAAGTGTGTCATTCATTAATTAAAACCACGTCACTAATATAAAGTGCCACAATTAAATAAATAAATACAGCGATAAACAATTAATTAAATGTGTAATTTATTAAATAAATAAGGAATTAAATATATAAATGTGTCATTAATTTAATAAAATACGTCTTCATTTTATTAAAAAATAATATATAATTATTTCAGTGTGCATTTAATTATTTCATGGTCCTGTGTCGCAGTGCATCGAAACCATTAAAAGAATCTGTCAAACTCACCCATCAAAGTTAGGGGCGGTTACCTAACACCTTATTGGTCACCCTGCACATTGAGGCGAAGCAAATCGATTACAGAGACTGTGATCCACAGGTTGTGAAAATACTCTGATACAGTAGGTGGCGACTCGATTCGCGTTAACCCCGCCCCCTAACTTTGATGGGTGAGTTTGACAGATTCTTTTAATGGTTTCGATGCACTGCGACACAGGACCATGAAATAATTAAATGCACACTGAAATAATTATATATATTTTTTAATAAAATGAAGACGTATTTTAATAAATGAATGACACATTTATATATTTAATTCCTTATTTATTTAATGAATTACATATTTATTTATTTAATTCCACATTTAATTAATTATTGACACATTTAATTATTTATTTAATGCTGTATTTATTTATTTAATTTTGGCACTTTTTATCCTCCATACATGAGACTTAACCACTTCAGTTTAGGCTTATTTTTCTAACCCTTATGAAAAAATATGCTAAATATTTAGGTTGATGAATAATAATTGAATTCACGAGTTTAATATTTAGTTTTATTAATTAAATATTCAAATTGCTAATAAAATGTTTAGTTTGGAAATTAAATATTTATAAATGTGTGAATGATAATTAAATGACATTGAAATACTAACCTCCACTTATTTGAAGCTTAGTAGCCCAAAATATTGCTGCACATATTTGACGGGGTAACTTTACAATCATCACTTTACAATCATACAATCATGGGAAATACTTTTAAAATGAAAGATTGCAGCACAAAGCTACGCTGTTGTACCTTCTCTCTGACTAGGATTGCAGAGCATTGTAAGGGGACACCCATCATCTTGTGGGGGTTCCATGTGACAGAGTTGGCCCTAAAACATTTAATTAAATGTAGTTAAAGGCTGAAAATTATGCAACAACCAGGTGGATTAGGTTCCTATGCTTTCTTACCTCTCAATTCCATTTAGCTTATGACGGTGCTTCCTAGACATCAGTAGTCCGCCGCCCCAGGCACCCTGAGGAGACAAACAAATACTATTAGAGAGAGGATGGACAGTATACAATCAAACACTAGAGCAACAGAGCATTTAAGCTACTCACATCAACATGGAGCCATAAGTTGTACTTCTCACAGATGTCAGCAATTTCATTGATGGGATCAAATGCACCATAAACAGTGGAACCACCAGTGGCATTCACAAACAATGGCACATAACCCTGCAGAGACATGTATATTACACATGGAGCAGAAATAATGGTTGAAAAGTAAAATATGGGAAATTCGGATATAATAAGGAGGAAGAAAGAGACCAACCTTCTGTTTAGCATCAAGGATTTTAGACTCTAGGTCCGCAGGTATGACTCTGCCCCTGAAAACAGATAAAACAACTGATTTTTCTCTTGGTTTCAAGCAACAGTTTTATCTTTTATTTTTTGGGTCTATTGCAGCTTTACAGGGCATCAGCAATCTCTCTCAAACCTTTCGTCTGTACTCAGCAGGATCACGTTTTCAGTCCCAAAGCCAAGAGCAGCTCCGGCCTTTTTTATAGAGTAGTGGCTCTGCAGGGACACACATTAGACAAGTGGTTAATCTGTGAACCAACAGCTGCATTTAAAGAAGGCTGGAAAGTGTATTTGATAATTGCTAATTGGGTTTTGTCTCGCTTGCAGTAAAATTTGTTAAATGTGCAATTCTTTCAGGATGAACATCTGTCAAGAAGAATCAAACAAACATGGATGCAGTATTTCCTTCCTTTTTAAATCATACTGTTATAAATATAAGGAAATTTACTGTTAATGTTTCTTTTTAGGCAAATATAGGAGGTTTTTGGAAAAAAAAGCACTAGCTGAAAATTAGCGCCAGCAAAGGTTCTCCCTGGAAGCCACAGCATGTGTTAGACCATTAAACATTAGTGCTTTCCTGTTAGTCTGAGAAATCTCATCTCTCTTGATTGCTTCAAACTACAGCATAAAACCATGCAGTGATGCCTCCAGCAAACAAAAATCAAAACTTGTGTCAAATAACAAAATGTCAGTGTAACCTGCAGGAGGCGTGCGTCAGTCATATAATGCATTCAGGGGTGAAGCAGGAGGAGAAGGAGCAAAGCAGCAGCAGTCATAGAGGTTAATAGGGCCAAAAACAATGCTTTAAAATCCTCTTTGATTCATTTTAACTTTAACCAACACTGAATAGAACTAAGGACACATCTTTAATGGCCCACTTTTAAGTCACAGTGTAAAATATTAAAGACAGAGAGAGATTATTAGTGCATCTCAATGAAGCGTATAATAATGAACATGGCTCATAGCCACTAAAAACTAAAAATGTTAAGACAGTTCAGATATAAGACCAAGAAAAATAAGGATTTCTAATGCTGAAGAGCATCTTCATGTACAGTTTAGCCTTTGGCTCTTGAAGCAAAGGTGGTTTTTGATTGCAGCATTGTTGGCTCTGGTGTCTCTCTTCTTCCTTTGAACAATAATGCATTAGAAATTTGGGTTTGAAACATGTCATATAATGTAGCATTTCCATAAAAATTATCGGCAGAAGGAAAATCCATAGTTTACTATGCCGACTTTGGTATAAATGAAACAACACTGATGACATGGCTCCTCAAACCATCTATATTAACTTCTATGTATTTTATTTTTCTAACTGAATGACTATAATGTATTTCCTCTAAACATTATTCTAATGTGATTTCAGACAAAAGAAAAACAATTTGAAAAATGTGGCAAAAACCAGTCGCCAATACCTCGGAAGATAATCATGCTTAATAAAACCTGATGTCATTAACAAACATTCGAAAGCCTTTCTAGCTCCCTATGTTATAACAAAGATGTTTAGTTTTAGATTTTCAAAGCTTGAACTTAAAACCAGAGAAAATATTCTGTTCAAACTCAACAGTGAATCACATCAACTGAGGTGTGAGTTAGAGGTGACTAAAATCAATACATGTGACTTACATGTTCTGATGTAAAAAGGACAAGACGGGGAGCGGCTGACATGCCCTTAGTCTTAACCTCTGGGAAGTACTTGTAGCGAGCAATCATCACACTGTACATGTTGGAGATAGCGCCCCCTATCAATGAAAGACACACAGATCAAGACAACCCAGAACAACTGATCACAAGTATAGGGTTAGAATGAATATGTAAAAATGATTTTAGTAATAGTTCTTGTGCTTGACTAAGAAAGAAGGCCCTCCTTTAAGCTTAACCGAAATGCGCGACTGACTAGAAGGATTGAGTAAATGCAACAAGGCGAGAATCAAACTATGTAGCTAAGATGACAAGAGGTTTCACTGGTGAGGAGTCAATGAGACCCTTCCGTTCTGCCTGAGGCTGGCGGAATATTCCCGTGTCTATGACACAATGAAAACTAAACCAGGAGAGGAATTAGCCAAATAGCCTCTTCACCATCTAAAGCCAATGTAATCTTTGTTCCCTTTTCACAAAGAGTCAAACAAAACACACCAATCCAAACTAATATTGGACTTTCTTCTGGACGGCCTTCCCAAAGCCTGAACCTCAGCCCTGTGGAAATTTTCTAGACTATGCTTAGTCTCTCCCAGAAAAACAACTGACTAAGGACTGGATAGATTCTTCCAGTAAAAAAGGTCAAATATCTGCTAGAACGATGCCACCTACTTTATGGCTGTAAAACTTTTTGCATTAGGGGTAATATGTTAGGGGCTAGTAAGAGAATATAACTGTTGTAAAGTCAAGTCCAGAGCTAATCTTATCACTGGCAGATTTATTTTCATTTAAATAAGAAGTGTTTTCCATTTACAAAGATGATTATCTAAAGATCTAATCTAAATATGGAATCATTAGGGGAAAAGGTCCTTATATGCCTCAAAATTAATAATAAATTCTCAATACCGTTTCCCTTTATAAGGTTTAAACCTGTTATTCTTCACAATTCCCTGTCTTGTTAGTAGCTTCCAAGTCTTTGAGGTTAGACGTCCTCCTTGCCCTTGACACATTTTCCTATTATTTCAGGTTTGGGTTCCATATTAGTAATTTGAACACATTGAACACAAATATTTATAATCTGTGAAAAGTTTAAGGAAGGTTTTAAATCTATATCAGATGAGGCTCTGAATAATTTGGCTACACCTGCGCCTGTCTATTAAACTGACCCTTTATGAATTACAGAGCATAAAATAAAAAAATAAAAAATCCAACTTTAGTATTATCTAGCTATCTAAATATCCTGAAAGTTTCATGCTTTAAAATAAATCTATCCAAGAAACAAAGCCGTTGGAGTAAAAAAAAATATAATTACTCTACCATTCCTGTTCATATTGAGTTTATGCAGCTTCAGAGGAGATGTACATTTCTTATCTAATGGTGTTTTAGTCAGGATCCTTTAAAAACAACTACGTATTCAGCTTATATTGATATTGTGATTTATTAGCTGACCTGGTGAAAATAGTCCGTCTCCTTCTCCGCCTGGCCAGCCGATCATCTCCCTCATCTTCTTTAGAGTCAGCTGCTCCATCAACACAAACACCGGAGCAATCTCATAGGTGAACCTGCAAATCACACCATCGAGTTATGAGCACCGTGCTTTACATTTGAAAAATGAAGGTATGTGACTTTTGCAGACGCAAGGCTCCAACTCACATCCATGCAAACACATATAGATGTTCTTTATCGTATTTCATTAGTCTTTGTTTAATCCCATCCCAACAGGACAGATCTGATTTGGCTAATTAAAAAGTCCCAGATAGGAGCCAGCCTGCAAACATTCATATTGAAACGCCTTCTGAAATCATTGAGTGGTTTAATTAGAACACACAAAGCCCCGATGGCTATCTGTTAGTCCTGTCCGTCTTAGTGACAGCTCTGAATGTGACGGCTGAAAGAACACGAATGTGGAAGAGGGCATGTGGTTGAGTGAATGAAAGGAGCAGAGGGGATGTTTGAATGAGATAACAGCCCTGGTTGGATCTAGAATAAAGAAACGTCTGATTAAAAAAAAAAAATCCATTCTAAGAGAACAAAAAAGAAAAAAGAAAAAGAAAAATTGTCTTTTGGAATCCACAAAAAAACATCAGAGAGGTAAACTCTAGGTTTTAATGCTAGGTGTGGTCTTGACTCTAATACGGGTTAGGAAATGATTAAATGAAAGAGCAGGTCATCAACAACAAAAGAGCAAGAGTCCAGGAGAGGTCAGAGAGGGTTCAATTTAACAAAGGATGCTAATTCTTTCAAACAAGAATGTGCGTTTGCTCTGTTTGCTAAGGGATGAGCCATTTCCAGCACACAGCCTCAGGACAGCTTCCTGTCTACCACGCCTTAAAGGAGGTCAGTTACACAACACAGCACAGCCTCCATCACAAAGGCCACTTCTGCACCCCCGCAAATTAGCCTTTAAGCCTATTTTTTTCCCAAACAAAAAATTGCAGCATTGAAGTATCCGTGCAGAAAGCAGCAACAAAACAATTTTTTGCAGCATTTTTACTAAACTCAACTTTTTTTGGACTGAGAAGATGGTTGCATTTGGGGTTGGTTTAGAAGTAAGGCCTTAAAGGAAACTTTAACAGAGAACAACTAAAGGCAGATCAAAGATGTTGTGAGTGGGGCTCTAGGTTGATTTCCCCCTTTGCTAATTTGCAACCTTGTTTTGTGTTTAAGTACCCATGTACTGACACTATTCAGTCTGTTAGTATTTCTTCACAGAAGTGAGAAAAACCTATTTTTGTGAGGTCTAATCCATGGACTGCCCTGCAAGCATTCTTTTCTTTTTTGATAAAAACAAAGACAATTGCTTTCTTTTAAAAGACCTGAAAAAGACAAAGAAAAGAAAGGCAAACATGGTTGCTGACTTTTACTAAATTAGCTGTCAAAACCTGACTTTTGAAATCTGCGTTACGACTTTTTGGCAAAAACGGCAAAACAAAAAGAGGCACCGGGGAACCCTAAATAGCCATTAAAATCTGTCCATGGACCCCCACACCTTAGAGAATATAACATCAGCTGATGCTTTATGTGCTTTGACATTAACAATGACAAAAACATATATATGGAAGGAAATGATTCATGTATTCAATTTCCACAATATCTCACTTTCTCTGCGTCTAAATCTATTCCCTCTCACAGCAAAAAGGGACAAAAAGTAATGCACCTTTTTAAAATTCTCCTTCTCTCCGAGTCATTTCAGGCTGTAATGACAATAATGGTGATCATTATCACAATCAGAGCCAATCATTGGTCTTTTCAGGGTGAAAATTACCCCTCAGTCACCTGCCTGTCCCCAGAGACAGCCCCTAAATGCCCTTATTATCATCATCAAGGGCGTGGAGTGTGTGTGCGTGTGTCAAGATGAATTTGTGCACAAGTGTGTGTTTGTATGTGACTAACCCCTTTGACCCGAAACCACACTACTTTCAAGCCCTCAAAGGAGCACAGAGTCAGTTCATATCCATGGAGACAATGAAGCCAGAATGAGGACTCTGCAGGGAACTGAAACAGCCAGTTTCCACAGGGTAACAGGGTTTTCTGTGCAGCCTAAGGACATTGTGTGTCAGTGTGGGGCCCAGCTGGCCTATCTGCTAAGACCAGCTCACAATGAGCCGGCAGTCAATGGACTGGAAAGACTTGCTCCTGAATCTGGGACACCCAGCGCTGGTGTGTGAATGTGTGAGTGTCATTATGGAGGTGTGTTTGAGTGTGGAAAGTCAATGGCCCTTTCTCTTGGGGCATTCTTCCAACCAGCAGATTAGATGGGAGAGAATGTAGATTTAGGGAGAGGGCATTTCTTAGGATAATGTTTAGAAAAATAATTAACTTAGTGCTGTAGGTTTTCAGTGATTCATGCATTATCATTGCAGATATGCTTTTCTGACACTTCCTACAGCTCGTTCCCTGTCAATATTACAGCCACACAGTTATATGCTGTCAAATTTAAAGTATTAGCATACATTTCTAAAATAGTATCAGCGGAGATCAGCTGATACACGTTTTTAAAGGCTGATGCCAATTATTTTGACAACAGTCTAACAAAGTCTGTGATATCTGCTGAACATTTTTGCTGATACATGTATCAGCTAATATCGTACGGCCAATGCTTTAGTCTATTTCCAGTTAATACTCTGCTTTGCTCTTTCTTACTAAGTAAGAAAGAGCGAAATTTCGGGTCGATTTTTAAATTTCGGGTCGATTTTTAAAAATGCTTTCAAAAAAGAAGAGGTATGCACAACCAACTCCCTGCTGGTTTAGAAATGTTTTGTTTTTTTGTCTAGAAAGAGGGGAAGTGTGTACACCTCCAAATCGCACCTACTTTCAGAGAGGCTGATTTTCTTTGACTACACAAAGTTTTACAGTATTCAGCTTGGCTTCGGCTTGTTTCTGTCATTGGTTACGTTTAACAATAAGATAATGAAAAAGGCGAAGTTAGTCATTTAGAAGATCCCTTAAAAAATATTGTATACCACCTTTAATCTAATTAGCCTTACAAATGGTTGCAGAATCAAACTTTCATTCAGAATGTATCCTGTCCATGTCACCTTTTTAATCAAACATAACTTGTGCAACTTGTGCATTGTACAACATTCTGATCACAACTCTGATTTGTGTTTTTTTTGTTTGTCTGCTGTGTAAACTCAGTGATTAAATGCACTGTATGTTAACTAAAAGCAAGGGATGATTAATTAATATTTAAAATGTAAAAGAGTAACTGTAGAATACATAAAAAAATAACCTTTATAATTTACAGGACAGATTTATTAATTTATGTTTAAAAAAAAGAGGAATAGGTTTGTTTAACATGCTCGCTGATATAATTCATTCTGTTTTAGAAATCATATCCATGTAATGGCTTTTTTCCCCGCATGGCCATGAAGAGTTTTTGGTATATGTGTCTGTGTTAAGAGCCTGTAAAGCAGATGTGGTTCATGCCCTCCATCAGACTGGGCCACCATGTAAGTCTCACCCGAGATCAATATGCAATCTAACCACCCCTGGGGCATGGAAGCCTCTGATACACACAACAACAGAGTGGGAGCCCTGCATCTGTCAATACGAAGTCTTAACAGGACAAACAAAACACTTTATATAACTAGCCTTGTGTTTGTTGGAACCTTTGGTGGAGGGACCCCAGGGGACCAACATTACCTCTTCTGGTATGCCCTATTATCATAATGACCAGAGGCTATTTCCAGTGGTCTTTAAACAGGAAATCCAGTTTTCCCTTGATGAAATAGATAACTGTGTCCTGATCAAGGACAAGTAGAGGCCTGTCTTCTGTGTGACTTACATGTTGGTGTTGGCAGTGGAAGTCAGCCACTCTCCGGCAAGACCAATGATGTCCAAACCAGATGATAACTGGTTGAAAAACCGTGGGTGGCCTGAAAAAAATAAACATACACATGCTGCATTAGTGGGCTGCGTCGGATTTCATAGACAGAGCAAACATCTAAAAAGAGATTCTTAAAAGCTTGTGAAACAATGTCATTGGGATTTCATCTGAAATACAAAAACTGAACAAACAGTAAAAGCTGCTCTTCCATGAAGTCCAATAAAAAAGAAAATCTATAGTCAGTTATGACAAAGAAGAGATCTAAAAGATGCATTTATTATGCTATATTTGCTCTGGCGAAAACTATATGACAGCTGTTTAAACTGCAAGGCACTCACATGCAGCCAACATGAGCCTGCAGCTAACAATGCAGTCAAGGACATGAGTGCTGTACACAAGTTACATAATAAGCAGATCCATTATAAGCAATGCAAAAAAATTGCGGGTATACTTCTGTTGTTAACACTGTCAGTGTTTCCAACAAGGCTAGGAAACAAGCTCCTTTCTCTTTCAGTACCATTTCAGAGTTACACATTAGCTCAATTGCATAAAAAACATACTCCTTAAAGTGCTTAAAAAAGGAGAGTGTTACAAAGAAGCTAAATTGATCAAGGATGGGGTAAAACCCAAGGGACAGTTTGAGCTTTGCTGTGTTAACAGCTTGAAACAGCTGATGATAGGATCCCCCCTCAGGCTACATTTGGTTTAATAAGTCATGGGGGAATGGCTGTCAAATAAGTTGCAAGGCAAGTAGAGATTTAATTTAATCTTAATAAACTACACATGTTAAAAACAAATATTTTTTTTCTTTTGCTGTTCTAAATAAAATAAAAAATAATTCCTATACATATAAATGTTTTTTTTGCTAAGATGGTGACTGCCAGTAAATATTAATACGCATTAATACGCATCTGAGTTGCAGTGGTGCATCTATAATGTTTTTGTTTTATATATATATATATATATATATATATATATATATATATATATATATATATATATATATATATATATATATATATATATATATATATATATATATATATATATATATATATATATATATATATATATATATATATATATATAGTGTTATCACAAAGACTTCTGGATTACCAGTGCGGACGCCATATTTGAGCGTGTCCCTGCAGTCCACCAGGATCTGCTCCAGGGATTCAGGCTGATCAGACAGCTCCAGGTTGAAACCCTCCATGCCCTCCAGAAGCTGGTGAGGGTGGTGGAAATCCAGCACCTTGGTGGAACGATCAAAAGTTTTCTTGATGTAGTTTGTAAGGATGTCAACGACCTCCAGCAAAAACTGCATGGTGGGTTCCTCTCCATTTTTGGCTGGCAGAAGGTCTATGAAGCAGAAGGGAAAAGTTAGGGGAAAGAAGGTTTTGAGTGAATTTAAAATATATGAAATTCTTGAAATATCTTTATAAGCATTGTTTAAAATATCTAAATGTGTTTCTGTTTAAACATGACCAAATTCAAAATCTAACGTTTTGTGTGTTTTCATCCTGTAGGTCAGTAAAGTAGCAGCATCCTATCATATAACTGTACTTTCTACATTTCCCATGATAGTAGAACTAAACTCTCAATTGACAAATTAACTCATTTGCAACTCAGTGATAATATTTATTGATCCTGCAGATTTATTCATTTTAAATCCAAACAAATTTTGGTTGTGATTTTATTTTTGTGTGGACTATGTTGAGTCCAAGAACCACCAATACCATCAGTACAGTCACAGTGTTAGTTTAACAAAGAATGTTAAACTTTACTGCATGAAATAAATTTGAACTAAACCGGCCTTCATCGTTTGAAATATAAAACACAATCATGAACAGTCATTAATGGTCAATTTCAGTTTCCTGTTTACTAGGGTACCAAAATAAGTAAAATTTGGAGACTGTATTTAAAGAAATGAGCCATTGATGTAGAATAGATTAACTTTGTGAAGGTTTGACCTGCACATGATCAGTAAAAAAAGAAAAACAGATTTACTGATAAGGAAGCCTTAAAAAAGTTTTCATAAATCACAAACTGTATTTTATGAAAACCTTGACAGGATGTAAAAACATCCTGTCAAGGTTTAAGCTTGCTGGACACCATTTAAGGAAACAGGGAAGACAAACACACCTAAAGCGTCTTCTTTTTGAGTTTAACAGGCGGAATAAATGTCTCAAACCAGATTCTAAACAGTATCTATGGAATTCCTGAAACGTTGTCGTTTCCTATCCATTGCAGTTTGCTGATCCACTCTGCTGTAAAGAAGTCATGACGTTTTTTATTGCTCATAAATAAAAAGTCGGTTTAAAAATGAAAAATCTTTAATTTTTAAGATTAATTCTGTCCAAGTTTGATTTGATCTATTGTGGTTTTCAAGCCAAATCATTTCTGGATATTGCTTGTAGGCATTCATATTTAACATTTTTATAATTTTTTATATTATATAAAGCTTAAAATATTTCATATTGTGATTTAACCATGAGAGACATTCAACTGGAATGAAATTTAACGCATTACAAAAAGCCTATGATGGAAAATACTGTATTAAATGATATCGTCTTAATAACTATTTAACCATGATTCCAGAAAAAACGTAGAAATAGAAATTCAGTCTTATTAAGAGCACCTGATGATTTACAATTTTAATGACTGCAGAGATAGATAAGAGTGACGCACACCCCTCTTAGAAAAACCCCGAAAAAATAAGAACAAACAGACCCAGAGGCCCTTTGATTTGCCGGGAAAACATGGGAGGTTCATCTCAATTAAAGTATTACAAAAAGTGAACTAAACGGTGGAACTACATCCCGGTGTGATGGTCTCACCTCGGGCGAACAGATTGGAGAAATCGGTTTCTGTGCGTCGGAAGCGCGCGTCTCTGTCACTGTTGTCGCACGAGAGCAGGTTCTTCTGGCCCGCGAGCCTCCCTCTCTCTTCCAGGCTGTTGTTCTTCTGCAGGAAGCCTAAAGTGTTACAGGGCGAAGAGAAGGAATTATCCCCGAACACCTCCATTTGGCTACACTTAGAAAAAAAATTATATATATGAAGAAAAAAAAATATGATAGATGCCAAATAATCTGAGACGCTGAATGCTCTGAATGCCTGTTTCCGTCTTTGGAAACGTGCTTCACATTAAGTGAATCATAGGAAACCGCTGACTGCTGTGAGCAGGTTCAACTTAAATAGGCCAGCGGTGCGCGTCAATGTTTGGATGTGAGGGTGAGGAAGGGAGGGGGCGCCTCACCCTGTGACATCTCAGCCCATCCCTGTTAGATGGGAGCGCAGCAGCCTGCGGCCATGTTCCACACCCGCTACATACAAACTAATGACCGATGAACAGAGACCCGAGGCGATATGCTTCCAAAGGGAAAACCTATAGAGCGCTCATACCCGGATTCTTGAATCCATGCGCAGAAAAATGCGCAAAAAAGGCGTGCTTTATCTCCAAGTGTAAATAATGTCTCTTATGTAGGCTAGTTGATATGAGGAAAAAATATATAATTTGAGATAAGCGCCAACGTGATTACTACCATCAAGACACGTCTTGATCAAATACCGGTTATGAATAATACTTAAAAAAAGAAATAAAGGAATAGAACTGTTCTTATCGCACCTCCAAAGGCCTTTAATTAGTTTTCTTGTGAAAGAAACAGGTCAATACTATTCCGTTTAATTGCATTCATCCAGACTTGAAAATGTGGCTACTTCATCCATGGATTTTGCGCGTCACAACAAGCAGCAGATAATTTGCTTTTAAAAAATACTGAAAATGAATTGAGCTCCGTTTTATTCCCCCCCCCCCCCCCCCCTGCTGTCCAAAAAGGTTTTTATTCTCAGTGTTGAGGAGGAAAGGACACGGTGGTCAGGGGGCGGGCAGTGGGGGGCTATCATCAGTGCACCTTATGGGCTAATGCCCACTGACATTTGGAAGAAGGAAACGCAAAGTGACATTGGCCTATATTATAGAAGGCCTCAAAATGGGTAAAAATGAACAAAGATGATCGGTTGGCAGGAAAAAAATTTCTCAATATCACTTATATGTGAATTTCCACTTAAATTATATGCTTTGCATTAAAAAAAAAAAAATTCCCATGGGTAAATGGCTCAAAAGGGTGAAGCTGTGAGAGGCAATGGTTGATGTGCGCCAAATTGAACTTACCGCAAATCTTCATCCCCAGTTTCCGCGTGCATCCGTGCATCCACGCATAATCGTTGGCTAAAACAGAATGAACGTTTTGAGTTTTGTGTAGTGTGCGTGGGTGTGTGGTGTGCGACGATGTGTCGTGCAGGCCGTGCAGAGGCGGATGATGATGGAGCACACACATTGCGCACAGCGGAAGCGTGAAGCTGACGGCTCCTTACCAGGTTATCTTTTCACTTTTTTATTTATTTTTAACACATAAAACGTGTAGGTCTTTTTTGTCAATAATCATATACAATATACAGTAAAACATCTTCTTATTATAGGAGAGGAATTTGATCACATTTCCGATTTAGCTTCAATCAATAGGGACCGAGCTGCACACCCACGCCGACGCATGCAGCCAAGGGGCGGGCTGGAATTAACACCCGTGAAATGAGTCCACGGACGAGAAATTAATTGAGTAGGCCTACAACACAACGGGATGTGTGATCTGGAACGAGCTGGAAACGTCCATGGTTTTTGGGACCGCTTTGCCAGTTGGAGCAGGAGTCTAAATTGTGTAGGCCTACACTGTAAAATACGAATTTTGGAAGAAGTTCAATTCAACATTTATAAAACTTTATATTCGATAAAATCTTAATTTGAACGCCAAATAAAATTATGCGTACACTCTAATAGCATTAGCTGATTTATCTCAGGGAAAAATGTCCAAAATTTTTGATCATTAAGATATTGGTTTCCCTATTTTTCTTAGTCATTTGTATTATTCTAAGCAGCATTTAGAAGATAATACAGCTGATAAATATTCATACTTATAAACTAGAGATACACTGCAAAAAAAAATAAAAAATCTGGAAATAAGTAAAAAAATTCTCATATTGAGTGTATTTACCCTTAATTTTAGCAGATAAATAAGATGATTTGCAAATGGAATGAGTATTTTTACTGCTAAAATAAGATAATTAGATAATATACACTTGAAATAAGACTGAATAAAAATGGTGTTTTCTTATTTTAAATGTAAATTGTCTTGATCAATTGGCAAACTATCAAAAATAAGACTTTATTTAATGCTTTTTACAGGAATAATTCAATTGTGTATCCTGCCTTAACTAGCTTAGCCACTGTGCTAATGCTGAGGTCAAACTTGCTAGCAAGCAGAGCATTCATTTTTAAAATAGGGATATTTCTGTATCTGTGCTTCCCAAGGTTACGCTTTGGCCTATGCTACCATAGCATATATTACATTTGATCTTTATTTAAAATGGGAAAAAGTGCTTATGCTAAAATAATATTGTCTATCAATAATCTATGGGATTATGCTAAATTACAGCATCTTAAGAACTGCTTGTAATTTAGCCTGCTAATATTTCTTTAGGTGTTGAAAACGCATTAGGCTATTTCTACTCAGACAGAACAGTCTTCCTAATGTAACTGGCTGAACTAATTTCAATGGTTTAATTATTAACAGTTTATTTATTTAGGCCTGTTATAGTCAGACTTTCTGAGCTTCTAAAGCAGTCATTAACACATGAGCTGTGCTTAAATCACAAACATATTCTTAATGCCACTACAAATCTCAATTTGAATGAAAATGACAAGTTTTAATATTATACATATCTTTTTTTTTTTAGAAATTAAATGTTTTTCTCATAATTTATTTTTATTATTTGTGGTAAATCAAACAGAATGCAGCTCCAACTTATTTTTTTTTCCCAATTCGAAATAAATAGATTGGATTAAGTTTGTCTGACTTCATTTATTCAACTTATTCAATTTATAAACTATATCAATTAAGATGAATCAACTTGATTCAATTACTTGTTTCTATTGAACCAATTCATTTAAGTTGGAGCAGAATTCTATTTAATTATTGATCGAAATCTAAAAAAAAAAAATTATATCAGTTTCACTGCTGAAACCTTAACTGCATGTCTTTCATTGCGCACTGAAGCATGATGACATGTTAGACAGTCAAGGAAAGCCTGAGAGAAGCAAAAAGCGTGAGACTGCAAACTCGCAACATATAGACGCCTATATCACAAACTTTTTTAACACAAAAAACAGCAAAAAATCTTTTCGTTATATATAAGCAATATAATATGCCACGACACAAACACACACAGAAGCTGCCAGGCGTGAGATGGAGCGCAGCAAAGAGATAATGGCAACATCCAGCAGCAGCCTTGTGCGAACAAACCAGACAAAACACACATTTCAGTTCGGACTATTTTTCTTTTTTTTCTCCAATGTATCCTCTTTAGGATGCATATTCACCTTTAAAACACATCTGGGAGTTTGAGACTGCTACCAAAGGCCACCAATATAAAAATCTCACTCCGAAATTTTTCATTTAATAAAAACAAAAGAAGAGAAATGTCATATGCTGCCTCACTGCCCTCGAGCTGAATGTTTCTGTCTGCTGACTGGCTGAGCTGAGGAGGACAACACCCTGTTATTATTTTTTATTTGCTTTGCAGTGCAGATGGCCGCTCAAATGTGCTCTAATGTGTGTATGCGGCAAAGACTGAATATGATTAATTAACCTCAAGGTTAATGTAAAGCCATCTCTGGAAAATTGGGCGGAAAATACAATTTAAATGAACACCAAGCATTTGCTGGAAATTATTTGAGTCTTAGCTTGAAATATGAAAATAATCACAGATTTAACTTAACCTAAAATATAAAAATAAAGTGATATGATTAGGAAGATAAATTGCATATGTTAACTGAATATTTCCTATAGGAATAAATGTCATTCAGATGTCTTTAATGGGGCGTTATTTCAGCCTTGTCTGCTGCCCGGCGCGCACTGCTGATCCGCCAGACAGCGACAGGCTGCTCTAATGGCTCTGTTTTTAACTGCGATGATTAACGACAGAGCCCACACAGCAAATGGCCCGGGCGAGACTGCTTTTATCTGAGAGGTTGAGGTTAGTGGGGGAGAGAGAGAGAGAGAGAAAAGGGGCGGGGGGTTAAGCAGGAGTGCAGCAGAAGTGCTTTTTAGCAAGGCATACCGGACTTTGTGTCTGTTCTACGGTAATTCCTGGAAGACGGGGATGCAGGTAACGCAACATCAACCATGCAGTCAGTGTAAAGACCTACTTCCAGATGGGGGTCTTAAATTAGCCGAGTTGGGGTCTTGGTCGGCTTCTGTGCTTCTAGGTTCAGACGTCGCCATCGCTTCTCCTTTATCTGGTGTGCAAGCTGGGGAGGAATTCAACTGCAAACAGAACGGTGCAATGATGAGAGAGGATGCGGGTCTGGAAAGATAAATCTAGAACAAGTGCGTCGGGGTTTCATCAACAAGGTGAAATCTGATTAAAAAGGAAAAAATAATAATTCAGAAGACCCTCTGGCTAGATGGATGAACCAAGGCGCGCAGCTTGAGGAGAATTGCGCACGACAAAACAAAGTGCCAAGTGCGAATCAAAATACGATTTAAGAGGCCATTGTTTATCTCCAATGCCAGTATCTTCATTTGCAACAATTTTATATGCAAAAAGTCCACAATAAGATTAACTGATAGTAATAAATAATTTTCTAATCTAATACTTGGAATATTTTTGCTTCCTTTAATGCACGTGTCCATTTCATCTCCTATTATCATTGCCTTTTTTAAAGATAGCAGGTCAGTGTTAAATAGAACAAAGAAATCTTTGTCCTTAACCGTCGGATATCCACAGCAATAGCACCAGTTGCTTTTTGTGGAATAAGCATAGACGACTCTGTTAAAAACCAGTTTTCTTATGCGATCAACAAGATATCTCAGTAAAAATGAATTTGTGTCATTATGAGGGGGGGAAACGAATACCTATAATATTGTCTTCTCCCAAATATCAAAAGTAGTGGAATATTTCTATTTACATTTAAATCATTTAAATGAAAGTAGCTCTAAATCTATGACACACACAACTGAATGACTGTCAGATGTCTTTTGCTGAGGTTATACAAGGCTGTCGAGAAATATGAAGGGAGGCAAAAGAAAGAGGAACAGATCTTACCGGCTTGCGGGCGCACAGGTTATTAACTCCACGCACTATAAGATGCACGACAAGAAACAGTCCATTGATTGACGGAGCGCACTAGAAGAATCCCATCCAGACGTGCACACGTTGACCCCTTCGTCTCTAAAGAACACCTTTAATTCGTTATTTATATCTGGAGGTTGAGGCTGCCCATTGGTCTCTTTACGCAGGCATGAGTCACGGCGCTGCCTCCCTGTGACGACTAATGAAGCCTACCCGGAACCCGGTGACAGTAGGGTTGCACTTCAAGAAGCCAGACAGGACTTGGAGGGAGAGGTAGGGAGGGAGGGGGCAGATTGTGAAATTAAAAGCAACAGTGACGTGTTGGTTCTATACAGCGGTGTGCACGCCTGCAAGCGCAAGTCTCCAGGTGCGTAGTGGTGGTGGGTGGAGATGAGCGCATACAATTCGCTCTGACTTGAGACATATGCAACTGACCTTGAAAAGACCAATTCTGTCTCAAAGACTTTTTTTTGCCTCACTTTTCTTTGCAAAAAAATATAGGCTACCCTAAGGTCAGGTTACTGAATTGAACTTAAGGTTTCAGAGGTTTTATGAGTTATTGGAGGGGGGTCTCGATTTTTCACAGAAACTGATGGTCAGATATCCCCCTGAGGATGTTTTGTTTAGGAACTGAATTTATGGCTCACTAATGTCAGATGAAGCAGTGAATCAGCAGCACATGGTCACCAGCATGTTTGGCCAAACGCATTTTACAAATGAAATTATGCCTTTGTTTTTAACCAGATTTAATGAGACAGTTTCGAAAAAAGTTTCACATTTGCTATGTATACAGCAAAGCCCCTTTTCTAACAGTGATCATCATGATGTTTTTTTTTTTTGGCAAATATAACGGACGCCTTTGTGCTGTATTCTTTCTTTCTTTCTTTCTTTCTTTCTTTCTTTCTTTCTTTCTTTCTTTCTTTCTTTCTTTCTTTCTTTCTTTCTTTCTTTCTTTCTTTCTTTCTTTCTTTCTTTCTTTCTTTCTTTCTTTCTTTCTTTCTTACTTACTTACTTACTTACTTACTGACCACATAAGGTCCTTTATGCTTGTAGAGTTTTATCTACTGCTTTGAGCTCTAATAAGCCCTTGTGGATGAGAGGAGGAAGCTCTCTTACAGTAATTTTTAAAGGCCAACAGGATTGGAAGCTTCATCAGTGTTCAACTTGTGTCTGTGTAAAATGTACTGCACGATTAATAAAGTGAATGTGATTGGTCCTTTATCAAGGGGGCGGGATTGTGGTGGAAGGTTCATAAGCAAGTTAGATTATGGCCTGTGTCTTGGAAGCATCTTGCTAAACAGTTAGCAACTTAGTGCTACTTAGCCTCGTGAGACCATCCTGATCTCGCGAGCTTTCAAGATTTCACTCGCTAATCAGTCTGGAGACTCTCCGTTGAAGAAAATTTGGAGCCGTTCACCAAACGAACGTCCAATCAGCGTTGGCTTTGAGGCGGGTTGAGGTGTGACGCAACGAGAAGCGCGACAGTTCAGTCTAAAGAACATGGCGGCTTCAGCCAACACTCAAAAAAAGCAAACTGGGTGTCTGTTACCTTATCTTATGTCTAACATGTAGCTTCTACTATATAAAATCATGTTTTGTGGTTGAACAGTTTTAAATCATGTAGATTTAGCATAAAATGCAACAACTTAAAATTTACTTGAATAATTTATGTTAAAACAACCTAATTCTAATGGGTTAAGATTGCAAATCAATAACACTCCAAAGCAGTAGGTGGCAGTAATGAGCACATTCCCCTCTCTTGAAGGCCACGGTCAAAGGTGAGTGAGTCCCCGACTCTGGCTGGCAGAAGGAGTAGACATTTTGAAAAGAAATTTCAAGTGTGGAAGAAGGTAAGTTTAATCTTTTATCATCCATCGAACAGAAAACAATACGGCAGCAGACATGTTATAGACAGTTAGTTATTGTCCTCTTTTGCATTTTGGATTATTTATTTGTTACTGGGCGTTTTATTAGAGTGCATTAATATATCACACTGTCGCCATGCTCATAGCTAACTAAGCTTACAAGCTAGCATCCTGAGGTCGACGGCATGGTTGACAACGCGTGCGGATTCATTTACAAAATGAGCTAAGAGCTGATGGAGGCATGGCTGGTGGGGGATAATTGCCTGCGTTTGGTGAATGTAGCTGCAGCTAAAAGGCTCCAGTCACATAGGCTACATTAATAATAATAGTGGTGATGAATTTCCCCCCAATCCGAATCTTGGCTTCACGTGGAGTCCGCAGAAAGCTCGGCACTTAACAGTCATTAGCTCTAAGTTTGGAAACTACCACGGCATCTCGGCACCTTGGCGGGGTTTCTATGTCAACTCCACGTAGCATTAGCTCATCCAGCTACTAACATCAACACAGTAGTTCTTCGCACTATGGAGCTTTCCACAGTCAGATTTTATTCACTTTGTTGACGAGGAAACAAATGTGTGCTCCCATAAATGTACTGTTGTGCTGTAGCCCAGCTAGGAAAGCAAATCGTTACCATATTTCAAATGAAAAAGCATTTTCAGAAATGCTTTTTCATTTTAAGAATGTGGCTGCATTGTTTGACTCATAAATGAAATTAGTAATCAATCATCCTGTTTGCATTTTAAATTTCTTCTTTAATGCTTCTCATCATTTTACTTAATTAAAATAAAAAATAAAAATACATTTGAGATTTATTTTTTGAAAATGTACCCCAGAAAATACATACCAAAAATAAATTTGAAATGTAAATTTTGAAAATGAAAAAGTATTTTCAGAAATGCTTTTTCATTTTAGGAATGTGATTGCATTGTTTGCCTCATAAATTAAATTAGTAATTAATCATCCTATTTGCATCTTGAATAAATGCACAGCACTATTTAACTTTGATTGAAATATGTACAGTGTGATTTATATCAGCCAACAAAATGTGGGCTAGCCTTGGAAATAACTTGTAAGCTGATTTAGGATTTGGTGGTAGATGACAATTGTTAAACTAGTCGGTCATTTCAATGCTATGATAGTTAAATTTACTTTTGTGTACCCTTTCTGTTTAAGCTAACTGCTGAATTTAAGAGGATTACAACCATCAGTTTGCTGTCAAAGTTCTTCTCCCAGCTGGATGCTCATTCTTCAAACTTGATGAGGGTGTTTGGCAAGAAAGGCGGCGTTCAAGGAAGAAAGATAAGGAGCATCATGATACCCATCACCAAGGTATGATAATAGAATAAAATAGAAATTGTCAAACCTGTACCGATTCAATATTCTAAACTTAATGCTTGAAATTTAAAGCAGAAGTTTCAGAGGGATGGAGAGAAATAAAACTAGATGGAGAGGGGTGTAATGTACTTTTATGAAGAAGGATCTGATAAAATTTTAACCTTGGGCAGATGTGACAATGTCCACTGATGTTGCAATGGTAGGTTCTGTTTCCTGGGACCACATGCTTACATTTGACATATTTCTATGATAAAATGTCTTGCTGGTACATAAAACCAATGCACCCATGGATATTGTAAGTTCATATATCATAAAAATTGTCAATGATTTTTACATTTTGAAGAATGTATTATTTAAAGTTTTGTTTGTAAAATCTTCTACCAGTTGATTAAAATGTTTTATCTTTAATTTATTGTCCTACATACTCAGACTGACGCCATTGATGTCAAAAGAGAGTGAATCATCAAAGCCCTGTGTGTGTACCTGAATGAAGAGCCCGAGAACCTTGTGAAAGAATACATGGTATGTAATTTAGTGTGTTTAAAAATGGGACCAGTATAACATATCTTTACATGTATATCCTCTATTTCCCCCTTTTTTCTGTGAAGAACACAGATTGTGGGAGCAGTGAAGCTGCAGTGATGGAGACGACATTTGGAATATTTGTCATTCGCAAGGAAGGTGCAGAGCCAGGTGATGGACCGGAAGATGTAGGTATAGTTCTGGATGGGCTCGGAAACGTGCCACTTGCTGTGGTCATGTTGTTTGCGCTTGTATATGCGCTTAACCTCAGCTACCCGCCAGAGCTCAGATACACCTTTGAAGCTTTGCAGAAGATCATCGTGGAGCTTGATGGAAACATACTCTCAAAAAAAACTCAAACACTGAAAACTCTACTTGCGTGTTAGTCACCCTCAATAGAGTAAACTACAGGTTTGGAGTTACTCTAATGGGAAGGCATTTGAAGCCATTTGAGTAGTTACTGAACTGAAAGCTGTGTTTGTGTTTTAATACATCCTGTTGCTATTTTGGGTTTACAAAATAGAATGTTTTGAAATGTTTCTTTATGCAAAGGTAAGGTTTTAAAACAAATTGTTATTTTCTAAAGAAAACTATTTTGATATGGATGCATTATGCTGTATTTTGGTTGTTCTCAAATATTGGTCTTTGCACTCAGTTGACAGGACCACTTTCTGCGTATAACTTTGTAAAGGGCTTTGCTGAAAGCTCTAAATATAGACACCTAATGACAGGGGGCTCCAATTTCCTAACTCAGGAGTTACAACTTTTGTTTGTCTATCTGTTGTAGTTTTTTTACAGACATGATGTTGGACACTGTTTCAGGCTGTATTGTTTGTTGTATTTTCACAACGTAGTCATTTTTAAAGTAAAGTGATTTCAACAAATCCAATTTAGTTCATGTTTTTCTTTTCCAAACTTGACACCAGCTGGGGGTATATAGGCTGACATGTACATTTTAAATAGCTGAATATGTATACGTTAAAAATGATTTATTTTGTGAATAATTACTTATGTTCATTTTCATATGATAAAGTTAATCTCTTACCTAACTTTGTTTTGTGGGCTCAGCACAATAAATTCATGTACTGTACTATTTTGAAAAGTAGTTGTAACTACCCTATTAAATTATGTACCTAATAATCCTATCATACAAGTTTAAATGGCTTAAGAAAATTATGTTAGTATGTTACATTTACCTATATTTATCTAGTTGGACTGACCCCTGGTAATTAAGTAATAGTAATGCAAATACAACACGTTGACCCAACATATTTACCCTTTGTTCACTTAACAAAATTGCTTCTCGCTAAATTAATGCATTTTATTTAGGTGGAAATTATTTCCATAATTTTATTACGTTCTGGGAACAAGTTTTTTTTTTGAGTGAATGAAACTAGCGTCAGTGTGGCTATGGAGCAAGTTTTATCGGAATTACACAGTATTTCTTCACTGAAAGAAGAGCAAAACACTGCTCTGGAGGCTTTTCTCAGAGGAAAAGATGTTTTTGCTCTTCTCCCGACTGGTTTCGGCAAGAGTTTGATCTA